AGCTATATATGCTTATTCAGGAAAGAGTTGCAGTGCCTTTGATGAGTCTAACCCCTGAGGTCTAGAAACTTGCGGCATGTGCACATTTGATTCCTTGCATGTGTTTTCCCACACCTGCAACCACCCCCTCTCCTGAACTCCAATGAAGCCATCACCTGCACATGTGTTATCAGTGGTGCGTGTGCAATGGGTGTCTAAACTATGCACACTTCAGCTTAATGAAGACTCGGAAGCCAGCTTGAGGGAAAGCAAATGCATCAGAAATATTTCTCAAGAGACTGCAGGATGCTGATGGATTGTGGCTCACAGCTTCAAACACCAGAGTGTTTCATAGAATCATAGAATCATAGAGTTGGAAGAGACCACAAGGGCCATCGAGTCCAACCCCCTGCCAAGCAGGAAACACCATCAGAGCACTCCTGACATATGGTTGTCAAGCCTCTGCTTAAAGACCTCCAAAGAAGGAGACTCCACCACACTCCTTGTTTGTGGGAGTGGGAGTGCGCTGGAGACGAAGCAAATGGTCTTGTTTACCCAGCCTTGGTCTCTTCCTTTCCTTTGCCTTGGTTGCTCAGGCAGATAAAAGAAATGTTTCAATCTCCTTGTAGCGGAGACTGAAATAAACTTGACCCTGATTCCCTACGCAAAAGAGAGTCCCCTCCTGGCCCTTGCGCTGCGGAAGCTTTGTAGCCACACTAATCCAGGGCCGGAGGAGATTAGCGCAAATTTGTATTTCATGTTTCCCAGTTAATCCCTGCAGAGTGCTGGCTGCAAAAACTTTCCTCACAGAAGAGGATCAGAGCCGTCGCCTGCGGTGAGGAACAGGGCCAGTGAGGGATGCTGGTCTCAAATCTCCTGGGTTTAATTCCAAGACACCAGGGACAGTAAGATTTTAAAAAGAGGAAGTTTCTTATACTTCGGCTGAACAGCAACCCCCACCTCCAAGCACACAGGCAAGAGGATATCCTTGTCTGTGTCACCTACATGTATGGAGCACATGCTAAACACCAGCTTTGTATGGCTGAGTTAATCCAGAGGTGGGCAACCTGTGGGCCCTCCAGATGTTGGGGCTGCCGCTCCTCTCATCCTTGAACACTGGCCATACTGGCTGGGGCTGCTGGGAGTCCCATGACTTCTGGAGGGCGCCAGGTTTCCCCAACTTGAGTTAACTCATGAATGGCCAACTAGCAATCTGAATGCTAGACCTGGTCTCCAAGCAGGAACTTTGGCAAGTAGGTAGATTCAGAGAGTTCAGCTCCACCGCAGCACAAATCTGCGTAAAATGTGCATGTGGTCATTTATATGTGGAGGTGAATTTCAGCCTCGGAGCAAAATAAGATGGTGATTTGTTGGAGTCTCACCTGCATTGTGCTTTGCAGCCCTGTATGCAAAGCAAAAATAATATTTTTGATGAATTGAGAAAGACAGTAAGTGGAAAGGAGATCTGGGGCAAAAGATCCAGGCCTCCTGGAGCACTCTGTGCTCCTATAACAAGAACCCTTGCCTTGGAGGCAAATTTGTCTGCCTTGTGGCAGCCCTACCAATTTTAAAAGGATTGCCCAGTGCCCAGAGATTCATTTTGAGGCAAAGAACAATAGGCAGGATTTAGCTGAGATGTTGCTTGCACAATAATACAAGGTCAGTTTATGCAAAGCGACTTTCTCTTTGCCCCCCTCCCACCTGTGCCCCTGAAATCTGCTCTGGAGGGTTGGGGGCAGGTTTAAGGGATGTTCAGAGGGAGGAGAGGGTGGAAGTCTTGTTCCACAAGTGGACTTTGTTCTGGGCATACATATGCCACGTTGAACGCCACCCAATGTTTTCAAGTTGCAAGAAATATATTCCACACTTGAAGGTAAAGGTGAAGGGGTAAAGGGACCCCTGACCGTTAGGTCGACTCTGGGGTTGCGGCACTCATCTCGCTTTATTGGCCAAGGGAGCTGGCGTACAGCTTCCGGGTCATGTGGCCAGCATGGCAAACCAGAGCAGCGCATGGAAACGCTTGTTTACCTTCCCGCCCAAGCGGTACCTATTTATCTACTTGCACTTTGACGTGCTTTTGAACTGCTAGGTTGGCAGGAGCAGGCACCAAGCAACGGGAGCTCACCCCGTCATGGGGATTCGAACCGCCAACCTTCTGATCGGTAAGCCCTAGGCTCTGTGGTTTAGACCACAGTGCCACCTGCGTCCCTCATTCCACACTATTATATTCCAAATCCAAAAGTAGTTCATCAAACGTACACAGGTAATTCTTGACATCTTCACGTAAAGAGCCAGCAGGTGATGAGAAAGTCCAAAGATCACAATCTGTTGAAATGCAGTCTTGGTGTAAGGAAAGAAAGCCAATGGCCTATGAAGTACCTAAAGCCCCCTTAATCATATTGTTGGGATATTTTAGATTAATTGTGCTTCTGGAAGACTTGGAGATAACAACTCATTATTAACAGCAGCCCAGATGGCTATATGTCAGGAATGGAAAAAGCCAGACCTGCTCCCCACCCGGCTTCAAGGGAGGCCTGGAGAGCAAGCATCTGGGATATAGCTTATATGATTAAATTAACAAACATAATAAAGATCGGCGAAGGAAGGCAACAAGATAAGTTTGTTGAGAAACTCATTCATTTTGTATTGGAACAATATACAGTGCACGACGCAATTAATCCACATACATTATTAGGTGAGTATAGAATGACTCAGCAGAAAAACAGCAAAGTTACAATACAGGATGTGTAATGCTGGGCTGTGGAGTGTTAAATATGGCATTTGCATAGGGTTCACTTTGTTCCAGTTTAGTATCCTTGAATAGCTTTTTGAACCTCAAGTCACTTATTTTTAAATGTTTGATTGTTATGTATGATCGTCAATGTGAATCACATCACTGAATTTAAGATGCAATGATAAGGACAGGAGATAATCTCCTACAAGGGAGAAAATTATGTATATTGAAATGGATTTATGGTATATAATTTAGAGTAATTTTAGGGTTATGATGCATAATCCATCTACACTTGCTATCTTAAGCATCTTTGTAATTCAATGAAATGTTCTGTGTATTAGAAAATTAAAGTTGGGGGGCGGTTGACAAATAGTCTGTTCTGACAGATGGCATTTTCCTGTTTTTCTGTGCTATATCCCAATGAACGTTTCCCCCTCTGTGGCCACCAGCAGCTTTTGGGTATTTTGATTTAGACCTGGAGTCATCCAGTATAAGGATGATTTTTTTAACACTCAGGAGGAAGACTCCTGGAAGATAAAGGAAGCGTTTTTTCCACATAGCACCCAGCTAAAGAATGGAATTTTCTTTTTTTTTTTAAATCATATTTATTAAAGTTTCCAAAAGTATAAAAATACAAAGAAAAAAGACAAAAGAAAAAAGATATTTAAAAACCTTACTTTCATTCCCTACTTTCTGGGACTCCCCCTCCCCCAATTGTATTCCCTTTCCTTAATTTGGTTCTACAAGCTCTCACTCCCAATTTAAAGCTTAATTTATTTAACCCACTATCCAGATTGAATTGTATAAATCTTACCACCGTCCCACATCATTAACAGAAAAAGAAAAAAGATTTTCCCCAAGATCCACCCCAGTTCCTTCCACAAATTCCCTTTTTTTTAAACACGTCCGATCAAAGTAAAATAACATGCGTAAGTTATGTAAAGAAATAGAAAATAAGAGATACAGAAAAATTCAAAAAATAATTACACAGCCTTTGGACTTCAAATCTCCCCCCCCCCTTCCCCGGTTTGAATTCCCCATGTCCATCAGTCTATACATTATCAGCTTGGAAGTCTCATTTCATGACCAGATTTCTCCACGATTCCATCTTGCCGGTTTTCTTTTAGTTTATTAATTTAAATAATATTTGACTTCAAATGTCCAATCTAACAAAGGCCTTTAATTTCCTTGATCTTTGCCACTCCTCCCGTTGTTCTTTCCGTGTCGTAATCAGTCCTTTATTCTTCTTATTCCTCACTTTCTCAGGTTTCTTGTCCTGTTCAGCTGCTAAAACTTTCTAATTCAGAAATCTAGTGTCTCTGCAGAGGTTTGTTATTCAGGAACAAAAACTTACGTCCAGTCCCTTTCTTTCTTCAATAAAAATTCCATTGTCTTCCTCTGTAGACAAAATACTCTTTCAGTTTTGCAGCTTTCCCAGAAGATAACAAATCCTGTGCGAATCCCAGGGTATTTTTCCACTTACGACCGTTCTTGTAGTATCCCGAGACCCCTCTAGGGGGATTGTAATAACTTTGTATCCTCTAATCCAAAAGTCAAATTGTTGCTTATTTTCCGACAGTTTATATCCATATTATAGCAAATTGTAACAAAATTAACCAGCAAGGTCCTCATAACAAAGTCCTCTTTATATTCTCCAGCTTTGACAGCCACTTTGACAGCTGTCAAAGTCTCCGTCTCTCTTCACCAGGCTCCACGAATCGCCCCGGTTCCCAGGGGGTTGCATTTTTCTTCTCACCCTCCACTCTTCTCCTCCAGCACATTTCTTATAATTTCCCATCGTGAAATTAATGATTTTTATCAAAGACATACTTCCCTTTGGACCTTGGTTACCCAGTCCTTGTTTTGGAATGCTTACAATGGGGGGGGGATTGACTTCCTTTTTAAATCGCCCCCGCTCGTGCCAAATCCAAAATTTTGAACCCGGTTTCCCAATTACTCACGGGTTGTTGTTAATAGTCCAAATTTTCAATAGAAGAAGTCAGCGCTCTCCGTCGAATGGCATGCGGCTGCGCTCGGCAGGGAAAGCAGTGGACTCAAAGCACCACGCCACTCCCCGGCACCCGATCCGAAGCCTTTAAAAAAGGCTCCTTCACGAGTCGGGAGGGCGCTAATGGTGCAAGCCGAGTCACCCATGTCCACGGGCTCCGTGCCCGTGGTTTTTAAGGGTCCCCGCGTCGCCGGCGCGGTAGGACCCAGCCCCTGCCGAGCAGACTCCCTCCGGAGCTCGGAGGGAGTCCGCCATTCGGCGATGGCGCTAACCCGGAAGTAAAGAATGGAATTTTCTACCAGAATACATAGTAAGGACAGGATGCTGAATTCGATGGGCCTTTGGTCTGATGCAGCAAGGTTCTTCTGTATGCTCTTACTGGGGAATCGGCATGCAGGAAGCATAGCTGTCAACGTTTCCCTTTTTTTAAGAGAAATCCCCTTATTCTGAATAGGATTCCTCGCAGGAAAAGGGAAAAGTTGACAGCTATGGCAGGAAGGAAAGGCTTCTCTTTCACATGCCCCTTGTGTCATGGTCTGCTCTTAGGCCCCATATGCATTTAAAGCGATATCATACCACTTTAAACAGTCATGGCTTTCCTTCCGCAAAGAATCCTGGGAACTGTAGTTTCTTCTTCCCATGGAACTGTGGGAATGGTGCTGCTAAATTGTCTGCTAAGAGGCTCACAGACTTTCTGCTTTCATGTGTGAAAATATCATTGACAGACCTTCCAAGTGTCCCTGTTTTTCCAGGGATGTCCCTGATTGAGAGAAGCCGTCCTGGTTTCTAATTTGATCCTGGAAGTTCCTGCTTTTCTTAGAACATCCTTTTTTTCATCAGAGAAATACTGGAGGATATGGAGTTATCTGGCCCCAGAGCCATCTGAAGGCAGCCCTGTATAGGAAAGTTTTTCAATGTTTAATGTTTTATTATGTTTTTATATATGTTGGAAGGGCCCCTGAGTGGCTGGAGCAACCTAGTCAGATGAATGGCATATAAATAGTAAAATTATTATTATGGATTAGGATGACCCTATTTGCATCAGAGAAATGTTGGAGGCTATGCATTGGTTATCCTTAAGGAGGAAAACAACAATCCCTTTGTTTATCCCCAGGGAGCATTTGCAGGATTTATAAAGGGGGCATACAGCGCCACCCGCTGGCAAGTGTGTAGACAAAGTAACCAGGCAGTCAACATCAGGAGAAAAATACCTGCAAAATCTACATGGGTAACATTTTAGAAATGAAGGAGACAGCCTGTAATAGTCTTGTGTTTCATGATTAGTGGTTCATATATAGTGAACTAGAGAGGAAGCAGAAAAATAAACAAATCCATCGCTGCCGAGGCTGAAAGCTCAATAAAAAAAATTAGTATCAAAAGTTTTCAGACACCTGGAAGAAAATGCAGGATTTAAGCAGATTTAAAACAAATCTTTTAATTTTTCACATACCATGCAAGCCAGCCCTTTTCAGAATTTCAACCTAATTTGTGATGAATAAATAAATAAATAAATACAGCATATGAAGCGAAGTGACGGAAGTCTTTCATTTAAAGCCTGCTACAAACACACCATTTCCCTGTCTTATCTGTTTTTTTTAATAACTACAGTTTGAGTTTCCTTCCATGCAGATGGAATCTGCTCTCCTACCATAACCACATTTAATAAATTACATAAAATTGGTGTTACTCGTTCTTTTTACAAAATGAGGATGTGTAACCATCTTTACCTGGTGACTCATTTGTTTTTAGGCTTTTAATTGCATCATGTTTCCCTGCACTTGTGATGGGACTATTTAAATCATTTTTGTGTTCATCTGGTATTTGCTTTACCCCAACTTTGTCCAACTATTTGCTTTCATCAGCCAGGCCACCATAACTGTGCTTTTAACAGCAGTCTAATGTGAAGATAGGGGACGCGGGTGGCGCTGTGGGTTAAACCACAGAGCCTAGGACTTGCCGATCAGAAGGTCGGCGGTTTGAATCCCTGCGACGGGGTGAGCTCCTGTTGCTCGGTTCCTGCTCCTGCCAACCTAGCAGTTCGAAAGCATATCAAAGTGCAAGTAGATAAATCTGGCGGGAAGGTAAACGGCGTTCCCGTGCGCTGCTCTAGTTTGCCAGAAGCGGCTTAGTCATGCTGGCCAGTAATGCTAGATCAGCGCCGTAACCCCAGAGTCGGCCACAACTGGACCTAATGGTCAGGGGTCCCTTTACCTTTACCTAATGTGAAGGTGGTATTTATTCCCCATGCTATGAAAAGAGAAGAAGTCACCTACTGATTTCTGCCCATCAAGCTCCTTTTAAAGGCAGCACTTCAGATTTTCGGACTACAGCTCCCATCACCCCTCTAGGGTTGCCATATTCCAAAGCCCCCAAACCCAGACACGTTTGGGGCACACACACACACCATCCTGCGTCTCAGTCGCTCGCTCCCTGCCTTTGACTCCTTCCTCGCCCCCTTCTTCCCTTTCTTACCTTTGCTGTCTTTGGCCTCCTGTTCTTCAGATGGGATGTCGAGTGGCACTGGGAAGGCTGTGCCAGGAAAAGCTGATGGAAGTCCTGCCAGGCCTAGTGCCACCCGTGGAAGGCCTGGTGGCTGCTGGATACCCTAACACCCACCCCCATATAAAATTAAATAATAATCATAATAAAAATTTAAGAAATAAAAAACCAAAAAAACTGGACATTTCATATAAAATACAAAAATCTGGCCAGAGGGGCATGCTGCCCCCCCAAAAAAGAGGACATGTCAGGGAAAATCCAGACATATGGCATGTCTGACCATGTTGACTGCAGCTGGCCAATTTTGACTTGGGTAGGGGAGCTGGAGGAAAAATTGGTCTGAGCCTCAAGCACAAAGGTGGTGGTGGTGGGGCATAAAATTTAGACCCTTGTAATTATATATATATATATGGTATGTTTTGTTTTTATGCACGTTGGACCCAATTGTGACATGCATTCTCAGCTCAAGAGCTGCAAACGAAGAGCTGTGACTTGGTAGAATACACTCTTTTCGTGTTATCTGATAAAGGGCTTGCGCTTCAAATGTTCCCAAACATCAGGGGGAAACGATTAGACAAGATTAGGCCATGTCGAGAGCGCATCCTCTCAGAGGCAGCGGGTCCTATGAACCGCTCACTCTTTTTTTGCGGTCCCTTATTTTGTCATGCGCTGTTTTGCTTCCCTGGTCCTCTTTCGTGATGGCGAGGAGCCTCTAACCCTGGCAGAGAGCCAGGCCTCTCCCCCCTGCCACGCGCTTTGCCCCCCGTGTGAAGAACCACCTCTTCCCCCCGGGAGGCGGGGAGGGCCCTTCTTCCCACCCAAACAACGGCTGCGCCGCGTCAGCCTCATCCTAAAGCGGATGCTCCTTTCTCCTCAGCGCGGCGCGAGGAGGAGCGCATCCTTCGACCGCCTCTGGTGGGAAAGAGGCATTCCGCACATGCTCAGAGGCACTCTTCAAAGGGGGAAAAAAAAACACCACAGCTTATGACGTTGCGGAGAGCGCGCGCCGCGGTTGGGTGACCCCTGGCCCGGCCCGCTGCCTCTCGCCCTTGGAGAGCTCCAGCCGCCCTCGCCCGCTCCCCCTTCTCCGCCCGCGCTTCTGCCTCCCCCCCCCCCGGGATCCCGCCCGCCCGCCGCCCTCCTCTCCCTCAGCCCGCCTCCTCCAATCGCGGCCGCCCTTACTGCCGGGTGGGCTGAGCTGCCCGCCTGCACGCCCAGCTGATCCGAGGCTCGGCCATGGTAATGTCTGCCGCTTTGTTATTCCCCCTCCCCCGAAGATCCGGGGCGGAGATGGGTTGGGGGGCGGAGGGGGGCGCGTGTGTGCACGGTGGAAGCTCGCGAGGGAGAGGGAGGGGCGGAGGGGACATCCTCCACGCGCCACATCGCCCCCACATCTTTTGCACCCAAGGGGGAATGGTGATGGGGCTCCCCACCCGCCTCCTCCTCCTCCTCTCCTTTCTTGCTCCCGCTCGGGAGGCTTCGGAGCAATGAGGTGGGTGCTGGAAGGAGGCCGGGAGGAGGGTGCGCAGCCGGATAGTGAGGCACCCTGGTTTGTGCAACTAGATGCACCATGCCAGAAAGGAAGGGAAAAAATGCAAAAGCATCCAGATCTCTCTACAGGTGCATGCAGAATTACATGAACCCCACATGTGCAAACACTCATGTGCAGATGTGGGAATAGGTGCACACATAAAGCATGTGTAGATTTTACACCGGCTTTAGCCCAGGGGATGAATTTGAAGCGAACAGTATTGTTTTGGGATTACAAGGAGAAGCTACATTCAGTTGAGATAGCAATCTTCCCAAGGCCACCCAGTAGTGAGCTTTATGACTGAGCAGGAATCTGAACCAGAGTCTCCCACAGGCACCCTGTCTACTGCACCATGTCCGCTCGCTCGTCCATATCTATACTCACACACAAACACTGTCCATGGGAGCAAGCACGCAGCAATAAATGGGATGTGTCATGCATATGTGTGCACACCCTGATGTATGCCTGCAGGGATAGGTACGATCACCTGCTAAAGCACATAAATGCACAAATACATGCACTGCTTAATATACATAAACATAGGGACCTTTTAACGTAAATTGCATACAAGTAATCTTTATTTGTCATGTACATCTAAGTATAGGCGCATGTGGAAGGATTCATGTTTGAAGGCCCACCTGCAGATAGACATTGCAGACAAATGTGTAAGTGTAGGCACAAATACGTGGACACATTGACCTAGATAGGTATGCATTATACATGGACACGCATGCACAGGCAGATAATGTGTATATAAAATAAGTCTGTTCCACAGCTGAAGTGGGATCCAAACTGCCATTCCAGACAATGAACTGGGCTTAGAAAATCACTTCAGTATTGGGCAGAGAGCATCAGAGTAGATTGTACAAGCTACCCTGAGGATGGAACCAGTGTCAAGTTTGCTGATGTCAGCACAGAAGTGAATAAGCCTTGATAGATTGCAGTAGAATGAACTTCCATGCAAGAAGCTGAAAGCCCCATGGCTTCCCTGTTTAAGAGTGGGTCTTCCAGGTCACTCGTTAGGAAAAGGAGCGTAGCTTAGTTGTCAAGCCCATGCTTTCCATGCAGAAAGTCCCTGGCTTGATGATCCCTGGAATCTCCAGGTAGGACTGAGAGACTCCCTTGAAGAGCATTCTTCAGCCTTGCGTCCTCAGATGTTGCTGGACTCCCATCATCCCCAACAGGTTTGGCCAATGGACAGGGATTATGTGAGTTATTACTCAGCAACATCTGGGGACCCAAGACTGAAGAACAGTAGACAAGTGCTGAGCTAGAGAGACCAATCATCTGACTTGATACGAGGCAGCTTGTTATGTTCTGATTTAGGGCAATAAATTAGGGGCTAGGTGCTATGTCCCCACACTGAGATTTCCTCTAGCTCAGTTATAGAAGAGGGCAATTCAGAATTGTCTTGTCCCTGCCTAACTCTTTCCAAATCTGGGATCTTCTTATGCTGGAGAGAATAAGGCATTGGTGCCATTCATGGAGAGGAGCCTGACGATGCGCTAAGTCAACCCATGCTAACCACCTGTGCTAGAAGGAAAAGTGGGTGGGAGTTCTTCAGGAGCCAACACTTTACATGGTAGGCCAAAATTTGGTTTACTGTGAACAAATGAAGCCATTCTCTAGATATGCTACCATTTCCTACCAAATGTTGTTGCTCATGCCCCAGTGTAGCCATTCCTTATTACTCTCCATCTCTGCTCCCAGTTATCCTCATCTCCTACAAGTTCATCTGTATGTATGTGCCCATTAATCCAAGTTTGCTTTCCAAACCTGGCCATCCTCCACTTGTCATACAGAAAAAGGGCAACTGAAAGGATCATTCGGCTGGAGCACTTGCCTTAAGCTTATGGTGTTTATTAAAGGGATGGCAGGTTTTATGAAATTATGAATGGTGTTGGACTGAAGTAACATCCTCTCTCACACATCCTGTATCAGAACTTGGCATCACCAACAAGCAGTAAATTCAGGAGGAATAGCAAAAAGAAGTGCATTTTTCACACAGAAGTGCATTAATGAATGTTCATTATTTGTTCATTTATCCCAGTTATTTATTAGTCACTTTTCAGGGTCAAGCCCTTCTTAAGGTAATGTACAAAGAGAAATTAAAACAGTAGACCATCAGGCAGAATACGAAGCATTGATTGGATACAGGCCAGTAGACACAAGAGAGAAATGGCGTGAAGTCAGCAAATCTCTTAAGAAAAAGCAGTAGGGGAAAGTACAAGTTTTTAAGACTTTATTGAAAGCCAGAACTTAAATGGTGAATGGTAACTGAGAGAGAGTTCCATGACTGTGGAGACACCACAGAGAAAGACCTGTCTTGTGCAGGAGGGGTTGCCCAGTGGGATGGAGCTACAACAGTAGCCTCCACACAAGTGTTTACTGGGAGGGCCAAGATCAGGACCATGTGAATGGTCTAGCGGAGCCATTCCGCACACAGTCCCGAGCTTGCTGCCTCCTTTCCTCTCCCAGTAAGCACCAGTGACATTGCTGCCAAGAGGCTATTGCTGCAGCTCTGCCCCACTGGGCAAGCCACTCTGTGCTCACCAAGCAAACCAGTTTGACTGGGAACACATTAGGAATTCACTACTGCAATCTGGGGAGATGGCCATTAGCTTGCTTGCTTTTGTTATTTAAGTGCAGGACAAATTCAGCAAGAGAAGAGCCATCAGTGGCTGATAGCCATGATAGCTAAAGTGAATTGCTATGTCCGGAGGCAGTGTACCTGCAATAAAAGCAACAGGGAAAGGCAGGCATCCTTGGACTTTAATTGTTAGCTTCCAAGGACATCTTAGAATCATAGAATCATAGAGTTGGAAGAGACCACAAGGGCCATCGAGTCCAACCCCCTGCCAAGCAGGAAACACCATCAGAGCACTCCTGACATATGGTTGTCAAGCCTCTGCTTAAAGACCTCCAAAGAAGGAGACTCCACCACACTCCTTGGCAGCAAATTCCACTGTCAAACAGCTCCTACTGTCAGGAAGTTCTTCCTAATGTTTAGGTGGAATCTTCTTTCTTGTAGTTTGGATCCATTGCTCCGTGTCCACTTCTCTGGAGCAGCAGAAAACAACCTTTCTCCCTCCTCTATGTGACATCCTTTTATATATTTGAACATTGCTATCATATCACCCCTTAACCTCCTCTTCTCCAGGCTAAACATGCCCAGCTCCCTTAGCCGTTCCTCATAAGGCATCGTTTCCAGGCCTTTGACCATTTTGGTTGCCCTCCTCTGGACACGTTCCAGTTTGTCAGTGTCCTTCTTGAACTGTGGTGCCCAGAACTGGACACAGTACTCCAGGTGAGGTCTGACCAGAGCAGAATACAGTGGCACTATTACTTCCCTTGATCTAGATGCTATACTCCTATTGATGCAGCCCAGAATTGCATTGGCTTTTTTAGCTGCCGCGTCACACTGTTGGCTCATGTCAAGTTTGTGGTCAACCAAGACTCCTAGATCTTCCAGACATCTGTTTAGGATTGTGCAGTCCCTTTCTTATTTGGGTTAGCCTGTTTTCCTGGATTGGTTCTCCTAACCAAAAGGCACACTGGAGTCTCCTGCCAGTAGCATCCCAAGCCAGTTTTTTGCCCATGTACTTCACAAAAGAATGAAGAAAGCCACTGAAGCCTATTCATTTGGGGTGAAAAGTATTTCTCATCGTGTGTTGGGATCTTATTATTTGTATGTTCTAACAGACTCAGCAGGGGAGATCCAGAAAAACTAGTTTGGGGGAGCAAAGGGATGGCAAAGGCAAGGATTAGGGGAGCAACACATTAAATGCAAATTATGCTGTAACTGAAAAGAGGGAGCAAGTCATTTTCTTTTGGCTGGAGGAAGGCCAGCTAACACTTGGAGTCATCCTTGCAGTTCAGACTGGGATTTTTAACCTCATAACACTGCATGAGAAGTTAGATTACAAGAGTGTGACTTGCCAAAGGGGGATCAGTGGACGTCGCGGGCTGAGCGGAGATTTATTCCTGGGTTTGCCCCATCCAAACCCAATATATACCCCTTGCACCAGTTTTCACTTTAGCTGCCTCCCCAGCAATAAACTTGCAATTACCACCACCCCACGTTTATTCTCTCCCTCCCCCTCTCTCTTTGCAGTCAGCTCCAGATTCAGGCAGTGGCCCTCCGCCTGGGCAGCCGGCCCCATTTCCTCCAGCTCCACCGCCACCACCAATTCTGCCTCCTCCCTTTGTAAGTTGTATTTCAGCTTGTATCTCAGCATGTTAAGCTGCCTTCTGGTCCTTGATCCTATGCAACGGGGTGTATGGTGTTGTGCGTGCACACGAGAGTGTATAAAGGTGTTATATGTGACAGGTGATGCATCCTACTTTATCATCGCTGTGTGTGCCACCTTGGACTCCTTTGTCTGCGAAGTGTGTGTGTTTGTGTGTGGGAGAAATAAATTTAATATTAAATAAATGTGAGGATGTGTTTTGAGTACAGCGGTACCTTGGGTTACATACACTTCAGGTTACACACACTTCAGGTTACAGACTCCGCTAACCCAGAAATATTACCTCGGGTTAAGAACTTTGCTTCAGGATGAGAACAGAAATCGTGCTCCTGTGGCGCGGCGGCAGCAGGAGGCCCCATTAGCTAAAGTGGTGCTTCAGGTTAAGAACAGTTTCAGGTTAAGAACGGACCTCCGGAATGAATTAAGTACGTAACCAGAGGTACCACTGTACATGTGAAAGTGGCACGAGTGTGTGTTTGTATCTACTCTTTATATACCAGAGCAGCAAAATAATAATCGTTATCATAATAACCATATGGCACCAATTCTCTTGATGATGCTTTGCAAAGTATAAGACAGGAGTAGGGAATCTGTGGCCCTTCAGATGTGGCTGTACTACAACTCCAATCATTCCTGATCATTGTCAATCGTGGGCAGTGAAATGCTGTGAAAGTCTGAAAGGTCATTACAGGCTTTGGTGGAGTTCAGATCCTGTTGTCTTTCTACACGTTTCCTTTACTTGAGTCGTGGTGCAGAATTGCAGCATGTGAAACGTGGACTGGAGACCATTGCCTGGACTTCAGTCTGCCAGTTCGCCATGTCCGCGGTAGGATTTTGTAAGCTTGTATATGCGCACAATTGCCCTCCCTATCTGTTGAAGTGCAGTGCTGCTGTGGGAGGGGTTGTCCTGTGAAAATGTTGCCTTCTTATTGCCCTGATGTTGGACCCAATTTGCTTCTACTTGACAGAGGCCCAAGTCATGCCATGGTTGCTGGCAGCTGTTTTGGATACGTGCGACTTGGAGTGTATTCTTTCTCTTTTTCTCCTTGCTCCTAGATGCCTCATCCTGGGATCCCACCTCCGTTCCCTCCAATGGGATTGCCCCCATTGGGACCGCGCCCGCCCCCTATGCCGCCCATGCCTCCGGGCATGATGCCTCCTCCCCCAATGATCCCACCCATGCCTGGACCACCACCCCTTGGACAGGTAATGCCTTTCCCACAAAGCCTTTGTTTGTCTTTCTGACCATCTTCTTATGACTTATACCATTTTTGGGTTGTTTCCCCCAGATGCCCACAATGGTACCACCAATGCTGCCTGGGATGATAATGCCTGGGGTGCCAGGTGGGCCTGTTGCTGTCTCTGGAGGGGTGAGTATCTGGGAGGGGCATAGATCTCAGTGGGTTATAGTGAGATAAGGGTCTCCAGTTTGTGGCAAGGCTGCTGGTAGTGGCACTCACACTAGGAATTTGGTGACATACCTGTATATCAGTAGGACGGCCTTTTGATCTTGACCAGGGGTCAGTAAACTTTTTCAGCAGCGGGGCGGTCCACTGTCCCTCAGACCTTGTGGGAGGCTGACTATTTTTTTGGGGGGGGGAATGAACGAATTCCTATGCCCCACAAATAACCCAGAAATGCATTTTAAATAAAAGCACACATTCTACTCATGTAAAAACACAATGATTCCCAGACCATCCGCAGGCTGGATTTAGAAGGCGATGGGGCCGAATCCGGCCCCCGGGCCTTAGTTTGCCTACCCATGATCTTGACTGTGGCCTACATTCCTGCTTGCCTCTCCCTGCCAGTAGAGGGCAAAGCAACCCCAGGGTACAAAGGGTTGCATGTGTACTGCAGTAGCCGCTGAAACTGGCTTGTTTATTACTCCGAATGTGGCATGTGGTGCTCTTGATGAAGACAAAGTCAAAAAGAAAAAAGTTGGCCACACTATTGGAGAAGGGTTTCCTGCTGGCTGCTGCCGCTAGGGTCACCAAGCTGTGGGTCGTGTTATCAATTTGGCCCAGGCAGATGTGGCAGCGTTTGCTGGCCTTTGATGTAGCTCGAGCATCAGGGTATGTGGATGAGTGTTGAAAGAGATAGTCGGTGCTGTTGGGCCTTACTAAATAGGCAAGAGGAGAGGCCAGTGGCCTGTTTTCAAGAGCAAAGTTGTCATGGGAGGGGGTGACTTAGAATGCAGCAGCAGAACGTGTGCACATGAGCATGCACACACATGCTTAACTCTTCACATGCCTCCCACTTCTCTGCTCCAAATCACTTTGCCTAGCCAATCTTTTTGCAACATGTAGAGTGCCTTGAGGGCAAAGAGGCCCAGGAATTCCCTCCAGTTATGGACAGAGCAGGTTCCAAACACCTTGATTTAGTTCCCATTTCTCTTTTGACAGGCAGGTCCTGCAACAGACCCATCCAGTGGTGAGTATCCCAGTGGATTTGTCCTTAAGGGAAGGGTGCATTCAGATTAGGAGCAAATCCAACAGCAGAGAAACCTGCTGCTTCTCACCCTGGTCTTCCTTTGCAATGGAGTTACTGTACCTTCTACGGCTTCATGCTGTAGCCTCTCAGTGCAGAGAGGAGCAATAACTACATCTGTTGAAATTTTGCCTGATTCGTTGCTTTCAAAGGCACAGCACCTTTAACCAGAAAACACTGGAGTCCTACCATCCAGTGGCAGTCCAGATGAGATGGTTATTTCTGCAAGCTTCCTTTTGCTCCCCCATTATAGAGAAATTGAAATTGGTTCCTAGAAGCTTGTATCCTCTTCAGCGCTAAGCCACTGTACCTGGTCTAATCTCTGCTCTCTTGATTTGCAGCCACGGCGACCCAAGGAGCCCCTGTGGTGAGTAACTGGCCAAGCACCAGTTTCAGAGGAAGAATTAAATGCTCAGTTGTCACTCTTTTTATTATGGGGAGTTTAAGGGCAGCCTCCTTCAAGGTTCCACTTCCATGGTCAGCTAGTTTGCATGTTCCCAGCACTCAAAACTCCAGCTTTTATTTCTGTTGCTGGAGAAAATGTGATTCTTCCCCCAGCTGGAACAATTATTTGTGTCAATGTGAATGTTGTGTAGAGGTGTGGCTGAGGCACTGACTGGATAGTGCCTGTGGATGAGGAAGAGGCACAACTCATGGGGAGGAAGCGTAGCTCAGTGGCAAGCAGAAGACCCACCCTATTCCTATGGCTGCCATTTGTTTTAATTGTTTTTAATACTGTAGAAAGTGGTTTGTGGAATGCCTGCCAGTGGGCATCTGCTGTGTGTGGCTTGTGCTTTGCTGACGCCGCTGCCACCAGCACCTGCCTTGTACGGTGGCATTGTAACTTCATGGGTATTTTGTCATCCTAGAAACCTTGTGCTGATGTTGTTGGGCCTTGTTTAGAGAGACTGAAGAGCAATCTGCTTCCTCTAGTGCTGGATCTTCTGGATTTGTGCAAAAGCAAATCCCCAAATGGAAGTTGGGAAACAAGGAACAAAACTGGAGTTTTTTTGGCCCTGGGAGGGGAGGGGAGTTTGCGTGTGTATACGATGGTTGAGCTCCTGATTCAGATGAGGAACCTTGGGGAAGGGTCTCTAGCAGCTGCAAGGGGTATTTTGTTGATGATATAGACCAGAGAAAGAAATCAAGTGTGGTTGCTTATATTTGTAAGCAGTGTGTCAGCTTATTTTTCATTTCCCTCTTTTGCATAATTTATTCTGGTTGTTATGGGAAGCGGTAAAGAAACTAAGGTAAAGGGACCCCTGACCGTTAGGTCCAATCGCGGACGACTCTGGGGTTGTTGCACTCATCTCGCTTTACAGGCCAAATGAGCCGGTCTACAGCTTCCGGGTCATGTGGCCAGCATGACTAAGCCGCTTCTGGTGAACCAGAGCAGCACACGGAAACGCCGTTTACCTTCCCGCCAGAGCGGTACCTATCTATCTACTTACACTTTGACGTGCTTTCAAACTGCTAGGTTGGCAGGAGCAGGGACTGAGCAACGGAAGCTCACCCTGTTGAGAGGATTCGAACTGCCGACCTTCTGATTGGCAAGCCCTAGGCTCTGTGGTTTAGACCACAGTGCTACCCGCATCCCATAAAACTAAACATGAAACTAAACTGGGCGCTAAAACTTCCCAACTCCTTGACTATAGGAAATTTATTACTAGACAGCCTTTCCCACAACCCTGAGACTTAGGAGATTTTCTTGTGGTGTTGCCTACATGGTTTGAACCCTATCTTCATAATTACAGGCGCTAGAAACTTGCTTTTTTTTTTTTTACTACTTATTTATTGAAAATGGAAGCTGATATTCTCAGAATACCGGATTTTAAATTTTTTGCTCAGTTCCAGTTTCTATTTTGAGATGGTGTGATTGCAAGATATCCATGCAAGAAAAACCTCCTGCAAAGTGTCCCATTTTCTTCTCCTCCTATTTTTCCTCAGAAGCCTTCATGGACTGAGCATCGGGCTCCGGATGGGCGAGTTTATTACTACAATTCTGAAACCAAACAGTCAAGCTGGGAAAAGCCGGACGAGCTGAAGTCCAAGGCAGAAGTGAGAGCCCTAGTTAGCCTTGCATTCCAAACATAGATGCCTTACTCTTTGTTGAGTTATCTTGAATGCTGAGGAGTGGAGGCCAGCAGACCAGAGATAGGAGCTAAGGGACAAAGGGAGAGGGGGGATCCTGTGAGCTTATTCAGAAGCAGCCCAAAGAAAAAGCACATTGAGGGTTCTTGGATTCAAATCCTACAAGGAATGGTTGAAATTGCTGGGTATGTTTTGCCTGGAGAAGATTAAGAGGAGACACGATAGCAGGTCGCCAGATATCTGGAGGGCTGTACAAAAGAACATGAGAATAGGCCTGCTGGATCAGGCCAGTAGTCCACCAAGTCCAATATCCTGTTCCCACAGCGGCCAACAAGGTGCCTGTGGGAAACCTGCAAGCGGGACCTGAAAACAGGCACACTCTGCCCACCTGCAACTGGTATTCAGAGGCTTGGTTCTCACTACAGCGTTCTATCCCATAGGAGTGAAAGGCAACCATTTGCAAATTCCGGGCAAAGTAAAAATAAATAAATAGGGGTGCATCTGGGGACTTCATTGCTGCCAAGGTGAAGCTTGTTCCTGTCTTCTTGTGCACCAATTACTGACACCCCTGCCTGCTCTCATCTACATAGCCCTATCTTACATTTTGTCTCTTGGTCACTCTGGACTGTGACAGTGTGTTGGGCGTTGGCTTCTTCACGTACACACAAATATACAGATGGTCCTTTTGACTGTCTTTTAAAAAGGGGGTGGTGGTGGAAGTTTTTGTGAGGGAACCTTGTCACCACCACCGTTTTAGGAAGAGCGCAGGCAGCTCCTAAGGTGTCCTTTCTCTCCCCCTTCAGCTCCTGTTGTCGCGCTGCCCTTGGCGTGAGTACCGCTCAGAGACCGGGAAACCTTATTACTACAACACTCAGAGCAAGGAGTCCCGCTGGACCCGTCCCCGTGACCTTGATGACATTGAAGGTGAGGGTCTGGGCCGCCAGGAGCTGATTAGGCCGGGGCTGGGCCCTGCCTTTCCTCAAGCGTCACCATGGTAACCACCCCCTGCCTTTTGTTTCCTCAGCACTGATCAAAGAAGAGGAAGAAGAAGCAGAGTAAGTCCCTGTGGAGGAGCTTCACGTGAGGAAGGGCTTCTCCTCCGGCCAGCTTAACAATCTGGCATGGGGTCCAGAATTCAGCATCCAAAAAACTAACTTTCTTGTGTTGAAGTTGCTTTTAGAGAGAGCAAGGGGTAAGGGAAGCTGTTGGGACTCCACATCCCATCATTCCTGACCGCTGGCCCTGCTGGCTGGGGTTGATGGGATTTGGAGGCCAGCAACACCTGGAGGGTCCCAGCCCTGTTCTTGCCCTTATGGCCAGTGCAAGAAGCTTGAAAACATCCATTCCACCTCCAGAAGAGGCTCGGGCAAGATCCACAGTGATTGAGACTTTCAAGGCTCGCAGAGGCCCTATTTTATGGTGTGCTAGCCTTGTTCAGCATCTCTCTCTCTCTTTCCCCTGCTTTTAGCCCTTGCCAAGGAGAGAAAAGATTTATTTGGCGGGTAGCAGAATTATTTATTTGGCTATTTATTTATTTAGATCACTAGCAGATAAAAATTATTACCGACCCCTAGCTAGTGATTTATTTATTTAGAGCATTAGTGCCCTGCCCTTCAGCCCAAAATGGCTCCCGGAACGGCTTACATACAGCCAATGCAGAAAAGGCCTCTTGTGGTCAGCCTCCGAACCTCTCATGGGAGAAGGCACATGAATAAGTGCCTCAGAGGATGGTCACAGGGTCCGGGTTGGTTTATATGGGGAAAGGCGGTCCTTGAGGTATTGCGGTTCTGAGCCATTTAAGGCTTTATAGGTCAAAAGCAGCACTTTGAATTGGAAACTAATTAGCAACCAGTGCAGTTGGGTCAGGATTGGCATCATATGCTCAAACAGTCTTGCCCTGCTGAGCAACCTGTCCGCTGAATTCTGCACCAGCTGAAGTTTCCGAACTGTCTTCAGAGGCAGCCCCATGTATAACCAGAGCATAGGAGACAGAAGTTAGGTTGTCCCTGTCCGGATAGGGGCATAGCTGGGCCACCAGCCAAAGCTGATGGAAGGCACTCCTTGCCACCAAAGGCACCTGAGCCTCAAGGGACAGCAAAGGATCCAGAATACCACAAGCATGTGTATAATAATAATAATAATAATAATAATAATAAATAATTTATTTGTACCCCGCCCATCTGGCTGGGTTTCCCCAGCCACTCTGGGTGGCTTCCAACAAAGATTAAAAATACATTAAAATGTCACACATTAAAAACTTCCCTAAACAGGGCTGCCTTAAGATGTCTTCTGAATGTCAGGTAGTTGTTTATCGCTTTGACATCTGATGGGAGGGCTTTCCACAGGGTGGGTGCCACTACCGAGAAGGCCCTCTGCCTGGTTCCCTGTAGCTTTGCTTCTCGCAATGAGGGAACCGCCAGAAGGCCCTCGGCGCTGGACCTCAGCGTCCGGGCAGAACGATGGAGGTGGGGACACTCCTTCAGGTATACTGGGCCGAGGCCGTTTAGGGCTTTAAAGGTCAACACCAACATGAATGGTGCCAGTTTCTTGTGTGTGTGTTCTGGTGCACAACGTTCCGAAGCCTGGTCTTCTCCCCTTCCTTAGGAGGCAACCGCAGCCTCAGCAACCAGAGGCGCCGCTGTCGGGCCCTGACAGCCCCACCCCATCCTCCGCAGCCACCTCAGACACAGAAGGCACCGGGGGCATCGAAGGACAGGAAACGCCAGGCACGGAGGGCGGGCCAACTGCAGCTGAGGAGGAGATTGCAAGCAGGTGACATGAGGGGCGGGGGACAGAGAGGGTGTGGGATTAAGGCCTCCTTGGGTTTTGGGGGGACGATGACTCCAACTGCCATCAGCTTCAGCCAGCATGGCCGATGGCCAAGGATGATGGGATTTGTGGTCCACGGCACACAGACAGCTACAGGCTCCCCCATCCAGGCTTGGCTTTCAAACTGGGGGTTTGTGGAGTCTCCCCCCTCCTTGGGGAATTGGAAAGGGAACACCAAGCGGGGGATGATTATGGAAGTGGTATTCTATTCCTGCAAAATAAGCCACAGCTTCCCCTCCACACACACTATTGCAGGTGGTCATAGAGCTCTGGAGTGTGTCATTTTGCAGTGTGTTTAGCGCAGGAGGTGTGGGCTGGTTGTTGTTGTTGTTGTTGTTGTTGTTGTTGTTTTTCCCCGTTGAGGGCATATAACAGCCTAGTACACCAGAGAGAAAAGGTTAGTGTGGCCCTGTCCCTGATGTGCTGGATTCGTACAAACAGGGAGGTTTTATTTTCTTATTAGGGTGCATTAAGAAAAACAACAACATGACATGCCCACTGGCTGCCTGAAGTGGTACAGGCTAGAATTCTAGCGCCCGCTTCTTTGGCTCCGTGGAGGGAGGGGCTGGAGAGTTCCTCCCCTTCAGGGATGCTGAAGCTTCCACCCTTTGCCAAGAGGTTGGGATGGGTGTGTGTGTGGCGGGAGTAAAGGGAAGGAAGTAGAACTCCTGCTGCAACCATCTTTAATATCCATTCACCCCCGTCCACAAAGCCTTATGTGTGGACGTTGGGGGTGTCTGTACCTCCATTATGGCTGGGTTACTGCATTCCAGTATCAGAGGTGTGGAATGCATCTGTGTACCCTGGGACTCAGAAGTATTGCGCTTAGGTCCTCCTTGTGAGTTGCCCACAGGTATCTGGCTTGCCATTGTGAGAAGGGAAGACCCAAATTCATTTGAGAAACCCTGGACATTAGCACTGGCATGCCCATTGCTCCATCTGATACCTTTGGGGGGGTTTGTTTGTTTCCTGAGCTAGCTGTGATCCCGTCCGGAGAGACGAGGAAGACCGTGGCCCTGGTAATGCCTGGAGCAACAAGGAAGAAGCCAAACAAGCTTTTAAGGAGCTGCTCAAGGACAAGGTACTGATAGGGGCAGGTGGGTGGGCTGGAGGACCAGAGATTCCCTCCTAGGAACGAGCAAACACGTAGCCTGGATTGGCGCAGTCCAGGCAAAAACTTGACTACGATTGTGTAAACTGGTCCTGAGATGAGGGGCGAAGTGGGTGGGGCCAGTCAAGCTGGAAGTGCTATTTTGGCTGAAATGCTGCTGCTCTCTGGCTCCAGGGCGTCCCAGCAAGTGCGTCGTGGGAGCAGGCCATGAAGCTCATTAGCAGCGACCCGCGGTTCAGGTACAGTCTGAAACGAATGCCCCTTCCTTCCCACAATGTTATTGCAGCCCCCAGCCTGCTTCACTGCACAGTTGGAAATCCTGACTGTTGCAGGAAGGAGGAAAAAGTCCAGCTAGTCTTAGGCTTTGCCTGGCCCAGAGTGTTGTGTGGCTGGGAATTCCCTAGCACTCCTTCCCCCCATTCTCCCTCACCCCTTGTCACGGATGGGTGCCGTCTCTGGAGAGCAACCCTTGATGACCCTCTTGCGTTGTGCCCCAGCGCTTTGCCCAAGCTGAGTGAGAAGAAGCAGGCTTTCAATGCTTACAAGGCTCAGCGGGACAAGGAGGAGAAGGAAGAGGCCCGGCTCCGGGCCAAGGAAGCCAAAGAGGAGCTTCAGCGCTTCCTGGAGCAGCACAGCAAGATGAGCTCCATCACCCGCTACAGGTAGAGAGTGCCAAAGTTGCAGCCAGGTTTCTTGCAGAGGGGCAGGATCCCAGTGCAGTAGTTCTCTTTGAGTAGGGGGCACTTTAAGGCTCTTTAAGGAGGGAGCTAGGGCACCTGCAGGTTTCTTCCTGGCCCTTCCCACCCTGTTCTGAGTCTGATTTGATTGGCCCTGGACAGAGGAGGTGTCACTCCATGTCTGCCCAGTCAGTGGGTACCATCAAGTGCAAGTCATCATGTTCCAGGCTTCATGTTGGGGTCTGGCAGGACCCATCAATCAAGCTTAGACCAGGAGGGAGGGATCATTCTTCAGCTCAGAGTCCTCATTGGTGAAACAGGGGGCTGGAACTGGAAATGCCGAATAATCTGGAGTTTGAATTTCAGAGCAGAAGTAGCTTTTGGTTGCTGTTGACCAGGCAAGGGAGAAGGCTCCTACTGCCTATTATTGATATTAAAGCCTGGCCAATCACGAGGGCCATTGTTGCATGCCTCTGCTCCCCTTGGTACCTGAAGAAGAAGCACATACCTTCTGTGGCAGATCAGGGGGCATAAGTCCCAGCTCCAGCCTGCAAGATTCCTCTTTCAAGCTCCAGAGTTTCTGTTAGCTCTGCTTTTTCCAGCAGTTCCAGTAGGAGTGTTCACATGTTGCAGTCAGAGAGCTGAGCTGTACACTGGTGCCCTTATTTGTGCCTGACGTGCAGCAAGCATGCAGCCTATGTACCTCTGTACACAACTAGCTGAGCTGAAGAAATCAGCAAGTGCACACCCTTTCACACGAACACATGTACCCGGGTTCCATGCAATGTGGGAATAAGCTTCCTGGCACTAATTAAAAAGTGAGAGAAGAATCGATCTTGGTGCTCCTGGCTGTGGCCACGCCAGAGGGCCTCTGTGTGCATGCCCCCCCCTTGCCCACACGGCAGCAGCAGCATCACCCCCCTGCTGCTTGCTTCCTTTCTTCTCCTGTCACCCCAGGAAAGCTGAGCAGATGTTTGGGGAGCTGGAAGTGTGGGCTGTGGTGCCAGAGCGTGACCGCAAGGAGATCTACGATGATGTTCTCTTCTTCCTGGCCAAAAAGGAGAAGGTAAAACGAAAACAAGGAGTGTGAGCAAAGGAGGACAGAGGTGGTTGATCGTTTGCATAGAATCCAGGCGTTCCATCTCCCAGAATTCCCTCCCTGCCCATCACCTCCCCAGTCCTCATAATGGAGAAGGCTCCCGGAGCTTGGGGGCAGGAAGCCGTGGGTCCTGCTGGGGTGGGTTCCGCCCCCCAATGCTGTCCTCTGCCCCCCACCCAGGAGCATGCCAAGCAGCTGCGCAAGAGGAACATCCAGGCTCTGAAGAGCATATTGGACAGCATGAGCCGCGTCAGCTTCCAGACCACCTGGTCCGAAGCCCAGCAGTACCTCATGGACAACCCCAGCTTTGCCGAGGATGAAGACCTGCAAAGTGAGGCGCCTTCCACCTTCCTAGTCCTTCTCTCTTTCCCCGCACAAAGCCTCCTAGGCGAATGCACACCCCTCCCAGGTGGAAGTTCCAGAATCACATGGGCTCCTATGAGGCTCTGTGCGCATGACAGAAATGTCACACCAGTAAGAAAAAGACTCACTAATAGGGTGGGGTGGAGCCCTTCAGTTTACAAGTGGGGAAAGCTCAGACACCTATCAATATCCAAATCTATATCTGTTGCTAATAAATAAAATAAAGGGAGACCCCGAGGCCCTGAAATCCTAAATACTGTGATTAACCCCTTGAAATAAATATATTCTGTTGGCGTGGGCATTTTGGTTGTGACCTGTTTTGGGTTTGTTGTGCTTTCCAGAAAATAATAATAATAATAATAATAATAATAATAATAATAATAATAATAATTTATTATTTATACCCCGCCCATCTGGCTGGGTTTCCCCAGAAGTCATGAAAGCTTTGGTTCTAGGGCTATAAAGCGTAGAAGCAGTGCTCAGATGTCCTAGCCTTTGGCTCTCCTTGCTGCTGCCACCCCCACCCCACCCCTCCAGCACCACATGCCTCTCCCCCCCCCGACCCCCCCCCCCAGCCAGAGATGATAGACTCCCCTCCCTGTTTCCCTGTGCTGTAGCCTGCCCCACCTTGCTGGCCCAGAGTGATGCACCCCCTTGCCCAGCTGAGCTCGGGCCCCTCCCACCTCTTTCAGACATGGACAAGGAGGACGCCTTGATCTGCTTTGAGGAGCACATCCGGACCCTGGAAAGAGAGGAGGAGGAGGAGCGTGAGCGCGGCCGGCTGCGGGAGAGGCGCCAGCAGCGCAAGAACAGGGAAGCCTTCCAGGTAGCTGCAGCTTTGGGGGGGGGGCACGATCAGTGGGGGGAACCCAGAGCCCCTGTTTGGGAAGTGGGAGGCAGCCTTGCGGAAGGGCAGAGCACATGGTTTGGTTGCAGAAGGTCCCCGTTCAGTCCCTGCCTGGGGTTGGGGGGGACGTCTGCCTAACACCCCAGAGAGTTGTTGCCAGTCCGAGTAGGCAACGACCAGGCTAGATGGACCAAGGGCTTGATGGGAACAAGGCAGCTTCATACACTCTCTCTTGTAGCCGCATTTGTAATCATCTGCTGCTTTAAAAAAAGGTAAAGGGACCCCTGACCATTAGGTCCAGTCGTGGCCGACTCTGGGGTTGCGGCGCTCATCTCGCTTTATTGGCCGAGGGAGCTGGCGTACAGCTTCCGGGTCATGTGGCCAGCAGGAGTAAGCCGCTTCTGGCGAACCAGAGCAGTGCACGGAAACGTCGTTTACCTTCCCGCTGGAGTGGTACCTATTTATCTACTTGCACTTGGACGTGCTTTCGAACTGCTAGGTTGGCAGGAGCAGGGACCGAGCAACGGGAGCTCACCCCGTCGCGGGGATTCGAACCGCCGACCTTCTGATCGGAAAGCCCTAGGCTCTGTGGTTTAACCCACAGCTCCACCCGCGTCCCTTTATGTCCCTGCAATTATCTTGAGGATAAAGGAATTGTTAAGATGGTTCGGCAACAGAGCAAAGGCAGAGACTATTTTGCATGCTCTTGACACAGACAATGTTTGCTTTGACCTGAAAAGTATTCCTGATTTCCTAGGAAACGTTTGGAGGAGAGGCCTTAAAAAAAAAACAGCCCCTCCCAGTATGAGCTGTGTTTGGGCTGCCTAGGGGGAACGTGGGGTTTGGGGGCCTGCTTTGGAGCACATGGGCTGCCCCGCCCCCGACAGGGCCTGTAAATGGGGGAGGGGCTGACTCCCCGATCTCTCTCGCTCTATCGTAGAATAACCAGGCTGCTTCTTGCTCAGGCCTTCTTGGACGAGCTGCACGAGAGCGGGCGCCTGCACTCCATGTCCACTTGGATGGAGCTGTACCCCTCCCTCAGCACCGACAGACGCTTTGCCAACATGTTGGGCCAGCCTGGTAAGCAGACGATGGACAGGAGCCCCTGCCCCCACCCGCTTCCCCATAGTGACCCTCATCCAAAGGGGAGGTGCCTGGGATGTATTGAAAGAGAAAGCAGAAAGCCCAACACAGAGCAGTAGGCGTGAGCACCAGCTGAGGCACACAAAAAGGTTCCACAGGAGCGGGTGAATTTATGCATTGGGTTGTGCTCCTGGTAGTGATTTAGTTGAGCCGATGTGAGAAGATGGGCGTTCCAGCTAACCAATGGGAAGAGAAAGCTGTCGCCGCGGAACGTTCGTAGTCCAACTTCTGTGAAGAGTGGTATTTGTCAGTGCGGCTGGGGTTTAAAAGCACCACAAAAACAAAGAGAGAAAGCAACTCCCCACCCGCAAGGAATTGCCCCTGAAGAAGGAAGGAACCCTTTCCAAAATGCATGGGGCATCAGTAAAAATGGTTGCTTCCAGAGACAGACCATTGTCTTCTCTCTTGTTCTTATGGTGGGCAACATGGCTTGTTTCAGGGGATTAAAAAGCACTCTTCTGCTAATGAAAAGTGCTCAGTGGAGGAAAAGGATGGTTGGAGGGTTTCGGGAGCTTCCATTCCTAGATTCTGTCCCTTTTTTTAGTTTAGTTTAGTTTAGTTTAGTTTAGTTTAGTTTAGTTTAGTTTAGTTTAGTTTTCAGAGGGTATAACTCAGAGGTAGGAGAACATGCTTAGCCTTTTGAAGATCCCAGAGTCAACCTTCATCATTTCCAATTAGTGAATCCAAGCCCTCAGATTTTTAATTGGAAACATCGAGGATTGAACCTTGGATCTTCAGCATGAAGATTGATGCTTGAAGCCCTTGAACCAGAGTTAGCAGCTCTGAGCTGGGGACACCCATTGGCTTCATTCAAGTTTTTAAGGCAACTTACCTTATCTCAGTGTTTTTCAGACTCCCTGTCTTTTGGGGGGATACATTTTCAGCATGGATTTTTCTGCCGTTGCATCTCTGTACATTGCACAGGATTCTGGAGAATGTTTTTAACGCAGAGGGTGAGGAAGGTGTGGACTTCAGCTCCCATCAGCTCTAGCCAAAATGGCCCTGATAGTCAGGGATGATGGGAATTGTAGTCCAGCAGTATCTGGACTACACCTGCCTCACCCATGTCCTAGGGTCTTCCACTGATGCAGGGTTCTTCACTTTCACCTGGCCTGAACTGAGAGTGAGCCAGAGAACACACTTTCTGTTCTTCTGTTGTTGCAGATTACTGGGTGAGGTGGGGGACTGGTAGTGGTCTACCAGGGATTGTTGTCTTGTCATTTACTGGGCTGCTGATAAACTTCTAAGGAATCCCGGGGCAGTTCGAAAGCCACTGTCTTAAAAAACTTCCTTCTTGCAGGCATGAATAACGGGATGTGTTCTTCTCCCCTTCCACAGGCTCCACCCCACTGGACCTGTTCAAGTTTTACGTGGAAGACCTGAAGGCCCGCTTCCATGATGAAAAGAAGATTATCAAGGACATTCTGAAGGTGTGGCCATAGTGTGCGTTGGAGGGACATGGAGAGAATGAAACACCTAAGTTCTTCCTGGTCTACTGCTCCCTCTCTGAATCCCAACCTGTGCTTCTCTCCATGATCCCAGAGCTGGCTGCACCTTCTCCCCTGTGTTCAATCGCAGTTCTTTTTCCAGAAGCTTCTTCTCTTGGCAATGAATCCATAGTGTCATTTGAAATGCTATTCCTTCACAAGCGGAAAATCAGCCATGTTTTCATAACTGTGTCAATTTCACTGTGAAGAGAAACAAGTACAGTGATACCTTGGAAGTCGAACGGAATCCGTTCCGGAAGTCCGTTTGACTTCCAAAACGTTTGGAAACCAGGGCACGGCTTCTGATTGGCTGCGGGAAGCTCCTGCAGCCAATCGGAAGCCGCGGAAGTTGCGTCGTACATTTGGGTTCCAAAGAACGTTTGAAAATTGGAACAAACAAAGGTATGACTGTACAGTCTACCTTGTGTCAATTCACTTTTTGTGAATTAAAAAAAAGTAATGAGTGAAATTGACATGCAGCAGATGTTGGAGAGAGTGGTTTGGAACAGGCTATCTTGATACTTTGTGGTTTTTGGAGGGAAATAGGGGAATTCCTAATTCTGTTGTTCTCCTCTGTGCACCCCCCCAATCTCTCCTTGGTAGGACCGGAGCTTCAGCGTAGAAATAAACACAACCTTTGAGGACTTCGCCCATGTCATCAGTTTTGACAAGCGTGCTGCCACGCTGGATGCCGGCAACATTAAGCTGACTTTCAACAGTGTGAGTAGGGCAGGGGTCTGTCAGTGTGCCTCCAGACTGTCAGCGGGAGGGATTCCAGCGAATGCGATTTGTGTGATTAAAGTGAGTTAAAGGGATCTGCCGCCCTCACATGTCAGTTCCACTTTCAAAAGGAAGAAAAATACCGTATTTTTTGCTCTATAAGACTCACTTTTCCCCTCCTAAAAAGTAAGGGGAAATGTGTGTGCATCTTATGGAGCGAATGCAGGCTGCGCAGCTATCCCAGAAGCCAGAACAGCAAGAGGGGTCGCTGCTTTCACTGCGCAGCGATCCCTCTTGCTGTTCTGGCGTCTGAGATTCAAAATATTTTTTTTCTTGTTTTCCTCCTCCAAAAACTAGGTGTGTCTTGTGGTGTGGTGCGTCTTATAGAGCGAAAAATACGGTAATTGGGCTGATTACTGTTTGGAAAGTGATGGGGAAATGCGTTGAAAAAAGTGGGATGCACAAATGATCAATGAGAAGACATGTAAATATCCCACAAGCAAATCAGGATGAATGCACCTCGTAGCATAACATCTTGGCTGAAAGCCACAGTAATAATCCTCAGTAGTCTAATCTCCACATAAGCTTTGTTCAAGCATATCAGGATAAGTGCTCTATAAATAGGTTACCTGGAGGAGTCCGAGTTGCTTGCACAAGAAGTACGGCACAATTTCCAATAGCTAAGTGCATCTGAAAGGCAGGGGCCAACATGCCCCTTCAGTACAGTGACTGGCCCCTTGTTGGCTCCAAATAAATGTTCCTTAGGAGCAGTGGAGACTGTAGGAGCACATTATAGGGAGCAGGATACCCTCAACCCTCTTTCATAATACTAGGACTTGGGATTCACTGGATGAAGATGCTAGGCTAGGGGTGGGGAGTGCGGAACAGTGGTAATCTCGATGTTGTCCCAATTTCCATCAGCCCCAGAATGCTGGGAATTGATGGGAGCTTTAGTCTGAAACCCTGGAGAGCTGCTGCCAGTCTGTGTAGACAATACTGAGCTAGATGGACCAATAGCCAGATTCAGCTTAAGGCAGCTTTGTATGTTCCTATGGCTGATCTGGCAAGGAGGATAATTTTGCTCATTCAGTGCAAGGAATGGGGAGATCCCTAAGGGCCATTCGGGTTCTGTGACCAGCGGAGGTTAAGAGGAATGCCGTATAGTGATGCTCTCTGCTTCCCTGCCCTCAGCTGCTGGAAAAGGCCGAGGCACGGGAGCGTGAACGGGAGAAGGAAGAAACTCGCAAGATGCGGCGCAAGGAGGCCGCATTCAAGAACATGTTGCGCCAGGCAGCTCCTCCGCTGGAACCCAACATTGCCTGGGATGAGGTGAGGTTTTCTGCGCTCGGTTGCAGGACCAGCTCCAGCTGCCTTTATCTAGAGTTGCATGAATTGGCTACTAGAGAGGAGAACGAGCAGGGCTGAAGTTCAGAGATAAGGCACGTGCTTTGCATATAGGAGGTCCCAGGTTAATTCCTGGGGAACTGGGAGAGGCTCCTGTCTTAAATCCTGGAGAACCACCACCAGTAAGTATTGGCTTGTTGTTGTTTAGTCGTTTAGTCGTGTCCGACTCTTCGTGACCCCATGGACCAGAGCACGCCAGGCACTTCTGTCTTCTACTGCCTCCCGCAGTTTGGTCAAACTCATGCTGGTAGCTTTGACAACACTGTCCAACCATCTCATCCTCCGTCGTCCCCTTCTCCTTGTGCCCTCCATCTTTCCCAACATTAGCGTCTTTTCCAGGGAGTCTTCTCTTCTCATGAGGTGGCCAAAGTATTGGAGCCTCAGCTTCAGGATCTGTCCTTCCAGTGAGCACTCAGGGCTGATTTCCTTAAGAATGGATAGGTTTGATCTTCTTGCAGTCCATGGGACTCTCAAGAGTCTCCTCCAGCACCAGAATTCAAAAGCATCAATTCTTCGGCGATCAGCCTTCTTTATGGTCCAGCTCTCACTTCCATACATCACTCCTGGGAAAACCATGGCTTTAACTATACGGACCTTTGTTGGCAAGGTGATGTCTCTGCTTTTTAAGATGCTGTCTAGGTTTGCCATCGCCTTTCTCCCAAGGAGCAAGCGTCTTTTAATTTTGTGGCTGCTGTCACCAGTATAGGCAGTACTGGGCAAAAGGGGACCAATGGTCTGATTCTGCACAAGACAGCTTTTAAATGCCTAGTGTACTGACACATGCAGAGGTGCATTGGGCTGCCTCCTTTGGAGGGCAGGTAATTCTTCTGCATCAAGAGTGATCACATGATTCTATCAAACCTAGTGTATAGCAGTGTTATTTACCCCCAGTTGAGGACGACTGGAAGGCAACAAAAGCAGACCAGTGACTTGTGCCAAGACACAGCGTGGGTGGGCTGCTCTCTGCGTCATGGGAACCTTTACTTATTTTCATTTTTTGCAGCATGCACTTTGGGAATGACTGCTTCCAAAGCCTAAAGTTGATCTTCCCTAGAAAACTTTTTTTGTCTTAATGCAGTTGATGCAAACACTTTAGTGACCGAAGACAATAATTGCCACTGGATGCCTCCCTCCATCAGTAATAATCTAGAAGCTCTTGTGTGAAGCACCTAAAGCCTTTCCTGTCTGAGGAGGAGGGGTTAGGATATCCTGTTGGGAATCTGAGGTTGAGGTTCCCACGCAGCAGAAGTTGCCTCCAGTTCCAGTCACCACACAGAGGCTTAAGGTCCAAAATAGTTTACTGCTGTAGATGATAAGGCTTCAGTAATACAGTTCCAAACATTGATATATACATACAGCTTGTAGGCTTTGCAGATACAGATATACAAGCACAAATTATCTCTATTGCTGCAGCCTAAAGATGTAAAACAGACTCCGACTCATGGACAGACTCACTGACTGAGTACTGAGCTAACATGCCTTAATCACTTATGGTACAAGTCCATTGCCATAGCAGCTGGCTTATCTCATACTTGGGGTGATGTGTGCTCATGAAGGAAATTAACTCTTTCCTCCATGTCCAGTTCCTCCAACATGTTCACCCCCCCCCCTTTTTGGCTTTCCTTTCCAGGTCCGAGAGCGGTTTGTCAACAACATAGCATTTGAGCAGATCACGCTGGAGTCAGAGCGGATCCGCCTTTTTCGTGAGTTCCTGCAACTACTAGAGGTGAGCAGGGGCTGATTGGGAGGGTCAGAGTGGTTGAGCCTCAGCGGGAACTTCCGCTAAGGGGATCTGTGGGGTGGGATTGCCTGATGATGAGAGGCTGAAGTAGTGGGGATGGAGAAGGCAGCAAGCCAGGGAGGCTGTACCAGAAGAAGGGCCAGCTCAGGATTTTTTCTGCAATTTGGATTCACACACATGCACCCCGCTCTCTTTGTCTCCCTCTCCCCACAGACCGAGTGCCAGCATTTCCACGCCAAGGCCAAGAAACACACCAAAAAGCCCAAGAAACACCATCGCAAGCGGTCTGCTTCGGTGAGACCAGGGGGCTGTGGTGGGAAGAGATGGAGGGGGGTGACTGAAGTCAGGATGGTGAGACATGTTCATCAAAGCCAAGTGGCAGAGAGCATTCTTCCCCCATCCTATTGAAACTCTGGGTTGGTGTTTTTGCAGCAAGAAGTGTTGGGAGAAGCTCAGTGGCCTACACCTGCAGTGGAATGAGGTGGAAGAGTAGACTGCACCCCCATGTACACAATTGCCTGTGATTTTTAAAAAAAGAAATATCAGCAAAGAAGGAGCGGACTAGCCTAGGACTTTTTCATGCATGTCCTAGATTTTTCACTTGCAGGGAGTTGTCTATCCAAAACTGGCAGGTGTGTCCACACAGCACGCACACACACTATCACCCTAGGATTCTGCCTCCTCACTTGGCAGTGATTTACATAATGACATAAGATTTACATAATTACAAAAAAACCCCAAATTTAAGTCGTTTTCATGAATGAAAGCATCTCAGTACATATACAGTAAAATTAAGCAATCCCTACATAATTCATAAAAAGGTCTAACAAGACAGAAAAACATTAAATCAGTTACAGTAAAAATTAAGCATCTCCAAGGTCAAATCCTGACCACCACAAAGCCCCCAGATAGTCTTGACGCATCCTGAGTAGCAGGTTGTGCAGAGCTCGCAAGTAAGATGGTCTCTGGCCTCTTCAGCAGCAGTAGGTGGGGTCCGTCAGGGTCTCCCAGGCCAGGTAGAAATAGGCGCAGAAAGGGAGTGAGCTAGCCTAAGACCTTCCTCCCTGACATGCTTGGTGACAATTAGCCCTTGTGATCTCCTGTGGTTTATTAATGGCATGCCGGGCTTCCCAAGTGCTAGTCTGCCCTCCCTCTGGGAGAGGGTGACTGACGAGTGCAAATTTCTCCCCTCAGGGGTCAGAGTCAGGCTCAGACCACCCCCACCGCACAGCCAAGCGCAAGAAACGAAACCATTCGGAATCGGCTGGTTCAGGACCGTCGTCGTCACCTGATTCAGGTAAGAGTGGGGCATTTTGCAGAGCCGAGTAGTTGATTCAAACTGCCATTCTGAGGGAAGTTTCCTCTGCCTGAGGGCCATACAGTGGTACCTTGGGTTAAGTACCGTATTTTTCGCCCTATAGGGCGCACCAGCCCATAGGGCGCACTTATTTTGGGGGGGGGGATTTATTCCCCCCCCCCGAGCCCCAAAGAGCAAAGAAGCGATGACAGCGAGCGGGATGGATCCCGCTAGCTGTCCTGGCTTTGTTTTTAGCCTCCGGAGAGCGCCCCGTGCTTCGGGCTGCAGGCTGCTGCCCACAAGCCTTGCGAGCCCAGCGGGAACTCCCGGCGGGCTCCCAAGGCTTGCGGATAGCTTCCTGAAGCCTGGAGAGCGAGAGGGGTCGATGCACACCGACGCCTCTCGCTCTCCAGGCTTCAGCGAAAGCCTGCATTCGTCCCATAGGACGCACACACATTTCCCCTTCATTTTTGGAGGGGAAAAAGTGCATCCTATAGAGCGAAAAAACGGTACTTAATTCGTTCCGGAGGTCCGTTCTTAACCTTCAACTGTTATTAACCTGAAGCACCACTTGAGCTAATGGGGCCTCCTGCTGCCGCCATGCCGCCGGAGCACGATTTCTGTTCTCATCCTGAAGCAAAATTCTTAACCTGAAGCATTATTTTTGGGTTAGCGGAGTCTGTAACCTGAAGCGGATGTAACCTGAAGCGTATGTAACCCGAGGTACCACTGTATTCCCTAGTGGGCCACCTTCCTGGGTGGGGGTGAGGCAATGGGGTGTCACCCTTCTCTCAGCATAGCAGGGTGCTGGCCAGCCACGCAAAAGGCAGAGGTTTCTACATGGGCATCTCTCCACTGAGGCCAGCAAGAGCCATTATTACAGTATGAGGATGCAGTCCAGCCAGGCGGAAGAAGTGGAGGCCGGGGGGGGGGGGTAAGGGCCAGGGAGGGGTGTGGCCTGGGGAATGTCTCAAGGGTCAAAAGGAGAGGTCTGGAGGGCCATGTGTGAGGTTCCCCACCTTTGGTATACAGAAACCCGATCACTGTGTGTGAGGGGCAGTGCTGGATTAAAGCCCATGGAGGCCCCTAGGCAGTCAAAATCTCGGGGGCTCCCTTGCAAATTATCTCCTAATACGTTTGTGATTTTACCAACCAACAATTTTAATAAACCAAGGGGTGGGGCCCCTAAAAAGCGTGGGGCCCATAGGCCAGTGCCTACTCTGCCTATTTGGTAATCCAGCATGGGTGAGGGGGCTTTGGCACCCACATGAATCACGTGACACCCTGGCCACCCTTCCGCCTACCTGCTGAATCCAGCCAGCGGTGCGTCTGTTCCTCTGTCTGGAATGGGCAGGGATCCACGGAGGTTTGCCTGCCGGCGGGTCAGTCTAAACCGGCTCTTTTGCCTGCTCCCACTGAGGGATGGCAGCACCCACATGCTGTGTCTCTCCCCCCCCCCGCCCACAGAGCACAGCACCAGGCGCTCCAAGAGGCAGAAGAAGAAAAGCAAGAAAAAGAGGCACAAATCGGTGAGTCCCACGGCAGGACACAGGTGAAACAGGTGCGGGGGAGGCAAGGGGCTGGAGCAATACGTCCAAAGCCAGGTCTCTGGGGACCGTTGAGGGAGAGGAATCTGTATAGGAATGCAAGGCCAGGGGTGTTCCACGCTGACCGATCGGGAAATGGAGTTCTGTGACCTGCATGGCTTTGTCCCAGGGGTGGAGGCACACAAAGCAGGTCATTGGCTGGGTGGGAAGCCAGCTGGGTGGGAGCCCCATGTGATAGATAGATAGATAGATAGATAGATAGATAGATGGAAGGAAGGAAGGAACCAACCCTATAGGAGCCTTCTCCTATAGTGAGACTGGCAGTGAGACTGGCCTCAGGAGGCGCAGAGCTCTTGTTGGCTGGAGGTATTTAATGAGAGGTTGGACGACCCACCTGCCAGGGAGGCTGCTGCAGCTGCAAGAGCCCTACAAGAGCAGAGGGCTGGACTAAATGGTCTCCCAAGTTCCTTTTAGATCTGTGATTCTGTAGTGTGAATTAAGCAGATTTTCCTCTTAGCTGCATCTTTTACTCTGCTGCTGTTTACTCATGTTTCTGTGTCTGTAATGGTGAATGTCAATGTGCTATGAAAGCCCCTTTTACCTCAAGAAATCCTGCTTGGTTTCTCCCCACCCCAACTTCTTGCATTGTTGAGATTTTTAGTATATATTTGCAGTTTTTAAGGGATTCTTTAAAAAAAAGAAAGAAAGCTAAATTTCTCAGGATGCATAGTTCTGTACACAGTGCACAATTATGTCGTATTTATGGATATCATCTCCCATTTAATGTACAACACAATGAGTGGCAGCATTTGCAGGGGATGGAGGCTGAGTGTGGACTGCATCCATTGAAGCGCATGGAGGGTGACGCGCAAGTTCTGTTTGTGGGATTGCAAAGGAGTCATCGCATGTCCAGTCCTATAGGGAGAACATGACTAAGGCCACACTAGTTGTCAGCAGTTCACACGTTCTGTTGTCAAATCACCCAGTGTGCAAGGATTGTGTAGGAACAAAGTCAAGTGATGCATTGCCACATATGTGTGTGTGAGAATGAGACCTGTGTGACTGCAGAGTCGAATGGTGAGGTGTGAGGGAGCGAATGTGCCCATAGAGATCCATATGTGAGCCGTCATTTGATGCTGCAGTCTTGCAGGCTTCACACACACAGACGTACACAGACATACCTGCACATCATTTGATTTCTCTGCATCTGATTCCTGCACGCAGAAAGGCTGCCAGCTGAGTGTGTGAACTGTGATTCCACTAGAAGCACTTTTATTTCAGGTGAGCTGAGCAGATGTAAAAGTTCTGTGCTTGAAAGTGCCTTGAGTGCTTCAGAGACTGCTATAAAATCCAGTGGGTTGGTTTGTTTCATGTTTGGAGGATCAGGATGGCTGATCTGCACCTATGTTTTCTTTTTCTGTGGTTATAGCACGTGTCCTTGGACCATTAGTCAGAGCTATTTAGGTACCATTAGCCAACCATTTATTAACACCTTCCCATGTCTACTGCCTGCTTTTGGCACACTGTAAATGACATTATGTGCTTTAATCCACAGGCGGTAAAGTGTGATGGAGTGTTTTGCCTCGGAGCACGGGGAAAAGAGATTAGAATCAGAAAACTTTCCATGCCCTTATGATTCTGTGGTCAGAAGTGTTTGTGTTTTTGTGCTATGATGAATGCAAGCACATTACCCAGTATCTGGTACGAAAGGCAGCATCCTGAGCATCTCAGCTTTCTTTTTCAAATAAAGATTCTAGACCTTATGATTGCAAAGATGTACTTGAAGGCACAAGGGCAATGCCTTATGAAATCCTAGACCAGAGGAGTTTCTGAATAAAGGTTTCAATATCTGTATCCTTTCCCCACATTTAGAGGCCAAGTGGTGACGACAGCAACAGTGCCTTTTCTGCAGTGGCCCCTTCTGCTCTGTATTGTTCTCTTTCAGAGGCGGCTCGGCCGACACTCAACTTGGATTAGCTTCAGGCCCAAAATTAAAGTGCTTTTATTTGCCCAGGTTTTTACCACCACTGGTTCTTATTGCTTCTGCTGCTCTTTCCGTTTGACCGTGTTGTTCTTTTTAATTCTTTATATTTTGCATATCAAAATTGTCAGCCACCTTGGAAACTTTGTAATCGAAGATACAGATTTTATAAAGCAGGGGTGGGCAAACCTGTGCAGCCCTCCGGATGCCACGGGACTCCCACCTCCCATCACCCCTGACTCTTGTTCCATACTGGATCCTGCTGATGTGAATTGGAGTCCCAAGAACTCCAGGAGGGCCTCAGGTTAGCCGTACTGCTGGATTCTGATCAGAGCAGCAGCAACTGCATTGCTAAGGGATCCAGAAAGAAGCAGGGTCACTTGTGTCCAGAACACAACTTGCCAGCTAGTTTCCCCTTGGGGTTCTTTTTCTCAGTTAAGGCTCGTTGATTGTCTCAGCACAGACTCCTCACAACCTTGTCTGTAGTCTTTTTCTGCATTGCCTTAGCCCACTCCGCTTTTGCCACCTTCTTCCCTATATTGGGCTGGTCACCGCTGAGCTGGCTGGGCCACTAGCAGCCCCCTGCCGGCTGCCCCAGCCCAGGCCCCTTTTGCCCTCGAGTTTGCAAGCTGCTTCTTTTACAGAACAGCCCTGAAAGTGAAGCTGAGCACAAGAAGGACCCGAGCCGACCCGACGAGTGGGAGCGAGAGAAGGCCCCTCCGCGACCTGAGGGAAGAGGCCACTCCCCTCCCCGGGGCACCAGGAGGGAGCGGGTGAGCCCTGGGAGGAAATCAAACGGCACCAGGGATGGTGGGTGGGAAGAGGCAAGGAGGATTTGGAAGTGGGGAGGAGGAGGAGGAGGCGGCAAGGTGAGGTGGTGGGCGGGCAAAGGTGCTGGGGTTTCTCACTCGCGCTCCTTTCCCTGGCAGAGCGGCTGGGACACCTCAGAGAGCGAAGAGCTCAGTGAAGGGGAGCTGGAACGTCGGCGCCGGACTCTGCTGCAGCAACTGGGTGACCAGTAACCACCGCGGCCTCTTTTGAGGCTCCCCTTCCACACACGCCAGACCCAATTGGTCCTTGTTCCTGCGTAGGCTGTGCCTTCCTTTGGCTGCGACAGCGCCCAAGCCAAGCGTGTGCACTGCTCTGGCCCGGAACCTGCACAATTGGGCTGCAGTGCCCCCCTCCACCCCCCTGCTTGCTTCCGAGTCGGGAGCAGGCCCTGCCCACTGGCAGGGACGGCCTCCATCGATTCCCCCTGTCTGCATGGAGCCACCAGGACAGGGAGGAAGGATTTGGCTGTACTGTCTGGACCTAAAATTCAGAACCAGCTCTGGGATCCAGCCTGAAGAAGATTAGAGGGAATAGGGTTAGGGGCTCCTCCGTGCATCAGTTGGCAACGTAGCACAGGAGCAAATGGCATCTCTTCTCGACGTTTCACCAGGGCTGCACCTGCTTGGAGCCTCCTTGGCCTAGAACCAGAATGGCAGGGTCCAGTTTGTTTATCACAGCATCAGCCCTGCCTGGGGAATGTGGTCCAGGAATGGGGACAGGATGTATGTTCCTGGTTGTTTTTTGTTCTTTTTTTTTTAAGGTTTGTCTCAGTGACTGGATCCTTCTTTCTGGTTGCAGTAACCCTTGTGTGTTGAGGATTCAGTGGGATTTTTCAAACAATATTTATAATAAACTTGGACTAGAATTATCCTTCTCTGGTGGGCCTCCTGTAGAAGATTGGTTTAAATTTGAGAAATCTGAAGCTTGGGTTATCTTTCTTGGACATTTTGGGAAAATATTGGGGTGGGTGTGTTTTGTTGCATACCACAAATCTGTGGCTGCGTCTGCTCACCAGCATAGTGGGGAAGGGGATTTTCAGAGGAGGGCGACATAGGTGTGCTTTACACTGGCTTGCACATTGTGGACAGATGTGCAAAGGAGGGAGGAGAGTCAAGTCACAAAAGGAAAGCTGTGCAGAATCATGGAAGTGCATATACCGTATTTTTCGCTCTATAAGACGCACCAGACCACAAGACGCACCTAATTTTTGGAGGAGGAAAACAAGAAAAAAAAATATTCTGAATCTCAGAAGCCAGAACAGCAAAAGGGATCGCTGCGCAGTGAAAGCAGCAATCCTTCTTGCTGTTCTGGCTTCTGTGATAGCTGCGCAGCCTGCATTCGCTCCATAAGACGCACACACATTTCCCCTTACTTTTTAGGAGGGAAAAAGTGAGTCTTATAGAGCAAAAAATACGGTAATAAACAAAGCACAAGTATATTGTGTGTATGCAACAATAAATATGCACACAGACATTCCTCAGTAAGAATAAGCAATTTGTGCAATGCTGATCAGTTTATTTGCACAACTGATTTTTTTTATTGATGGATGTCACACTTTTAATATATCTAATTCAGTACAGCTGGGTAGCACCTTTAGTGGGAACACCTGAAATGTCACAAAGGTATGGCGAGCTTTCAAGTTCTCCATAACTCTTCCATTGGGCAAGATCTTACACAGAGCACTAGGTGGGGTGGGGGGCGTACATAAAATAGGCTGTTGTAACTCAGTTTGTAGATTCGGTTCTAATCTGGGAGATCTCAGGATGCATAAGTCTCTTTCTCAGGTGCTACAGCTATCAGGCTACACCGTTAGGATTTTAAGATGAAGAAGCTGGGTCACCCAGATCTGTCCTAAACCTTAAAAACAAAGCACACAAGTTCCTGGGGTAGGTAGAGAGCAGAAGTAAAGAGAAACCCACAAGTTTTTAAATTCAGCAAAGCCTGGGGTTAATTTGGGCCGTGTGCATGTTTAGAAACCTCTGGCTCTTCTAGAACGCAGCGTTCAATACAAAGAGAAAAGATGCACCTGTTGTTTTGCCCAGCTTTTGGCCTCTGGCAACGCACACCACTGGGAGTCCTGAATAGGAATGTGAGCCTTGGGCTAGGAAAAGGTTCTGCACCCCATCTCTTGTCAAATGGGCACCCATTGTCCCAGGAGCTAAAAGCAAAGTGTGGCCAAGAGGAGGTGAGGAAACGGCACAAGTCTTAAAGCAAACATGGTGGTGGTGGGAATAAATCAGATCCTCAGAGACAAAGCTCAGGTGGATAGCCTTTTTGTTTGTTTGTTTTATTTTCTCCGCCTTCTCCCATTAGTAGAAATTCTGTACAGTTCAAAGGGGGGGGGAGAGGAGGAGGAGGCACTGGCTTACAATACAGTCAATAATATTTCACATGTACAAAAAGTTACATCTAGCTACACAAAAGGACTACGATGGAGTGGATACGCTGTAAACTGTCCAGAAGCAGCACCAGGAAGATTCCTGCCTGCTTGGATTGAGCCTCGTTTGCCCTGTTAGCTGTGGCAAAGGCCTTTGAAGGGGTGGTTGGTCCCTTTTGCTTATTGGGTGGGTGGGGAAATAGTGTTTGCTCCAGAAGCAACTGTGTCTGTAGCCCAGCTTCCCCACTTCCAATTAGTGTTAAAATAGTGTTCCCTGTGCGTACTCGTAAGCAGTTTCACACCCACCTTTATTTTATTTTTTAAGGCTTAGAGCAGGGGTTTCCAGCATGGTGCCCGTGGATGCAAATGTGCCCACAAAGGCCCTCCTTTTTGCCCATGTGGTCCCCTCCCCCAAGTTCAGCTTGAAAGAAGCATTGGGGCATGTATGTGTGTACGAGAGAGGCCTGCGGTACTTTCTCCAGTTTGCAAATGTGCCCATGAGCCCCCAAAGGTTGGCGGCTGCTGACAGAGAGAGCTCTGTTTCTTTGCTAGAAAAGGCAAATGTGTCGTGTGAGTTGGCAGTGTGCCCTGTAAGCTTTGGGATACAGTGCAGGAAACCTAAATGCGACAACCTTGTGCCAGAAAAAACCATATACATTCACAAGAGTCGGATTTCCTCAAATCTGCTGCAAAAGAATCATTGCACAAATATGTGAGCTTGGTGGTGGTGGTGGTGGTGGTGGTATTAAGGGAGCTGATTCACATATCTGTGCCCATCACTGAGTCAAAGCAAGGCCCACATTCTGTTTCCAAAATAAGCCAGCCAGGTGCTTCCAGGAAGCTCCAAACTAGAGCCCAGTGTTTGCTCTGCTGTTTCTCCTCATCTTCTAGAACTCAAAGGGGTACTGAGACCAATCTGGTGTAGTGGCTTAGAGAATTGGGAGGAGGTCTGGGGAGACCTCTGTTGAAGTCTCCACTTTGGCCAGTCACTCTCTCACACCCTAGCCCACTTCACAAGGATGTTGCGAGGATGAAATTGGGAGTGTGGTGAGAAATTTGTTTGCCACCCAGAGCTCCTTGGAGGAAGGAGCAGCATTTTAATACTGCTGCAAGGAATTGCTATGTACTATCACAGCCAATATATGTTGCTTCCTCAAGGAGATGTGTGGCAGCTGAATGAGCAAACTAGCTACTCCATTTGGGATTACATGTTCCGGCTTATCTGGTGACAACTCATTTGCACAGTATAATCCTGTTCATGACTACTTAGAAGTAGGCCCCAGTGAATTCAATGGAACTTACTCTCAGGCAAGCGAATATAGCCTTGCAGCCTCAAACATGCAATTCCTGTTGCAGCAATCAACAGATTGCGTGTGTGAACAAGATCCAACTCTCTCCTCCTGTAAGCAAGTTGGGCTCATGATTTAAAGTGGTCACCTAAGAGTAGAGGAACCCAGAGCCAAGTAATTACTTAGGCTAGGGTTCATACTGCTTCATATTGTTGTGGCAATGGGCTATGTGAATGGATCACTCTAGTCTAGCATCAAGGTTTAAGAGCTCTTCTGTAATCAAACACCTGGGCCTCTTCCAGACGGTCACAGTTTTGCAAGTGGAATTCAATAATATGCCAGCAAATTTGGACCATGCAATTAAAGTGGATTTTGCACTCATGCACAACGAAGGCACTTCCATTGTTAAAAATTGACTTTTTGTGGCAAGGAAAGTGATGGGGAAACAAGGGAAGGTGAGGGTTAACAACTGCTTAATGCAATGTCATAAAACCACACAAATCAGAATGAATGCTCAATAAGCAGTGGGCATCATATATCTATCACCTCATGAACTTTTTGAAACCAGGATCAACGTCCAATAAATAGATTTGCCTGGAAGAGCCTCTGATTGTGTAGGTGTCCCAGATGTAGAAAGGAGTAGGAGCTCATGTGTCGGGTTTTCTCTAGGCACAACTGCATGCAACACAGTTGTTGAAGGAAGATGTGTCATCAAGAGTGGGATTAAAAGTGCAGCCCCAAATACACACTACATGTGAAAAACTGTAAGGGATTCTGGGGGCATGCGCTTAGTGTGGGCAGGAACACTCATGCTTTATCCTACAAAAGCAAATTTTTTTGGGGGGGTGTCTCCAAGTGACTGAGTGCATCACTCGCATCCCAATCCTTCCTAATACACCACCAGGATATAAATCAAATTGAACCAGTCAGAATTCCTCTCTTGCACACATACGTACATAACATACATCCCCAGCGCCTCTATTAGTGTTTCCCAAGCTCCTTGTTTCCCACGTTTCACTTACTGCTTCTAAATACATTCTGCCCTGTATCTGCCCATCCCACCCACAAAGCTGTTTCTCTTCCACTGCCTTCCAGTTGCAGGTAGGGCTGCCAGGTCTTTATCTGCAACTGGGCCATCAGACCAAGAGCACAAGCCTTATTTCCTTACCAGATTCCTTTGACCACCCTCCTGATATATGAGCTTTCCGAAAAATAACACTGATGCCACAGTTCCATCCTCATAATCACCAACATGAATTCAAATTTCCAATTAACTTATTAAGTAGGCATTGAAATTGTGGGTTGTTTTACTGTTCTCGTTTCCGCACGTATGCATATTACAGAGTGGTTAAAGGCAGCCTTGCAAATAAAGTCTGCAAAAGTTACTAGTCTACGAGGACGGCTAGTGCATTGAGTCACTAATATCTCTGTTGGTATTTCCTGGCCTCAGCTACCTCCCCCCACTGCCCCCAGTTTCCCCATCTGGTCACTTGGAAGAACCAACCGAGTAGCTGATTGCAAACCTATTTAAAGGCCAGTAAGGAGTCTCCTTACTGGGAGGGGTGGAGGGACACGGGTGGCACTGTGGGTTAAACCACAGAGCCTAGGACTTGCCAATCAGAAGGTCGGTGGTTCGAATCCCCGCAACGGGGTGAGCTCCTGTTGCTCGGTCCCTGCTCCTGCCAACCTAGCAGTTCGAAAGCACGCCAGTGCAAGTAGATAAATAGGTACCGCTCTGGCGGGAAGGTAAACGGTGTTTCACTTCTCCAGAAGCGGCTTAGTCATGCTGGCCACATGACCCAGAAGCTGTACGCCGGCTCCCTCGGCCAATAAAGCGAGATGAGCGCCCCAACCCCAGAGTCGGCCACGACTGGACCTAATGGTCAGGGGTCCCTTTACCTTTCAGGAGTCTCCACTCTTGCTTAGGTGAAATGCACCCACAGAGGATTTCCAGGGAGCATCTGGCTGGTCACCATTGGAAACAGAATGTTGGACATTGGGCTGACCCACAGCAGATTTACCTGTGCCTTTAGTGGCTCAATCAACACTTGCCCCTCCTCTGAATTGAATGATGTGACTGATTTCAGTGGACATACTTCCCAGCCTAGTGGCCTTCCTCTCAGTGAACCTAGCTGTTGAGGAAGATGCAAGGTTCCTTGCAGGTAACCTGTGCTAATTGGGAAGTTAGAGGCAGCTGTATTTTTGACAGAAGTGAAGATGGTAGTTGATATGCAAAGTATGCTGAGGTGGAAACGGCTGCTGGATTTTGCAGTGGGGGTGGGGGTTGGCTTCTTTGGAATATCTGGGTTCCCAAACGTGGTCACTGATTTCTTCACCTCACCCACAAGTGGTTTGGAGACTGCTTTGAATATTATAAAAAACATTCGAAAAATAGTTTACATGAAGTTTAACGTCAGACCTTCATATTCACAGGACAGAAACAAAAGGCAAAATATATCCAGCATACAATGACCAAAAAGAAAAAGAAATGAGTCAGTCTAGGACCTGGCAGTTCTTTCGGCGGAATAATTTTCTGTTCCACAGAGCTCCAAAATTTACAACCCATTCTGCTCTGCTGCACCCCAGCAAAGTGATGGGGCCTTGCTCTAAGGCTTCCTTACCTAGGAGTAAGGACTATTGACTTCAATGGGCTTTACATCTGAGTAACCATGCACAGGATGAACATATAAAGCTGCATCAGTCCATCTAGCCCTGTTCGTTCAGACTGGCAATGGCTTTCTAAGGTCTCAGGCAGAGTGGGAGAGGCCTGAACCTTGAACCTTATGAAGTGCAGGCTTTAGGCTCCTAGGGGTCTCATCTATAATACAGGCCTCGGGCTGCCTTTGGGCAGGATTCAAATACACAGGCGCAAACCTAGCAGGGGTGCTAGGCCTAAACCACAGAGCCAATTTTTCCCGGGACACAATAGCTCAGCCATAAGCACTGGGTTCCCTGCAAGAGTCACCCTGAGAGTCTTTGGCACGGTTTATATACAGACGGTTAATGCAGGGAGATGCTTCTGCCATGACTAACGCTCTAGAACGCCAAGCATCACTGCTTTTCGCAGGTGTGCTCAAGCAGAAGGATTTGCTGAATCCTTCCTGATCAAGTGGTTGATTCCTTCCATTGTCTAGATAACTAGGATGCCACAGGGCCTTGGCACGTGTTCTGAAATCCCAGTTATCTCTCCACAGACTTATGGGACTAAAGTCACATAGGAGCATTCTGCTGTGCAAATGCTCTTGTGAGTAGTTGGCCATGCTTTGGAGCCTGGGGTCAAAAGATCAACAGGACTCACCTGGGTCGGCCTTGGAAAGAAATGTGGATGAATATTCAAATACAGGAAAAAGGACAATTTCATATTCGTAAGCTCTGTTGGAGCCAGCCCTATCTAAAGACCTCTTTGGTGTATTAAGATCTATATAAACCTCTTTCACATAAAGCTAATTGCTTCCTGGTTCCAGAAAGTGGCTAAACCCCCAAGGGAGTAAAGTTGATTCCCTGAATTAAAAACAATTGAAGAAGCAATTCTGCTTTCATTGTCAAATGGCTTTATCCTAATGCTATCTGCAGCTCTAATAACTTCTGGACTAACATCTTTGGTCAGGGGGGAAGCATTAAAGCAGGTTAAGAGGAGATAAAGTGGCTCCTCTTTTTCCGATTGTCTTAAGAAACATCATGGCCTGGAAACTGAGGCCGAGGTTCAGAGAGGAAGGCAGCAATTGGCCATCATAGTGCAAGGGCCAAAAGTGGTCTACCATTTAGTATGATGAGTCAGGTACCAGAGGCGGCTGATTCCTGGCACCCTCATGAGGTAACATTGACTGGAAAGTTATTTGCTGAAAGTCTCACTGATATTAATGAGCTCATTCCATTTATTTCAATGAAATGTTCGCTGATGGGTTCTGTTCCATGTTACTTAGTGGGAAGTAGAGAGGGGCGCCATTTTGACAGTAATGAATTAATGGCTACAAAATGGCTCCCTTCTGCATGCTAATATCTCACTTTGTTACCTGCAGCATTTAACTTCTTGAGGATGATTCCCAGGCTACAATTTAGTGTTTTTACTGCAGGTATACAAATGTATACCTGGCCTTAGGGATGGAGGAGAGTTTCATTCTGTCCCCCTTTTAAAGTGAATCAACAAAGTTGCCATGCAGCCACCCTGGACAAATACACAATTCAGAACATAATTGTCCTCTGGATTTTGCAATAAAAATTCTCAGGTCAAACAATGTACCAAAATGCGTCAAAAAGGCATATTTTAGGATGACATGCATTTAGAAATGCATACACTGAGATAAAATACATATTTAAGAACAGATTTTGGTACATAAAAAAAATACTGCACATTAATGCAGGAACAGACTTATGAACGAACACATGCAAAATTGACACATTTGGGAAATAAGACGGATCCACCCGTCCCTAGCTGGTTCTGAAAGATGCAACATTCATACATAACCATTGGCGCTTGTTCTGAGGGGTTCAAGAGGACATAGCAGGCGAGCTAGATTTGACCTGGTGAGAATTAAGGCATTTGGTCCAGTAAATGAGAAGAGAGCTGTATCTAAAACACCATACATGAACTGGAAGCATAATTTGGTCCTCTGGAAAATAATGAGAATAAGAAAACTAAAAAAATTAAAAACTGGGCAGCATCAAAAGTTGCCTGTAACCTACCTAAGATCTTTTTTTTGATAATCAATGGTTGGCTCATCACCGTCGTTTCTCCGCTGTGCGAACACCAGGGTCACTTCGTGCAGTTGAGACATGAGACTTTTGGTCTGAAGGTTTCCCCTTTTGAAGAAGGATTCCAGTGGTTTTTCGAAAGGCCATCAACGCCTAGCTTTTAAGCTCTTCAATGCCAGCTCAATAGACTACTGCTCCAAGAAGACCACAGTATTGCTGAAGGCTGCTCCAGAAAAACGTTGCTGGTCCACAAAACTAGCGCCATACACAAAGGTCTACTAATGGAAATACTCCCCCCCCCCAAGAAAACACCCCATACTCCCGCATTGCATTGTGACTCCAGCCATGATGATGTCCTCTGTCTCAATCCAGTCAAAGTGCAATTTTGGTCTGGATGCTCAAAGAAGGGGGAAGTCAGACACCTGCTGGCCAAAGGCACTTCTAAACAACCGAAACAGCCTTGTCCTTCAGAGCTGGCTCAGCGAGGGGACAGGAGGAGCAAGGGCTGACGGGAAAGGTCATATATGTACAGATTAAAAAATACACCTTAAATAATAAGAGAATAACAATAATACTGTCGCAGTAAGGCACTTCCTAAATGTCCCTTTGGTTCTTCAGCTTAAAATGTTTGAAAGGATGGAAGTTTTTTTTTTCTTTGGCAAAAGGAGAACTAGGCCTGGGCTGTTGGGAATGCAGCAATAGCCCATTGGAAAGGCAGGGTATGCAGAGCTCTGTGGGAGAAAGGAACAGCCAGTCAGGACGGGAGTAAAGAATTGCTGGAGAAACAATGCATAAGCGCTTGCTGTCGGGGGCATTAAAGACTGTGAGGCAGTTCATGTACCATTTGGAGTGGGGTGAAAGGCAGGCAGCAAGAGTTCTTGCCCCTTGGGGGCATATAACCACCCACCCAGGCCACCCCTCTCCACATTCCCCCTTTTCAGGCAAGAGCATACGAGACACTTCTTTGCCAGAGCATCAAACAATGGGTTCCGTGGCAGGCTAGAAAAATAAAGGGGCTACCCCCTCTCCCCACCAGTGGGTGCTATGGAGCAAGACTGAAGGCAGCTGAGGATGATGGGCAACTGTGATGGCCAGTTCTCTGTCCCAAGGGCAAACTTTTCGTTTTGGTGTCTCCTACTTAGGCAGAAGCAGCAAAGCAGAGGATAAAAGGCTCTGTGGATCCAGAGAGCTGTTGTTTCTTACCCTCTGCCGCGGATGAATTGAGAGGGGACTAGAGGCAGATGGTTCTTGCTGCTATGGAGGGGATAAAAACAAAAATTAGGCCAAATTGGGAAGGGGTGGGTGGGAGGGAAAGCTCTTCTCCCCTGGGGGCTGGATTCTGCCCTTGCCAAGCCTTGTAAGGAGCCACGAGGTCTGGAAAAGCACCAGCTCATCCAATTTCCAGGGATGGCATGGTGGGGTTGGGGATGGAGCTGCTAAATCTTTAAACCAAACTCTCTGGTGCCCAGCCTCTGTGGCTCCCAGCTCTATCTGCACACTGCTAATGAAGGGGATTGCCTGAGTTGCAGTCGAAACAGTGCAACTGATTCCCTCACAGTCCACATGCGCTGGGACTTCACTGTGCTCTTGGGAAACCACTGGGGGATCAGATCAGTGCTGCCTTCTCCATGGGGGCACCCCAAGGACACTGCCTGTGCTCCCCACTGTTTGCTACTGCACGAAGCTGGCACTGTAGGCAGTCAGTGCGTAGACATGTTCTTAAGTCAGGGGTGAGGAAACTGTGGCCATCTATATGTGGCAGGGCTACAGATCCATCATCCCTGACCATTGGCCAGGCTGGCTGAGGCTGGTGGGAACTGGGAGTCCAATGACACCAGGGTGGCAGCCACAGGTTTCTCGTCCCTGCCTTGAAAGTCTTGGGCTTAAACCCGTCCAGACACACTGAGTGCAATCCAGAGAAAGCGAAGGCATGCCTAAATAATCAGACCTGGCATTTATCAGAGCACCGAAAGTCCTTCACGGTCAATCCAGCCGCAGACTTAAATGTGATGAAGCCCATTGGCCTTAACTGTACTTAATTTTGTATTGGTCTGTGGCCATTATGTCAGCCATCCTTACAATAACTGTAAGGTAGGTCAGCATTATCTACCCCCATATTGCAGATAGGGGCTGAAGGTGAGAAATAGTGTCCTTAAGGCTGCCTAACAAACTCATGGCTGGCGTGAGATTTGAAGCTGGAGTTTGACAGTTGGCATTGACTACATCTGTTTGTATGCTACTTCCAGTCATTTTATGAGTAAAATGGTGGCGGCAGTGACGACTACTACTATCACTACTAATGGTGCTCAATACATGCAAGCATCTATAGGAACACAAAAATATAGGAAGCTGCCTTATACTATTGGCCCAGCAGCCCAGTAAGAACACATGACAAGGCTTGCTGGATCAGGCCCATGGCCCATCTTGTCCCTTATCCTGTTCTCACAGTGGCCAACAAGATGCTTCTTGGGAGGCCCACAAAGCAGGACCTGAGCGCGACTGCTGCTCTCTTCCCACTTATGGTTCCTTCCCAGCCACTGGTTTTGTCCACTATGCCTGGCAAGTGGCTTTCTGAGGCAAAGAAAGGCTGAAGACCTTTCTTTGTCACTAGCTAGCTGATCTTCTGGGAGACTTCAGTGGGCACTTAATTCCCATTTAATTCAGCAAGATTTGGGCAAGCCTCTGTATTGCGCCCAGTTTGCATATTCAGCTCTTATATGGAAACAGAAAGAAGTCCAGAGATGAGAATCCGCATGAATTTTGGCTCTTTGATTAAAAAAACAAGCTTGGCCAAAATTTAGCCTGTTTCGGGTAGAGTGGGAGGATAAATTATCATGCAGATCATCTTTTGAACAAATGAAACTGTTAATTATTCTATCTGCAGCTCCCCTTCCTCCAAAATATACATTTTGGCTGTAACTATACAGCTACTTTTCCAGGAGAAACCCCCATGGAACTCAACGGGACTTGTTTTTCAGTAAACATACATAGGCTTGCAGTCTTGATCTCACTCCATGGTTTTTTAAACAGTCTCTTTCAGATGTATTGGGTGGGTGCAGGAGGCATATTTGAACGCGCCCTTGCAAAATATAGATCTCTACATTAAGGCACGCTTAAGTGGTACAGTCCCTAAAGGAAGACATATCATGAGAGTTTGCTGCTTGTGTAAACTGGCCCTAGGTTGTAATCGACCACACTTTGCTGACTGCACAGTTAGATGGTGCTGTTTTCACCCCCAACAAGAATTCAGGCAGCAACCCCCACCCCCCACCCCCACTCTTCAATCAAGAGAGGATTTAGTAAAGCTACTCTACTGCATTAGTGTGATGAGATGATCTGATAAACAGACTGGAGATTGATGCATGCGAATCAAGACAGGGGGACTGTAACAACCTCATCATGCCAACCATGCAAGGTATAGACAACAGAATTGTAGATACAAGATGAGGCCTCTGGGTCCATGCAGGGATTCTCAACAGTGAAAAGGAAGATGAAGTGAAGGGGCTTTTTAATTAATTTCTGGTCTTTTAAATCAACCAGCAAGTTTCTATCCTTCATGTTAGCAGAGAGAACCCTGGAAATGTATAAGGATAGAAGGCAGTGTGCAATTCTGTCCAAAGGAGAATTCTGGCAGGTGCAGCTTGTCGTGTGGAAGTGAGGGAAATTTTCTCTCTCTCTCTTTACACAACTAATTGAAATGTACCGGAGCCTCATCATCTCCAGGTCACCTTGGAGGCAGCCTGGAAAGAGCAGCTCACACAGCCATCAACTACCGCCATGATTCCTGAGCAGCACCGCTGAGTCGACAAAGCAACTCTCTATAAGCCTCCATAACAAAATTTCCGTGACCTGGCTTCGGACTACAATTCCCATCAGCCCCATGTCGGCTGGAGCTGATGGGAGTTGTTGTCAAAAACAAACATGGAAGGCACCAGGTTGGAAGCCAGGCTGCTGTATAGTGATGGCGATTCTCTGCCAAGTGGGGCTTCTGAGAAGAGGTTGGGAAGCCCCGAGATCATGGGAGGAGACAGCAAGGCATGCAGGAGGGAAGCCTAGGCTCTGTGGAGGGAGCAGCTGCATGCAGAAGAGAAAAAGACGATCCACGGGTACCTTTGACGAGGGAGAGGGCAGAGCTAACAGTTAGGCTCATCATGGTGGGATGGCTCGCAGAAAAAGCGAGACCCCCGCTTCGCTGTGCGGGCAGTGAAGGGAACGCTCTTCAACACTGCGGGGCGGGAGGGGAACGGACAAAGACATACAAGATACGTCAGACAGCGAGAAACACGGTGGGCGGCTTATTTCACAGAACATGGATGCAGCTATACTCGGGATGTCTTAGGCATATACGATGCATATACGGCTAGTGCATCGAGGAGGGGACTATCTCAGGGAAAGAAGCCCAGGGCCAGAATTCTGTCATACAGAAGCCTCCGGAAGGCGAAATGGTTTGTTTTACAAGAACGGTAACGCCAGAGTTATTATTAACGCCTCTTGGGAGATGGCCTACGGGCAGTCCAGCCTGCAAAGCCACAGAGTGACCATATGGCAAGGAGGGCATGGCTCCTGTAGCTTTAAATGGGTGCACAGGCAAGGGAATTCCGGCTTTGGTATGTGGGGAAAGCTGTCCCTGCCAAAAATTCCCTCACCTGCACAGCTGCTCAGGGTACAAGAGCCTTGGCCTCCTTTTCAGCTGGTCACCCTACTCTAGCCTTAACCAACCTGGTGCCCTTTGGCTGATTTGGTCTGATCCAAAGCAACTGGAGGGCACCGGGTGGGCAAAAGATGCCCTGAGGAGTTTCCCCACCTCACGCAATGACCCAGCCATGCCCATTTTCAACACAGTGCTTCCTTTGAGGTATATGCTAGGCCCGGCTGGTTTGGGGGCCGAGTGCAGCACGATATGCTTCTGCCCAGGAGAACAGAGCGTCACCTGAGCCTGTAAACGTCAGCCATCCCTGCTGCTCATCACTGAGCACCTCATGTCATTAGTGGCATGGTGGTACAAAAGTGTTATACCACAGGTGGAAGGGAAGACCCTCACAGAGCCAAGCAAATACCACAACAGGGGAACATCAGCACGGAAGCAGGCAAATGTCACTCCTCACCTAAGCCTGAGGAAGGCTGTCCACAACTGGGGCCTGATTTATGAGCCGTGATATATTTTGTCTTGCGGAGCAGGGCCACAGACATGCCAAATAGGCACAGAATGAGGTACTGAGTGCAGAAAACGGTTTCCACACCTGAACACACACACTTTCTCGTGTGTTGATTTTTTTAAAAAGAAAATAATTTCTAGTCCTTATGGGGGCAAAAATAAGACGGTGCTGTCATGTGTGTGTGTGTGTGTGTGTGTGCGCGCGCGCTTTGCAGCTATTAGGCTGGACAGGCCCTTAAGAACCCACTGTATAGGTCCCATTTTGCTTTATTGTTGGAGGAGATGGGCTGGAAAAGGAAGAGCATTTGGGAAATAAATAAAACATTGCTCCTTTAGGAGACTTCCGTTCACAAATACATCACGGTATAGGTAAATAAAAAGGAGCAGGGGCGAGAGGGAGCATTATAGAGGGCCAGAGATACAGTGTAGGGTGAGGCCCTTCACTCTGAGGGCACAAGCAGTGCCTAAAACACCTTCTTTTCTTCGCCCACACAAAGCCACAACAGTCACTGGGGGGGGGGAATGAGCACAGCAAAGGAAGTGGACGCTCCCCTGCCTCAGGGTGGGTTGCTTACCGGTGATAATATCCTCAATGGTCCCATCTTTGCCTTCATAAACAGGCCGGTGGTCCTTGGCCTGGCGCCGCCTCAGCTCAGCAATCAACTCTTGCTGCTGCCACTTGTTGCGCTGTAAAGGCAACTGCGGGCAGGTCAGGAGTTAGAAGGAAAAACAGCCCCAGCTCAGCCGCCACACTGTGTCCCGCTGTCCACGAACCTGACTGACACTCCTACCTGACTGACAGGTGCAGCCACTTTGAAAATGTGTGTGTGCGCACGTGCCTCTCTCTCTTTCAGGGATTAAAAGGGGCCCAGAGACACAGCAAGGGCCATGCATGGACTGTCTTGTGAGGCATTTCACTAGGAAAGGCTTTCGTCTGCCACTGGACCCAGCAGGCCGAGGCTCTGTGCTGTGAGCAGACTGGCACACAGGAGAGCAGGCCAGCTGAAAAAAGAAAATGTTCCTTGCAGTTTCTCTCCCAGTATCACACTATGGGAAAGTGAGCACCAATTTAATGAGGAGCTGGCTTCCCTGTCAAAGCCCAGAAGGAGAGTCCTTCTCGGTAATGCCGTGTCAACTGCACTGGCTGGTGCTATTCATATTTATCGACAAAGCACCGAATCAGAACTTGGGAAGCCGCCTTTCGCTGAGTCAGGCTGTTGTTCCATCTCACTGAGTATTACTTACACTGACTGGCAACAGCAACTTTCTGGGGGGCGGATTCTGGCCCTACCTGAAGGCGCTGAGGATTGAAACTGGGCCTTTCTGCATGCAAAGCAGATGCTCTAACCGCTAAGGTACGACCCGTCCCCAGAACACTGTGCCGGATGCCATTTCCATTCTCTCTTGGGACATAACCTGGGAGGGGGTGGGACTGCAACAATAAGAGCTGCTCTTCTAAAAATCTGCCTTTGGAGCAGCAGGAGATATGAAGGACTGAAAGGCATCACACGCAAGTTGACAAGAAGCTAATAACAATATGTCCATCCCCGCCATGCTGCAACGGCAGGAGGGGCTTCCTTTGGCCCGCCCTCCCTCCCTCCCTTTCCAGAACGCATCCCTTCTGGTCTCCTGGCTCCCTGCACCATCACCCCCTACCTTCTCCAGCCTCTTGGCTTCTTGGGCCAGCGCCTGCTCTCTTTGGGCCTGTTCCTGCTTCTTACGCATCTCGTTGTCTTGCTCTGCATCCTGGAAGACGGAAGCAGGGAGAAAAGTTAGAAGACAGTCCAACCAGTAGCCAGGCAGCACCTAGCTGGGGATATAAGGAGATGGAGTTCCACTGAGTCAGGCCGTTGGCCAACAGCCTGCTGGATGAGATTTGCCCGGCACTTTGCGGGCACAATCACTTGGATCTGTGCTGAGCTGGATGCCACCATTCGAGTCAATATCAATTCCACAAATAAATAAATGGGCCCATCTAGTCCAATGTATCTTCCATTTGGCAAGACACAATTAAAGGTAAAGGGACCCCTGGTAGTTAAGTCCAGTCGCGAACGACTCAGGGGTTGCGGCGCTCATCTCGCTTTACAGGCCGAGGGAGCTGGCGTTTGTCTGCTCTGCAGACAGTATTGCCGGGTCATGTGGCCAGCATGACTAAGCTGCTTCTGGCGCAACGGAACACCGACACCAGAGCAGCACATGGAAACGCCGTTTGCCTTCCCGCTGGAGCGGTACCAATTAATGTACTTGCACTTTTTGGCATGCTTTCGAACTGCTAGGTTGGCAGGAGCTGGGACAGAGCAACGGGAGCTCACCCCATCACGGGGATTTGAACCACCAACCTTTTGATCGGCAAGCCCAAGGCTCAGTGGTTTAGACCACAGCGCCACCCACATCCCATATAAGACACAATTACTGCCTTGCAAATTTTCTGCAGGCTAAGCTGCAGAAAATAACTCATGCCATTTCACGTGTGCTATGAAGTTAAGATTTACTTATATTTATCTGTATGGTTGTAAGTTGCTTTAAACTGTTTTTAATATTGTGTTTTAATGCTATAGCCCACCCTGGGACCTTAGATAGATAAGATATTCTTATTACCTGCCCTTCATCCTATCTATTGTCTACACTGGCTGGCAGCAGCGCTCCAGACCAGGCTCTCAGGCAGAGATTTCTTTCCATCCACTTGCTACCTGATACTTTTAAACAGGAGGTGCCTGGGACTGGCTTGCAAAGCAGGTGCTCAACCAGAGGTATATGGGCCTTCCCTCTAAAATGACTACCGTTCCTGGCCACATGGTGGGGCAGTAGACAAGAGCGTTTAGTCCGGCCACAGGAAATCCAGGCTCAGCTGGACAACCTGCTGCCTGGTGGGTTGCCTTGAGTGGGAACCACAAAGCTGGAAAGGGATTCAATGGACCATGCCCCACCTGAGACAGAGACAGAACGTCCTATATATAAAGGACCCCGCCCCCTCAACAAAACTTGCTCCAAGGTTCCCTTAAAAACCTCAAAAGAATACATCCCACGCTGGACCCAGAAGTTCCTGATAACAAGTGGCCTAAATCCATCTCCCGATAACCAACAGCTGCACCTTTTTGTTCTATTCTCAAGCGGAAAACTGGTCCCTCTCTGGGTGACTAGGTCTGGCCCACCTGGGTAACCCTCTGCCTCTTAACCCACCTCACACGGTTGTTGTGAGTCCTACAGGCAGGAGAGGAAAGAAATCTAAATAAATGGGCAGAAATGGGAATGAATTTTGACAGGCTAGGGAGGGGATGCACACGTGGACATGGTCTTTTGTCAAGAGCCGTGTGTGGATTGAATCAGTAACGATGTGGGTGAGCCAGGCACTGATTCCCTGCAATCCACAGCTCTATCTGGGAAGCTAAAACCACAAACCAAAGTTTTCCTAGTCCAAAGAACCAGGTGCTCCCAGAGAGCCAATCTTCGGCCACTGCTTGCCACACGAGTCCAGGATAGTCCGGCACGCCCTCAGTCTGAGCATCTCATCACAGAAAGAAGCCATCCCTTTGCACCGCTGGAATGTTTCCAGCCTGCTCCCCACTCCTCCCAAATGCTGCACCTGGCCAGCACCTGAACCCAGGACACAACAGCCTTCTCCAACAATGGGAACAGAGTGATGGCAGCAGAAAGGTGTGGCTGATGCATGTGATGGAGGTTCAAGGAAATGGATTGGCTTTGCTCAAGGGACCAAACCTTGTAGAGGAGCTTTGGAGGACTGGGATGTTAGCGAAGAGCAGATGGGCTATGGAGCATGTTGAGGTCCTCGCTGGTGTGGAAGAGAAATGAAGGAGCATGCCGGGAGGGCGCTCTAAATCTCTTGCCCACTGGCCACACCTAATCACAGGAAGACAGGTAGGGCTACTTCCTGCTGGGAACAGTAATAGGCAGCACTTGGTGGGGGACGGGACTGGCAAGGGGGCTCCCACTTCTACACCAGGGTAAGGCATGAACTTGTGTGGCTTCTAAGGCGACCTGGGTTCTCTCTTTTTTTTATATAATGATTTTTATTGAGATTTATGAACACCAACACCAACCAACAAAAACATCAAGTCTTATTACATATATCCTACTTTATGCTCCATAGAGCTGTTGACTTCCGTCCTTCCCTTCCACAAGTTTTCCTATTCCAATCTATAATTCACAGTTTCATTAATTAAAAATTACACCGTGACATAAGATTTACTTCAATCCTGCCAACATTTTCATATTTGTACAGTTCTCACTTATATAAACCATAAATTTACTCCATTCCTTTTGGTACTTTGTCTCCTCCTGATTGCAAATTCTGTGTGTCAATTTAGCCATTTCAGCGTATTCGACCAGCTTTATCTGCCATTCCCTTACAGTCAGAATCTCCTGTAGCTTCCACTTTTGGGCTATCAAAACTCTAGCTGCTGTTGTTGCATACAGATAGAGTCTTTGGTCTGTCTTCTTAATATCTTCTCCCACCAAGCCTAGCAAAAATTCTTCCGGCTTTTTGGGAAAACTATACTTAAATATCTTTTTTAACTCATTATAGACTGATTCCTAAAACTCTTTCATTTTATTACATGACCACTACATGTGGTAGAAGTCGCCATCCTTTTCCTTCCATTTCCAACAAGTTTTACTACTTATCCTATACATTTTTGCCAATTTGGCCAATTTGGTGGGAGTGAGATACCAATGATAGACCATCTTCATAACATTCTCTTTTAAGGCAGAGCATGCGGTGAATTTTAGACTCTCATTCCAGAGTTATCGCATGCATCATAGTCTATGTTATGTCCTAAATCAATAGCCCATTTTGTCATGGCCTCTTTTATGAATTCATCTTTTGTATTCCATTCTAATAAAAGATTGTACATTTTTGAAAGTGCTTTGAACTTATTTTCTATAATATCTGTTTGGAATTTCGATTTTTTTATCTTCAAATCCTAATTTTTTATCATCTTTAAGGCGGCCTGGGTTCTCTAACACACATACCTTGTAGGATCGGATGAAGCGCGCAAAGACCGGGAAGAAAACGGACGGCGGTGTCGTCTTGGGGCTCTCGCCGAAATAGCGCACAACCGTGTTGTAGGCCTCCTGCCAACAAGAAAGCTGTGTGAACGGAGGCTGGCAGTGGCCCCGGCCTTACACTCAGTTTTACCATGGGAGGAGGATGCTGGCGCAACAAGTTTGGGGTCAGAATGAAAATCTATGCACAAAGAAACCTTTTGACACATGGCCTGCACGTACAGACCTGCCGGGTGTGATCCACTTTGCACATCAGACTAGCATATTCACATGATGAAACCGATTCTTTAAAAGGCACACAAATCTGATGTTCAGAGTGCATACAAACTCTGCTGTAGGGAATGTCGCGGGGATTTTGTTTGGTCCACATTTTGTTTAAACAAACCAACTTCACTGTGGCTCAAAAAAGTGCCAAAATGTGAATTAAAATGTAAAAAATTCACATTTTAGTGTGAAATTGTGTAGAAAATGTGTACTCTTAGTGTGAAAAAATATGCTAAAAACATAATGCAAACCTTTGTGTTTTTCTGTAAAATTGCAGATTGAAATGGAAACAGGCCTGGAAACCGACTGGTAATGGGATGGTACACCAGAGCGTGTTGAATTTTTCAACTTCCAAAAATGAGGGGAGCTAAAAAGTTCTGACATGATTTGGGAATTCAAAGGATATTTTGGTTAAATTAATAAAATGTAGTTTTGCTCGGTAAGTAAAATGTGCATAAAACTGCATAGAAATCTTTAAAAATGATTGCCAAGTATTTGCAGTTATATTATATATTAATATTAATATTTATTATTATTGAGCGTTGCCTGACTTATTCAGATGGCAACATTAAAAATTATTTGGTTTTCCGAAAGCAGCTTATGCGCCTCTTCATCAAACGTAGACTTACCAAGCTACATGTTATCCAACCACAAAAATAACAGCAGATTTGAATTGCTCACACCCAAAACCATACATTTAATACCCCTCAGTGAAGAAATTTGCAAAAATTAAGTTTCACCTCGTAAAATGACACGTCCTATGTGATGCACTCATGCCTACTCTGAAGGGAGTTTGGCATGTAACTAACAAAATAGGAACTGCTTACATAACACACAAGCACAAATGCACCCTGGATCCCATTGCAAAAATCTGACACCAAGCAAGCACAGATTAGTCAAATTTGGCACAAGTACTACATCTGCAAATGTCCACAGCCAGGCAGGTGGCAGGATTTCCATACGTGAATCTGGCATGCAGCTGGAAACAAAGACAGACACAGTGTTGAACTATATGCCAGACCGGTGCTTTTTAACATGCCACACAGCGCATAAAAGGATTTGCGCTCCAAATCCTGCACACATTTTAAGGACCCTTCTCTGCTCACCCCCAAGCTGTGTGCCTGCTCCTTCTCCACTCACCTCCGCAGTCTTCGCGTCTTTCTGTAGCCGGTCCAGCTTGCCCTCATTGGCGTTCAGGAAGCTGCGCAGGATGCTATGGTCACGCAAGCTGCACTCCCGCCGGATCAGCTCCATCCCACGCCCCAGCTCCTTTACATCCAGCAGCACGTTCTCCAGGGATACTGTGGTGGGACAGAAACCACTGGGTCAGCCTGGGAACCAGCTCAGATTGGGGAGTGTCAGTTTCACGGCTCGGAAAAGGCTAGAAAGAGATGCACAGGCCTCAAGAGGGAGGCAGGCAGACTCTAAGGTCAGGGATGGGGGACCTGTGGCCCCCCGGATGTTGATGGAGCACAACTCCCTCATCCCTGGCCTGTGGCGAAGCTGGGGAACTGCAAAACAGACCTGCTGTAAGCATCAATCAGGGCTTATCCACACTTAACTTTTGCCTTGCTCTTTCCAGGCACTGGTCCCCACTTTAAAGCTCTGTGTCCACCTCAGAGCTTTCTCCGTGATAACCCTCTCTTTAAACCAGGCATAGGCAAACTTGGCCCTCCAGATGTTTTGGGACTACAACTCCCATCATCCCTAGTTAACCAGACCAGTGGTCAGGGATGATGGGAATTGTAGTCTCAAAACATCTGGAGGGCTGAGTTTGCCCATGCCTGCTTTAAACAAATGACAATTTGGGCTTTCTGATTGAGCTTTGAAGACCGGGTTTTCATGGGGAAAGCTCTGGGGCAAAAAAATAGGACACTCAGCTTTAAAGTGCAGCCTGTGCCAGGAAAGTTATGTGTGGATAAGCACTCAATGCACACGCACTGTAAACATCCTACTTTCATGATGTCTGAAAGCGAGCGAGACGGAAGTAGCTACAGAGGGGACACCTCTGTGAGGTCTTGGCCCGGCCCCTTGAACAGGCTGGTGGTTGGAAGGGTCCCTACCTGCAGCTGCTTTCTCCACGAAGTGCAGTTCCTGCCAGAAGGTGCTCAACTCGGGGTATTTCTCCTTCACCATCATGGCAATGAAGTGCAAGAGGGTTAGCTTCCGGTCCGTCGACTTGGTGTCCAACAGCTTTTGGGGTAGAGGTGGGGAAGAACAGAATGTCAAGGCACTGCTACAGCCATCTGCACATGCAGGTGCAAATTTGCATGCGGGCGGGGGCATATGGGCGCATGGAAGCAGATAATCAAATCTGCACAGTGTGCATTAACTGAAACACGGGAGGCGCTCACAAGGGGCGGGGAGAGCAAATGCGTGGACGCATGCCATCAAGCAAGAAATCAGATACACAGGTTTGTATGCAGGGCTGAGCAATTCTGCAAATTGGCGTCCGTGCATGGTTTGCTCCATGCATGTAACCGTGTGTCTGAGCAGAAGCACATACAGAAAACTCTGTGAAAGTTGCCTTGCTGTAGGGCAAGATAGGAATTTAAAAAAACAAGTTTGGGAATCTTGCAAGGTGGCACAAACAAACAGCTGCCGCCTGAACAGAATGGCCATGTGGTGTAGCATGCGGGAACGGACACCATCTTCCTCCTAGGCACATTATCTGAGCACAGGGGTAGGGATGGATACCTTTGCATAAGCTTATGTGCCCCCTTTAGCCCCCTCCTTACCAGATCAAGACTCTGCAGCTTAAAACCATAAACCGAACCACGTTTGCTGCTGTTCATGTAGTTGCCCAGTGCGAGGATGATCTGGGAGGGAGAAAACAGGCGTGACACATAGATGCTTGACGTGTCTGATATTGAAGTCATACAAGGGAGTCCCCAGCCAAAATATCCTGGGCCACCTGTGCTTAATTTCACTGCTTTCATGGAGGCTATGACATTTAACCTGGAAGCCATCAGTACCTAAATAGTGTAGGAAAATGCACGATGCTCAGAGGCACTATTTGAACCCTTACTTTGCCTCCTGGCAAGTTACAGAATCAGAGTTGGAATGAAGCTCAAATAGCCCAAGACGTTTTTATGCAGGAAATCGTCTGCTACAGCATCATCCCTGATACAGCTGCCCTCTAGCCTCAAAATACTCTGCAAGCTAAACAGAAATAGTTGCCCCCCCATCACACATTTGCTGTTTCTCTTGTAAGTACTTCTATATCAGCAGGACCCACCTCCAACATGCGTTTGAGCTTCTGTGAAGACTTGACAGATGCAGAGGCAGCAATGATTGCACTCAGTTGCTGTAGGAGGGCAAAAATAAAAAAGGATTATTATTGGTTTTGCTGCACCTCAACACTTTGTCAGTGTAAAATCATGGAATTGTAGGGTTGGAAGGGATCAAAAGGGTCATCTGGTCCACTCTCTCCTGCAACAGAAGTTGAATAGAAGTTCCTTTCACACAGGGCGCTCTCAGACGGTTGCTGTTTTGAGGTGGGATGCAATCATATACTGTCAAATTCATCTTGGCAATGAAAATGCAATGGGAAGTCATGCTCAACAAACCTCCTTCCTCATCTAAATTTGACCTTTCTGTGATAAAGGAAAGGGAAAATGCACTGGGAAGTGTTGGGGAACACTTACTTGACGCAACGTCATCTAATCTCCCTGCAAACCAACTCAGAATGAATGCTCATTTGATAGCCAACTTCATCTAATTTCCCATCAAATGCTGCACAAACAAGTCAGGGATCAATGCTCAATAGACAGACTGCTTGGAAACAACATCAGTCTGGAAAGTGAGGGGGAGGGCGAGGAAATCTTGATAAACTGTCCTCCCTGACTTTCACAGGTTTACTGTGCTTTTGCAAGCAGAGCCCGTGCATGTACTACTTGTATGCACATGGGTTCTGTTTGCAAATAAAGACTAGGGAGTTGGGTGCAAAAACATGGTTCTCTCTCTCTCTCTCACTCACTCTCTCTCTCTCTCTCTCTCACTCTCTCTCTCTCTCTGTTCGCTGTATGCTCTACTTGGCTGCCTGGAAAGGACTGAAGGAAATGAAAAACGGTTCTGCTGCGAAGCCTGCAATCAAGTAATTATTATAGGCTAATGAAAAACCTGAAAGAAAGACAGACGAAGGATAAATAGTTGTTCTGTTGTATTTTATCACTATCAACATCAACATTTCTTGTTGTCTTGGGTGTTTTAGTCAGAAAAGTGGAGTGTAAAACCAAGTAATAATAATAATAATTTATCCAAGAAAACACTAAAATACAATAACCTATTAAACATTAAAAGCTTCCCAAAATGGGCTGCCTTCAGATGTCTTCTAAAAGTTTGGTAGTTATTTTTCTCTTTGACATCTGGTGGGAGGGCGTTCCACAGGGCGGGTGCCACTACTGAGAAGGCCCTCTGCCTGGTTCCCTGTAACATGGTTTCTCGCAGTGAGGGAATGGCCAGAAGACCCTCGGCGCTGGACCAAGCAAGAAGCAAAAGAAGGGAAAGCGAAACACTGCGAGCGTAGAAACATAAGAAGAGCCCAGCAGGATCAGATCAAAGAGCCCAGCAGTTTGTTCTTACAGGAGTCAAGCAGATGTGTCTTGCTCATATGCAGAACCTATGAATACCACATGAGAGCTTGTGCCAGCATGGAGAGGATAGGGCTTAGTATGTATGAATCAAGACAAGAAGGTGTCACAAACCACAATGGTGGCAGGTAACAAAAATGGGTCAAGAGCGTCCAGTGAGGCTTGTGAGCCAGACCATCTAGCTCAGCCATGACTATCCCTACTAGCAACAGATCTCCATGGTTATTTCCCAATGCTTATCAAAATTGAGGGTAGTTTGAGCTGAATCTGAGACCTTGCACATGCAAAACAAGTGACCTACTAAAGAACTACCTGTGCCTCCCTGTCCCTTGACGTTGCTGGGCACCACCACAAGCAGAGCCATGCTGTTTGGCAAACACCCTTTGCTGCAGTGGCACAGCCAGGTGGCAAAGAATGTGAAATATGTCAATTACCCTCCGACGAGACTGCTAGGTAATCTGAAGGTTATGCAATGATGCAATGGGTGTTTGCACTTGCTAGCAAAATATTCACCGCCTGATTTCAAAGAATGTGTAGGTTTAATTGTTTTCAAGGGCAGCAGCAGTGTGTGTGTATGTGTGTGTGTTTAATAAAGCTTTTGATCACCAATATATGTCTATCACAATATGGCACGTCTAGCCTCTTGCAGAAACTTAAAGCAGGAAGATCAGCCCGGAACTCCTACTGTCCAAACCTCTGTATGTCCCACCAGAATCAATGTGGCTTTCTCCCAAGTAAGTATGCTTGGGACTGCAAACTTTCCAGTGAAGGAATGGGTTCCCAAAATCTAAAATCTGACTGTGCAGTCAGTCTGAAACGGGCCCCAAAATCCTCGTGCTAATGCACCCTTGGAGAAGGAAAAACGAGGATTTTGGGGCCCGTTTCAGACTGACTGCACAGTCAGATTTTAGATTTTGGGAACCCATTCCTTCATTAGCTGCATAAACAGCTAGAGCTACTCTCTTGATTTCTCCCTTTTTAGATATATGGAAAGGTAAAAGGGCACAAAGGTGACCAGACCAGGACAGGGAACTTCATTCCCAGACTCCCCTCCTCTAGCTTCATAAATTAACCCTTCCTTTCCAAGAGCCGAGGACAGAGCCCAAAGAGTTTGGGCTCGCACAGACAGAGGGGAGGCAAGTCTCGTACCGGCATGAGCATCTGGATGTTCTCACTGAAGTTGCCCAGGAAGGCCATGATGGCCATGCGCTGCGTCAGGCGCTCCACCTTGCTGAAGTGCAGCATAAAGCGGTCCTCGTCCGACAGCTCCTCCAGCGGCTTCCGCTCCTTCTCATACTGGCGCAGCAGCTTGACCTCGTTCTCCGTCGGCAGGAAGCGCATGAGGCACTCGACAAAGTCCACCGGAAGAGTCTTCAGGTCAAACCTGGAAGAGCAGCAGCAGCAAAAACGGCCCTGTGTCAGAAGGCAGCAGAAAGCGGGGCTGCTAAAGGAACTGGGCTGGGAGCGGGGAAGCCCAACGGAGCCCGTGGGGTGACGTGGCAAGAGTGTCAGGCTGGGGATCTGGGAGGCCAGGGTTCAACTCTTCACTTGGCTATGAAGTTCACTAGGTGAACTTTCTTGAGGTGGTTTCTCTATCTCTCTCTCTGCCTAACCTACCTCATAGGGTTGTTGCAGAATAAAATACGCCAAGGGACAGCCACTTTGATCTCCTCAGAGAAAAGGTGGAATATAAACATAATAAATAAATGTATTTCAGGGGTGCTGTGGAAGGAAAAACAACACACACACACACACACACACACACACACAGATACCCACGTGTGAATGGCTTTGCAGATCTCCTCCGTGCTCCTCCCTGCTTTGCGCAAGGTGATGGCAAGGTTCTTGGCCCGGTTGGCTTCCAGCAGGGTGACCTTGTTGGCTGCCTTATGCGATGCCTTGTTCTTAGAGCAGAGGAGGTCAATGGCCGGGCCTTGGGCTTTGGTCTTAAAGAGCTCCTCAAACTTGTCTAGATCAAGGTCCTGGAAGAGGAAAGAGGATTCAAAGAGCTACCCATCCTGCCGGTAGGTAATTATGATACTAATGATACGAATAATAATGACGACAACAACAATGACATACATTCTGATTTCAAGCTGCTCATAATTTGCCTTTTCACTACTGGAGGAATTTCAAAGCCACTAACAGCATGTTATCAGATGCTTCAGTTTTGGGAGCTAGGGAGGGAACAGTGAATAGAGATCTGAACTTGGATTGGGTAGAAGTAGGTTCAAATTCCTATTTAAGGATTGTTGTGAGTATAAAATGGCGGGGAGCCCAGTGAGCGTGTTGGAGGAACGGTGGGATACGTATGTGAAGAATCAGTACAAAGCAAAATAGAAGCCTGAAGTTGAAGAATTGGCTGGTTGGTTCCAATAATACATGAAATTCTCTCTCTCCTTCTCCCTCACAGAGAGAGTGAGCAATTTGGTCTTTGTTGCTTCCTTGGGGTTACCAGTCCCAAGAGGCAGAACTCCCCTATCAAAGGTCCCTTCCTTTGCTGCTCTCTTCTGTTCTGCCAATAGCACACTACACCTCCTCTCTCTTTGACATCATGTGTAGCTTCCCCCCATTCATCAGTTTCCCTGGCTCCTCCTTTCTTCACCTCCATTCATTCCTTCCCTCCCCCATTGTTCTCATAGACTTCTGCTTTTCAGGCCCTCATAGCACTGCGCTCTTCTCCCTTATAGTACATGGGCACTGCTGATCTCAATCACTCCTTAGAGCCCCTTCCCTTGCCTTACTTCCCTCCCTCCTCTCCTCCTTTCCTGAAGCCTCATTCTCCACCAACCATTTTTTCACACTCATTATTCTTACACTGTGCATCGCCTATTCTATATTCTTCCTTCAAACTCCTTTCTTCTGGGCACACTCTCCCTTAGCTTCCCTATATCCCGGGGCCTCTTCTCAATTCTTGTGTGAGGCTCTGACGCCAGCCAAAGTGACAACTTTCCCTTCCCTCAAAGAGACTGCACTACAAACTGTTCAGTTTCCCTCAGCAACTGAATGTTCTGTGCTGCTGCACTTGATAGGCTGATAAGGGTTTCACCTGCACAAGTACAGAAGATACAAATACAACGGATTAAAAGTTTTAAAGAATGGTGCACACCATTCAGACTGACTTCCCCCTTTCCCTCACCTCCAAGATCTTTTCATCATCCAGCTCACTGAAGACTGTGCCGCTGATCTGGTTGGGCTTCAAGGCCGTCCAGTTAAAGACCGGCAAGCGGAATTTCGTCTTGATGGGTTTCTTAATCCGGATTGCTTGGGGGCACAGAGGAGAGAAAAAAGTATTATTTGTCCTCCCAGGGGCGGAAGAGGTCAGGGCTCAGCTCAGCTTGGTCCCAATGGGCCACTGGGAGGGAATAGAATTGGGTTGGTTCCCCTAGCAAGTTTCTGTTCCCAGTTTTGGTTCACCTTCACAGACTTCTCTCCCAGGAAGAAGAATTCTGTACCCAGAACCATGTTCTGTGCTTTTACTCGTGAAATTACAGTGGTACCTCTGGATGCGAACGGGATCCGTTCTGGAGCCCCGTTCGCATCCAGAAGCAAACACAACCTGCGTCCGCGGGTCGCCGCTTCTGCGCATGCACGTGATGTAATTTTGACCGTCTGCGCATGCACGAGTGGCGAAACCCGGAAGTAACGCGCTCTGTTACTTCCGGGTCACCGCAGCACGCAACCCGAAAATACTTATTCCGAAGCTACTTCAACCCGAGGTACGACTGTACAGCACACATAGAGCAAGCACCCAGGGCCTTTCTTTGCTGTCCCTCTTTCCGTCTTGCAGGTGGATGGGTGGGAAGAGGCAAAACGTACCTGATAAGCCCATAGTGAGAATCACAGAGGGAGACGTCCCTGGAAGTGGTGGAGCTGGCGGACACTTATCTGTGAGAGAAGAGGGGCGGGAAAATATATGTAGCAACAGTCGCCCTCTGTGCAACTGTGTGTGAGAAGAAGGCAGGTTTCTTTCCTTTGGACTTACCCGGTAGCGGAGGAGGGGGTGGGGGGAGAGGCGGAGGAGGGGGCGGGGGTGGAGGGGCAGCCTCCATGGGAGGCAGGACCGGGAGGCGGAGGTCATCCTCGGGGATGTCGCTGAAGTTGACCTCCGCCCCTGGAGGTGGCGGCAGCGGCAGGTGGTCTCCCCCTGTTGGGCGAGAGGTATAGTGGCGTCGGAAAGCCTCCTCCTTCTCCTTGATGATTCTGCGCAGGGTGTGGACCTGGTTGCTGGCACTTTCGTAGGTTTCCTGCCCCAGAAGAGACACATCGATTAGGCCTCCTCTTCCCACTCGCTGGAGGCCGTTCACAAGGCTAGATACCGCTGGGTCTCAAAGGACCAAGGGACACATTATACGTTCAGCAGAATTAAGGGGCAGCGCTTATCCCCAGCCGCAGCACCTCTGGGAGCTGTGTGTGTGTACATATTTACACAAATTTACATTCTCCTCCACAGGGATAAATAACAGACATGTAGAAGTTGTGGGATGTAACATAAGCAGTCAAGTACAACACTTCCTGTTTGCCCAGAGTGGACACGCAGGGGGGTGTTACTCCAGCCAGGAGGACTTCCTGTCACACCTGGTCTGGAGCTTCCTCCCCCTGCGTGTGACCAGGTAGGTGGGCGTGACCCTGGGAGACACCATAAAAGGGGCGGATCACGCAGCCACCTTCCTCTTGATGCCATGCTCTTCTGATGCCATTTCTTCTCTTGGACTGCACTGCTGGGTCTCTGCCAGCAGCACATGGGTCCATCCTTACAAGGATGTAAGCCACAAGCTGAAGCCTGCCTTCAGGGATCTAACTGTGAACTGAATGTGAGTAAACTTCTTATTACTTTTAAAAGAAGCTTCTTGTGTCTTTATTCTGTTTAGGAGGCATAAAAGGGGACTAAGGGACGCGGGTGGCGCTGTGGGTAAAACCTCAGCGCCTAGGACTTGCCGATCGTATGGTCGGCGGTTCGAATCCCTGTGGCGGGGTGAGCTCCCGTCGTTCGGTCCCAGCTCCTATCCACTTAGCAGTTCGAAAGCACTCTTAAGTGCAAGTAGATAAATAGGGACCGCTTTCTAGCGGGAAGGTAAACGGCGTTTCCGTGTGCCCCCGCTGGTGCCGGCTCGCCAGAGCAGCTTCGTCACGCTGGCCACATGACCCGGAAGTGTCTCCGGACAGCACTGGCCCCCGGCCTCTTAAGTGAGATGGGCGCACAACCCTAGAGTCGGACACGACTGGCCTGTACGGACAGGGGAACCTTTACCTTTACCTAAAAGGGGACTTACCAGGAACCCAACCCAATCTGAACGAAGCCAGATTGGATTGCTTAAGTAAAGAGATTCAAACGAATCTACCAACTAGCTTCCTGCTATATATTGTGGAATGCACTCTGCTGCTGACTGACAAGTACGAGTTAGGAAGGATACTATTAAATCAATATATCCTCTCCTAGTATCTACAACATTCCCACAGAAGTTACATGGGTTTTGCCCATGTTGATTTTAATAATCTTTTGAATGTTTTTAAATACAGTATCTGTTTTTAACTGTTTCCCCACCCCTCAATGGATAATTTTAATGTTTTATTTATTTTGCAAACTGCTTAGAGGTTTTCTTACAATCAAGTGGGATCTAAATTTTGTTTAAGATAAATAAATGGGACCAAAAAGGCTTGGCATGGAAATGGGGTCTAGACTAGCCTGACATATTTGTTTCCTATGAGCATGTCATGTTTCCCCCTGGGGGGCAGGGCGAGCAGGAAGCAGGAAGGGAGGGGAGAAGATGCAAATATGCTCCCTCCACCTGCAGCAAAATATGATCCAATAAAAAACTTTGCTTCTTAGTTCTGCTGATTGCACCAACTGCTCAGGGAACTGGGTCAATGCCAGCACTGCCCTGGACCCCTTAACAGAACAGTTGAGATTTATCTGCAGGAGAAGACCCACATCCTCACACAAGGGAGGAATGGGGCCAAAGCATGGACAGTCCACAGAAACCCAGCCAGCCCCAAGCAAGGGAATAGGGACCATTTGCCAGCTGTCCTGAGTGTCACATTGTCACTTTGACCTGTGAACTAGAGCCCCATTAAAAACCCACATAAGATAAGACTTAAGAAAGGATTGTTAGGAAAAATGCCCAGGTCCCAAACCAACAGGCATGCAAGAAATAGCCTGGAAGGGAATGGCTCAAGGAGGCAAGAATTGTGCCTCATCTCTACAGTGGAAAGACCCAAGGATGAACCCTGATGGGGCAAGTTCTTGCAAATCAGGAGTCTGTCAAAGCTTCATTCTTCAGGGAACCTTTTCCACACAGACCTGCCAGGCAGGGAACGTGGCATGTCCACTCGAGAAATCCTGTTCATGGGGAGCACTAGGCCTCACCGTTATCCTGAATATCGTGTCTGAATAGAAAGTGTTCCCTGGCATACAGCAGTTCTCCCCCTGTGGGTAGGAGGACTGGGAATGGTGAGCCAACTACCAAGGAAGCCTGTCCATCGTTACAGATCTTTTCCCTGAGAAGCGTCTGAGGAAGCATCCCAGGGAGGTTAGAAAAACCAATGCCGTCCACCCAGACGATGGACGGACCCCCATCTTCTTAGGAAAGCCTCCGCATCGCTTTTTCCTGGCCACATACCTTGACAATCTCCAACTCCTTCTCCCGCTGTAGCAGCTGTTTCTCCAGCTCTGCCACCCGCATTATGTTTTCATTCTCCAGATCCAGAAGCTTTTCTGTCAACTGAGTGGAAGAAAATAGGGATCACCAACTTTCCTTTGGTCAAAAAAGGCGGTTCTGTTCTCATTATCCTGCTCAGATAATGAGAAAATCTCACGTGTGGAGCAGACTCGTGAGGCTCTTGTTTTTAAACAAGCTGCTGGCCCTCCTGGTTATAACAATGTTTTTACAAATGTGCAGGCAGTTAAGCCTGACTGCACCTTCCCTTCCCAATGCCACACTAGGCGATCTTCTTCAGCACAATGTACAATTAGCCTATTGCCCCAAGACGGTGGTGATGGCTGCTGGCTTATGGAGCTTTTAAAAGGATATTAGACAAATGAATGGAAGGTACACTCATTTCCCTCTTTTTTTTTGTATTTTAACTTGTATATTTTAAAGTAGGTTTGTATTTTTTCTTTGATTTTCTTGTTTTATCTTTTTTCAAAGCTCGCTGAGGGTTGTTGTTGTTGTTTTTACAACCAATCTGTGTATAAATTTTATGAAATAAATTTAGCCATGAAAGCTAAATGGAACATCCATGTTTGGAAGAAGTATATTGCTGAGTACCAAACGCTGGAGGGGTAAACCATGGTGGAGAGCAGTTGCCTTCACGCCCTGCTTTGGGGCTTCCCAGATGCCTCTGATCAGTCACTGTTGGAAAAAGGGTTCTGGACTAGATGGAACCATCTATCAGGACTCTTCCCTAAATGGCCTCAGCCCTGTATACCTGAAGGAGTATCTCTACCCCCATCGTTCAGCCCAAACACTGAGGTCCAGCTCCAAGGGCCTTCTGGCGGTTCCCTCACTGTGGGAAGCGAAGTTACAAGGAAACAGGCAGAGGGCCTTCTCAGTAGTGGCACCCACTCTGTGGAATGCCCTCCCATCAGATGTCAAGGAGATGAGTAACTATATAACCTTTAGAAGACACCTGAAGGCAGCCCTGTATAGGGAAGTTTTTAATGTTTGATGTTTTATTATGTTTTTATATTTTGCTGGAAGCTGCCCAGAGTGGCTAGAGAAACCCAGTCAGATGGGTGGCATTTAATATTGTTGTTATTGTTGTTGTTGTTGATTCCTATGTTCTTCTGGTGAACTAAAGGGGGGTATCTGTACACTTACATGTGATAAATGTTCTTCCAACTCCTCCACTTTCTCCAACGCTACGTTCTTGGTCTCAGCATCCTCCAGCAGCCCTCCTACATCAAATACGTTGTCCAGGTAAGCCTGGATCTGTACTTGCAACTTTTCGCTTTCTGTGTGTCTCGACTTCTGTGGAAAGAAACGAAAATGCAACACAAGAGGAAGAAAACTGCATGAAGCCAGTGAGCAAGGGGAAATTATCTTAAAGGGAACAAGCTTCCAGGTTGCTGCGTGATGGCACTGAATCTCGCCCAAAAGCTACAACAGAACAGTGAGGAGCATCTCATGATACATTCCCACAGGATGTTTTCCACGCTCCTAGTTCATCTGATAGTACATACCTGGAAGCACTGGAGGCAGCCCCAATGATAAAGTGAGTCTGATGTCAACCCTGGTATGTCAAAGCTGGTATGTGACGAAATGCCAAGGTTAATTAGGCCTCCGGAGAGCACTTTGGCTTATGGAATCCTGGAAACTGCAGTTGGGATTCTGCTGGAGATCCCTAGACCCCCTCCACAGAACTACAATTCCCAGAGATCCCTTGAAAGGAGGAATGACAAGTAAGTGAGATTAAGTTTGAGGGCCGCTTATGCCCTTGGAGGTGTCTGGAACTAGCACAAGTCTGACTTACTTCACAGCCATGCCTTGCCATCACTAGTCTCCTCAGAAGGGTGTTTCCATCCCTTCCTGCTAGGTGGCTAGAACTCTTCACTGAATAGCTCTTCAGTTCCCAAGTTCTTTAATGTGCCTCTGAAGAGGTCTGACCTTTTGTACCACTACGCTTCTTTATTCTGCCGTTTCGTTCCTGTTATTGAACTGGTGCCTGTTTCCCTTCAGCGAGCAATGACCTTGGTTCTGAGAACAAGACTTGGTCTCCTAATGTCTGTTTTGGTTTTGATTCAGCTGAAACCAAGGCTAGAAACTGACATCAAACCGGGATTTCCACCCAGACCTTGCACCCAACTCCACTGTTCTGCATCCTGCCATTATCTTCAATAATCAGGAGAGGAATGGTACTAAATATCCAAACCCACCTTCTGCCCAACTGGAAATTATTTTGGCCTTTTAAAAAGATGTTCAGGTTTGTTGTCTATTTTCATGTGAGGGTGGCCAGTCTTTCTTTTCAATAACAAGGCATTTATTTGATGCTGGGAATTGAGAAGTTTAATTCTTTTCGTATCCCCACCCCCCACTGCCTTGCAAAGGTTTTGCTTCCAGTTCCATCAGTCACTTGCTAAAGAGTGTTTTTGCTGGAATCGACGACTATTCCACAGCAAAGTATATCACAGCCCTTAACTGGAAGGTTTAAACTAACAGTAGGGTCCTCTTTGCCTGATGAGGTTGTTAAGTGCATTGGCTGCCATCACAGCAGACATAAACAGACCACCAGACTACAAACAAGTATCTTGGCAACTCAAAGGAAGGGAAAGGGAGGAGGAAGGCAAAAGTTAATGTTGGTTTTAGAGGAGCTGGAGACAACTTGAAGAAGGCATCACTTTCCATGGGATCCCCTTTATTTTCTAGTTCCATAACTGTCTTTGGTCAAGTAGGTTCTGTAGGTTTTTGAAACAATTCAAGCCCCAAGGAACCTGTTTACCAGAGACAATGGTGAGACATGTACACATTACAAGCAGAAACCCATCCCTACCCCCAAGCTGCCTCTCTGAAAAGAGACCAGTCCATCTCCAACTGAAGTCATAGTGCTCAAAGATAGCACAAGGAACCAAATGTGTGTTGATTAAGGGAAACTCCCCTCAGCATGTTTGTGAAGAGGGAAGTTTCTGTGGTTTTTTAACAGATAAAATTTTCAGGAAATGTGAAGCAGGCATTTCATAAGAGTGCTTCCATATTGAAAATGTTGTGATATTACAAATAGGTAATTGACAACTGTTTGGGGTTTTTTACAAAAAAAATTTCCCCTGGATTTTCCTCATGAATGCATAAGGAGCAACAATCTCACAACAAACCCCTGTTTGGAAGCACCCTCAGTTCCAGGCTATCTTTATCTGCCTCTGATGAAGTGGGTTCTGGACCTCAATCCTTGACAACCATATGTCAGGAGTGCTCTGATGGTGTTTCCTGCTTGGCAGGGGGTTGGACTCGATGGCCCTTGTGGTCTATTCCAACTCTATGATTCTATGATTCTATGAATCATTTATGCCACTATAAATTTGATAGTCTTGAAGAGGTGCTACTGGACTCTTAATTGCTTTTGCTGCAACAGGCTAACAAGAGTAACCCTGTATTTTGGAGCAAAGGCTCCAAAAGATACTCTAAATGAAGGCTACTCTCCAATAAGAGTACGGCATGCTGCCTTTCTGTCAATCTGTCTCTCTCACACACAAACATCCTGCCTGGACACAGTTCACCTCTAGTTGAAAACACCTCTATTAAAAGGATAAGCAGCTGTTTTTTCTTGTTGATCTTTGGTACTGATCACATTGGTTGTTGTTTTTCCGCCTTGATTGCCTGTTAGTGCATAAATATTGTGCCAACAATCATAAGTAAGCCTAGAGGGCATTTTGTTCCCCTCAAAAGGTAACTTCTGTACACCAGGAGAAAAAGGTAATGAAGAAAAATCTGTGAACAAGACTGCAATGTAACACACCCATGTTTTTCATGAGGACCAGCACGGCGTGTGATTCAAACCTCAAAGCGATTTTGCTTCAAGGATTTGGCACAACGACTTCTAGGAGGAACAACATTACTTCTAAATCGCTATCAAAACTTGTCTAAGCTCAGGGAAAATGCAGGAATCTTGCTTGCATTAAGCGCCTATGCATTTAGGGGTCAAGGGTGAGTAGATGCCGCCTTCCTGTGATTTTCTCTATTAATTCCTCCCCTCCCATGCAGGTGTCCCTGGCTGATGGATCTGAGCAAGCCACCCTGCCCAGTCTCATATGGTCACAAGTTGTTCTGAGAAATTTCAACCATTAATTTGCTCTAACACCCTGGTAGAGTTTAACTTAAAATCAATGGACCTAGACAAAGATCAAGAGACCATACATGAGTACGACAATTTAATGATTCATGTGTCAGAGCACATGACTATTAAGCTCACAACCCCAGTCACGGAAAAATCTGGTGAGGAAAAATGCAACTGGTTGGTTTAACCGTGAATACTTATCTTTAAAGACACAGGTTAGAAATAGATATCACCAATACAGAGACTCTGGTGTGCAGAGACTGCCAGAGGAATACTTTAAATTGAAACACCAATTACATCTCTTGATTGGCACGAGGAACAAGTTTTTCACTGAAAAACAACGGGAATGTTGAATCCAAGCAACAGTAGCTAACAATTCTGGCATTAGTTTCTGGAGCCCTTGACGAGAGACCCTCCATGACTAACACCGTCCCATCTCAAACATGGTACGAATACTATTTAAAAGTATTCTGCGATGAGAGGGTGGGCTCTGTGGAGCCTCAGGAGTTTACTATAGAGGACCTCTCAGAATGGGCACCAGTCACAACAGAAAAAAGTTAGACTTCTTATTGCCCCAAATCTAGGAAGGCCCAGGTCCTGATACTTAAACTAGGTGCCGCTTTGCAGATATCAAACTGAGCATGCAGGCGCCAAATGGCCAGGAGCCAGCAGCACATGCAACTATAAAAGGTTCAGATCTAGCTGAACAACCCCATTACCCATCTTTGTCAGGCATTTGACCTATTCTTGGAAAAAGTCTGACCGGGACTAGGTTCTATCAGCTGTTCCTAGATTGGCTTGTGAAGAGACTGGGTGTTACCTGTAAGAACTCTTCCAGACCTAGTTTGGTGAACTCATATTGTAGGTGCACACGGAAGTTCATGTCCTCAACAGAGTGCACCACGATGTTGATGAACTGCATACAAGCCACCTGAAAAACACATTGAGAGAGGGCAGCTGGCATCATGGTGCACAACTTCAATTTGTCATCCCCCTGTGGTTTTGTCTAGAGTGCCAGGGTCTTCCCCATCGTGGTGTCCTCCAGATACTGCTGGACTAAAAAGAACAACCCCATTATACTGGCTGTTGGCCATGCTGGTTTGAGGCCTGATGGGAGATGGGAGTCCAACATCATCTGGAATACACCATGTTGAAGAAGTCTGGTCTAGAGTTTTCACCGATACAGGATCAAATGTTTAAAAAGCCTATGTTCCAGGACACCACAGTTGGGAAATGCACCTGTGAAAAGTCTGTGAAAAGGAGAAGAAATGAAGAGGCAAGAGCCAGACCTAGGTCTGCAAAGATATTGAGAGAGGGCAATAGGCAGAAGACCTTTAAAATACATTATGGCCAACCAGGTGAAAGCACTTGGGAAAGGCAGATGGGAACATAGGCTGCCAAGTTACTGTTTTGCACTGTAAACCATGCAGCTTGCACTGTAAACTATAAACCATTTAGGCGTTGTTTTGTTGTTGGTTAAGGTAAAGGTAAAGGGACCCCTGACCATTAGGTCCAGTCGTGGCTGACTCTGGGGTTGCGGCGCTCATCTCGCTTTATTGGCCGAGGGAGCCGGCGTACAGCTTCCGGGTCATGTGGCCAGCATGACTAAGCTGCTTCTGGAGAACCAGAGCAGTGCACAGAAACACCGTTTACCTTCCTGCCGAAACGGTACCTATTTATCTACTTGCACTTTGACGTGCTTTCGAACTGCTAGGTTGGCAGGAGCTGGGACCGAGCAACGGGAGCTCACCCTGTCACGGGGATTCGAACCACCAACAGGTATTAAATCAATCAATAAAAATATATTGACTGTGTGCAAGAGCGCTGCCACAGTCTTTGACATGGTAGCTGGAGAGTAGAACAGGGATGAAGAAGCAGAAACACACTTTCTAAATTGTTCTGTAATATAAATTGGATTGGGGGGGAACAGTCCCCACCCCATAGAAGAGATAGGTACCCGGCAACCTGCTGTCCATACGCAGACTCTACCAATCCAATCCACAGTGTAAAATGGGAATGCCTGCACAGATGGGGAAGGCCTCTGGGGTTGAGATCCCTGCACCTCAGCTGCCATGATTTTGGGGAGGAACTTTGCATAATTAAGAGGAGGGAGTTCAGCTCAGCGGAATTCACTTTTCATGAAGTGGGTTCGGTCTCCAGCATGTCCAGTTTTTAAAAAAGGAACAGGGGTCAGGTGATGGAAAAGACCTCTGCCCACGATTCTGGAAAGCGGCTGCCAGTTGGGGTGGACCAATCTTCCTATGTTGCTTCCTAAAATTCAATTGGCTAGCATGCGGATGCAGTGTGCTTTAATACTAGGGTTCTGCAGCTCTATGCTGGAACATGGTAATTAGAAACATAGGGAACTTCCTTAGGCAGGTGGCGATCATTTTAGGCACGTCCAATTGGCATGTGATCGCTAACGTGTGGGTCCTTTTGGACCCGGAAGAGGGCAGATCTGGGGCATAACGGGGTATAATGGAGTGGGTCGCACTTATGTGTGCTCCGCCAATGTGCGGAGGGGCCGGGAATGGAACCCCCGTGTGAAATGCTTGCCACCTGTACTGCGTCAAAACATTGGTCCATCTATTATCCACAGCAGGGGTGGAGAAGCTACTGATGGCTCTGTTCGGCCATCAGAACTCTTCTTGGGCCACATTCTGTTGGCCACGTCCCCCACTGGCCCGAGTGTTTATGCCTGGCTGGAACGTGTCCTTGCCCACAGCACGGTCAGTGACAGCATGTATATAATCTTGCATTTAAGAGATACCGCAACCTGTCCTTTGCATCAGATTGTGGGAGCTGCTGGCATAAACAGAAAAGCGACTTGTGCTTTTATGCAACTCAGGGCACCAGGGCTTTTGCTCCTTACCATGAAGTCAATATTGCTGTCCTCGTTGCGGAAATACTCCATCAGCTTCTCAAAGCGGTGCTGCTCTTTGCAAACCTGAGAAGCAGAGAGCACAGCAGGGTCTTAAGGGTGCTTTAGTACTGGTGAGCCAGCCAAATACAGAGTGTTCCCGGTATGCAGTCTTTGTAGACTTCTCCATAAGTACCCCTTCACGTAGCTATTCATCCCTTCTACCAGATTCACATGCACATTCCGATATTCTCAAGCACATTCCTGTATTCATTCCTTTACCCAGCCTCACATCAGCAGCCCAGGCAGGAGGAACAAGCAGCTCTGCTTGAATCCCTCGGCAGAGAGAGCATTGGCTCCTTCTCCTTCTACCCTGCATGTGTAGGCTCCACCTATTTTTTAATTTTAATTTTGGATTTAGAATTCCCTGCCTTTGATGGATGTTTCAAGGGGGCAAACAGCAGAATAAAACAATTAATAATGCTAATAATAATCATTTAAGAGAGCAGGATCCATTAAGACAAAATACACAAAAAAGTGGGGAGGAGAAGATGCCACAAAAAGGCAGATCAGATGAAATTGAAAGCCTAAGCAAACAGGACAGGCTTTGCTTGGCACTTAAAAGATGGTGCCAGGCTCACACACATAGGGAAGGAATTCCATAATGTGGGTGAGGAGGCCTGGTGTCCACCTGTCTAACCTCAGACACTGAGGGTGTCGAGAGAAGAGCCTTCAATCAGCTTCCTCTTGAATGAAAGGCTACAGGGGTTTACGCCATCCAGAAACAGAACTGGTGGGCTTTCAAGCACAGTTATGGTGTGGAGTGGAGCTACCTGTGTAGAGGCCACTCCTGAGCTGAGGAAGGCAGAGGTAAACAGGTACCAATGTGTGCTGGTATTGCAGTTTGCTCCTAAGTGGCACTAACACATGGGCTCTGATTTGGGATCAAAAGTTGGCCACTGCTACTCTATCCATTTATGCTACACGACTTTTCCTCCACCTCCCTCCCTCAACTTGCGTATCTGTCTGTCCATTTGTCCTTGTGCGCACAATTTTCTACTAAATTGTCCCCACTACCACGCACATCTGTTTCCCTCATCTTGCCTTCCCTTCCTCTTCCAAGTTTCATATCTCTCCCAGGTATGGGGAACCTGGGGCATTCTGATGTTGCTGGGACTCCAACTCCCATCAGCCCCAGCTATCATGGCCAATGATCAGGACTGATGGGAGCTCAAGAATAACTGCAGGTTCCCCGTTGCTGATTCCCCCCAGGGTGCTGTCGGTTAGTCCTCACCTCCTTGAAATTCTCAAAAGCAGCCAAAATGATCTCATGGCCGCCACGCACCAGACAAACAGCTGCCAGCAGTTCTAACACCAGGGCTTTTGTCCTGGAGAGAAAAGAGAGAAGCAAGGATGTGCCACCAACCAGAAAGAAAAGCAATGTCACTTTGCTGGTGACGCAGAATATATCCCACAATGATAACAGCATCCCTCGGATGCAACTGTTGCAGAGGCATGTAGCAGGGGCAGCCAGTGTAGTAACCACCAGGTGTCGTTGGACTACAACTCCCATAATCTCCAATCACAGGCCATGCTGGCTGGGGCTGGTGGGAAGTGAAGTCCAAGAACACCTGCAGGGTACCAAACTGGCTACCCCTATCATTCAAAGTTGAGGCTTTCCTGTCAGGGGGCCTTGCTTCCAACAAACCGCTGTCTATTCCAGTTTTGCAACACAGGTGTAGGTTTTGTGATCAGCAGGTGTCCCTGATTGTTCAGCTTTGCCCCTGCTCCTAGTGCAGTTTGATCATTTCTGGTTTCCAGCTGAACACATCCATTGGTGCGGCAACTAATGCTAGGTAAGCAGGAGGTTCCCCTCTAGGCATAGCTGTCAACTGTCCGTTATTTGGCGGGAAACTCCCTTATCCCAGCGCCGTGTCCTACTGCTGTCCCTTATTGATGATGTCCCTTAAATTTCCCGGGTTTCAAAGGAAGCAGCTCCTCTCCCTCCCTCCCTGCTGGCCAGGGAGGAGGGAGGCTCCAACTGGGTTGCTTGACTGTGTTGCTCACCCAATATGGAGTCTAAGAACGACTGGGGGGTGGAGCTTGCATGCCTTGTGCCGATCAAATCGGCCGCATTGCCTGGGGATTCGCCTTTGCTCAGCGCTTCCCAGCGGAGAGATGACGGTGGTTTTCCTTGATGCATCCCCTTTGCTGGGTTGCTGCGCTGTGGGAACCACCGCTTGAGGCTTCGTTTGGCTGCTGGCTGGGCTTTCTGCCTTTGGCTCAGAGGGGCCCGGAAAATCCCTTATTTTGGCTGCTGATCCCTTATTTTCGAGGCTGTTGGTCCCTTATTTTCAAATATGTAAGTTGACAGCTATGCCTCTATGGCATACCCTTCTGCTAGGGTAGAGTGACTCCACATATATCTGGCATCATGGGCGGAGCCAGGATTTATTTCACGGGGAGCAGGCTTTATGTCAGGGGGGCAGAACCGAGTTATCTGTGATACAATTGGTCAGTTAGTTAAGTATTTTACACCCATGTCTGGCATGATCCTGCCACTTTAACAGCAGCTTTCAAGTGAGAAAGGGCTTGTTTTTCTTTGTATCTCCATGGCATTCTCACTTTACCAATTAAAGACTGAGCCCATCAGGGAGTTTCTTAACTGAGCTGCATTTTCAAATGCTGAATTAATATGGTTAGGGCAAGGGGAGGCAATAAAAAAAGTGCAAACTTATAACATCTATGCAAGAAGAAGAAATATTGTATATAAATTATATTTTGCAGTTCATATTGTAAACATTACTTTGCAGAGCATACCAAAAGACCCCCAGGGACATGGTTCACTCATGAGCTTGCTTCCCTCTGTATATGTGCCCATTCATCATATAATGCCAGGACGGGATATGTGATAAGCCAACACAAGATGTAAACCAGCAACTTTGCAATGGAAGGCCTGGAAACCGCAGATGATCAATGCACTTTATATCAACAACATGGCCCAGACAGTTTTTCTGGCTGTGCACAGAGATTTCAGTTAGGCCAAACAATATGAGGAAACAGGAGAAAGTGGTCCAAGTGCACATCTGTTCTGCAAATTAAAACCTGCTCAAAATCAGTTTCACTAGCTGGAGGCAGGCCATTGTTTCGTTTTGTTTTTCAGAGCCGATGGCAGTTTGAAGGAGGGATGGCTGCTAATAGCGTGTGAACTCATTCCACTTCCATGTTGGCTAAACAGGTTTTGCAGGGTTTCACGAAGCATTTCAAAAAACTGCAAAACTTGTTTGACCAGAGGCAACATAGGGAGGGATCCATGGTATCATACAAACACGCACACACCACGGACCCCTCCAGACATCCTTTTTATTGTGCATCTGTTATGATTTGTGCTCAGGATGGTCTTGGGGCAGTTATACACGATCCTGTTTTCAATACTGTTTGTGCCAGCAAACGTTTAAGGGTGGCTCTACTGCTTCCTTTCCAATCAGTGCATGTCCCCATATTTCCTGCTGAAATCCTGTAACATTTTATAACACAAATGTTCTCTTTCTTAGAGGACCCCCACTTTTGTCGCACTGCAGTGTAAGAGTGTGGGGCAATAACACTGGGGAAGCATCAGAGAACATCTAAAAAGGCGGAATGATGTGTGGATGATCCAGTATAAATCTAGCCCTGGTGCACTAGTACTGCATCAATCACATGCAACAACAAATGTCAATCTGTCTGGAGGGCCTCATGGAAAGTGATGGTTCTCTCAAGTCACTTTCAGCTCACTTAAGAACAAGCTGTCAGGGACCAGAAGGACGCTGACTCGTGTGCACCAGGGGAAGGGATTTGTGGGAGAGTAGTGATTTGTGGGGACCTCTACTTGCCAGGAGGCAAGAGGCAGAGGCAGAGGAAGCTTCTGTTGTCTCACCACCAAACCCCTGGCTCTGAGCCTTCTTCCCCTGCGGGTTCCCTTGGGGGTTCCCCAGCTGGTGCCTCCCACCACTCCTCTGTGCTAAGCCAGTCCACGACAGCTTCAGAGCTGGAGGGTGGAGCACAGGGTGGGTTTGAAGAAAAAGAGGGAGCAGCAGGAGAGGCAAGTGAAGGGTTGGGGGCTTCCCCACCCACTCTTGCACCACTGTCTCCCAGAACCAGGAGGGGGGAGATCCATAAAAAAGTGAAGGGGGAGTGGTCCCCTGTTGCTGCAACTGCTCTATAGAGCACAGAGCTGGGAATAGCAGCCTAGATGCTAGACTGGTATGTGTAAGTATTCAAAGTCATAGATACTATTCTCAGCGTCCGCTTTTGTCAATGAAGAGTTAACTATCTGCCGTGTGCTTTCCTTTGGCTGGGGAGCACCTGTGACACCAGCTTTGACTTCTTTGTGAAGAGTTTTGAAGACAGCAGTTCTCTGTGGATGTGAAATTCTTAGTCCCATTACACAACTAAAACCCCTTACTGGTAGGAGAAGCCCAAGGGACAGCTGAAGAGACTTGACGCTGGTTGTAAGGCAAGCAGGACCTGGCATTTTTAAACACACTAAGAGCCAAACAAAGGGAGCCACATTAGTCCACCTATAGAGGTTAAGTTATCCACGTTTCCACAGGGCGCACCTGAACACCCAGCCGCCTTACCTGGGGTTCTTATTGTTCAAGCTGAGGGCAATCTCATTGACAGCGTGAGGATGAGACATGACCAGATTGAATCCATACTGACATGCAAAAAGGGGAAGAAATGCATAGAAGTATTAGGAGTAGAAAGAACCAGTGAAACCTCAGCGAAACTGTTGATTTAGCAGCCCAGGCACAGCCTGTAGTGGAGTCATTATATAGTGCAAATCATCTAGGAAACTGGCATTACTAAAAATAAATAAATGATGTGTTTTCAAAGGAATATCGCACATCACACAATAACAAAGGGGCTCATGCCTCCCTCCTGCCCCTCAAAAATGTTCTTTTGGCTCAGATTTATTGCGCGCACACACACACACACACACTTCTTATGTGTCCAATTGTCTGCACTTGTTTCCAACTCCCACAACCCATCCCAGACCCTTTAGATAGAGCCAGGCTACAAATGTAAATAAGTACCGTATTTTTCGCTCTATAACACGCACCCGACCATAACACGCACATAGTTTTTAGAGGAGGAAAACAAGAAAAAAAATATTATAACGAAACAGTGGATGTATGATTTTTGTGGTTCATGCTGTGGCCACAGACGTTTGATCTGACAGTGAGTTTGGGGTAGCCCAATGTAAAAATCCTGAGGATCCATGTGGATCCATGCTTTGTAACCACATTTTTGCACCACTGCGGCCCCACGAAACAGTGGATGCCTGATTTTTTTGGTGCAAGCTGTAGCCATGGACATGCTATGTGATCTGATGGTGAATTTGGGGTGACCCAGTGCAAAACTCCTGAGGATCCATGTGGATCCGTGCTTTGTAACCACGTTTTAGGTGGGGAGGGATGGAAAAGCGCTCAAGGGAGAAGGAGCACGCGAGGGGTATGTGGAGAAGGATGCTGCTAATAATGCAGAAGAGGGGTATAAGAGGAGAAGGCTCCTCTCCTCTCCCGCTTTGCTCCTTTAAAGCAAGCAGGCTCCCTGTCCCGCTCTCCTCCCCACTCAGCGGCTCTTCTCCCGCTTTGCTGTTTCAAAGCGAGCCACAGAGGAGGGAAGAGGAACCATGGATCCTCTGCTCACGACTGCAGCAGATACCCCCGCCATCCGTAGGCATTCGCTCCATAACACGCACAGACATTTCCCCTTACCTTCTAGGAGGAAAAAAGTGAGTGTTATGGTACAAAAAATACGGTAAATACAAGCACACATTTTGATTTATTTTACTCTGCTAGGGTTGAATTCAGTTTTCCCCACTCATGAAGTGTTGGGCTTAGACTTGCAGCCAACAGGCATCCCTGATCCTAGCTAGAGGCAGGCAATAGGAAGAAGAAGAAGGGCCCTGCCAGCATTACCTGGTAGTTCATAATGGCTCGTAAGCACAGGATGCAAACGTGGACGTCATCCTTCTGGCTAACCAGCCGTGAGTTCTTCAGGGCTTTCCTGCTGGGAAGGGTGGTGTATCTGGCAAAAAGAGAGTCCTACATTTAGCACACTCATACACACACACAGAAAAAGCAGTGAGGCTCAAAAAAATGTTTGCCCCATGCCAATGATGAGGTCACGGCCGCAGCTAAGAACAGGAAGGGAGAGCTGTAATTAGAACCACCAGCTTCTGTCAGAAGGTTTGCCCAAGATGTGGGTTTCTCGCTGGCAAAAGAAAGGCTGAATGGCTACCACTCATTTGGAGTCTAAGATCAACTCAGGGGTTTTGCTAATCTACTTAAAAGCTAAGTTCCAGGAGACCACTGTTGTCAGTTTTAGCTTTCAACACATGCACAAACACCCCTCAAGAGATAGGACATTCAGCTTTTATTTGCTGAAACAAGGAGAAATTAAAGTCATGCTGCTTAAAAAAATAATTATACAGTTCCCAAAAACTTGAAGCAAAAATATTGTAAATACACTGGGGATTTAAATGGGGTTTTCCAAAAGGAATAAAGAAGTTTCTTGCCAAAAATCTGGAATACTCTCTAGGTGTTTGAGACACAGAAAGAACACAAGGGCCGAAAAGCTCAATGATCAAGGAGGAAAAGTACCATATTTTTCGCTCTATAAGACACACATTTTCCCCTCCAAAAATTAAGGGGAAATGTGTGTGTATCCTATGGAGCGAATGCAGGCTCCTTGGCTTCAGCGATAGCAATGCGAAGCCTCCGAAGCACAGTGGGAGCACTCCCGCCGAGCTCCGGAGGCTTCGCGTTGCATTTGCTGAAGCCTGGGGAGCGAGAGGGGTCGGTGTGCACCGACCCCCTCTGGCTCCCCAGGCTTCAAAGATAGCCGCCTGAAGCCTCTGGAGGCTTTGGGTTCCTTTCGCTGAAGGCTAGGTGCCCCTTCAGCTAAGGCGCAGCACCCCTTCAGCGAAGCGGGAGGAGAAATGGAAGGGGCTCCGTTTCTCCTGCGCCTTCGCTGAAGGGGTGCTGGGCAGAGAGGGGGAGATTTTTTTTTTCTTGTTCTCCCCCTCTAAAACAAGGTGCCTCCTATGGTTGGGTGCGTCCTATAGAGCGAAAAATACGGTATGTTTGGCCTGATTTTGGGGCTGAATTTTTGGGGCTCAGCTTTGGCTGAGTTTGGGGCTCAGCATATATATCTGCCGTGTCTCTCCATGACAGTATGGGGAGACACTGATCCCTTCGCAGCCACGACCCTCACCCAAGATGGAGTTCCCACAGGTATTATGCAGATTCGCCCACCTATGCTAAAAATGTCTGAACTCATGAGCTCCCAATTTTTAAAGACATGAGTTGGAAAGGGAACCAGGTGACCAAATTAAGTAAGAAAAGGAGTCCACCCAACCCATGGGTTTAGGCATCCTGTCTCCTGATTCCTCTAAACTTGGTTTAATATTTCTTAGGCTAGAGGCAAAGACTAGGAAATGATACAAAAAAGGCATTGTTTCAACGTGTTCTGTTTCTTATCTTGGTCAACTATGTTTTGCAGGATTTGGGTAAACACAAAGGCCTCCCAAACCTATTTAACCAGACAAAATAGCAGGATGAATGTATATACCACAAACAGCAATACTTCTTTCAAACCACCCATCACTCTTTGAAGGGGAAAAATGATAATAATCTTTCAGCAGCCCTTGTGGCTCAATAGCTGTCTCAATGTGTAAACTGCTTTGAGGTTGTGGTTGGGTGCTTGTTTGTTTTTACAATCAAGTGGTATGTAATTTTTTATGAAACAAATAATAAACAAATACACCACAGAATTTCTCTGCTGGACCTACAAGAATATCCAGCCACCTCAAAGTACTGAATGCCTACTATTATCAAGAATCATCAGGCATACAGTTAAAATTGTCAGGAGCAATAGCCCTGCGTGGTAAAACTGTTTTCCTTTCCATTTTTACAGATGGGAATCAGAGTCTGAGAGAGAAGGAGCTTTTCCAAAGTCAGCCAACGGGCCTGTGACTAAGTTGGAGTTTGAACCATGTCCATTCCCAGGGCAGGAACCTCCAGACTGTGAGGTACCAGGAGTCTTGGACCTTGCTCTTGGATCATCCGTCCCCATTGGCCGCTTGGCCACCTGCTTGCCACCAGGCCACCAGCCCTGGGTGTGGACTGCAGGGGCCCCCTCTGTGTTCCCGCACACATCTTCATGCACCTAGGCCACTGTCCAGCCCGGGGAGTGTGCACCGAATTCCTCACACAGCAGCCCAGTGCAGAAATACTTACCCAGGTGAGAAGGACAGAGAAAGAGAGAGAACAGGAGACCCAGCAAAGACAGGCAAACAGAGCATGGCAAAAGAGCAGAAGAGCCTGGAGCAGAGAGGAGACATGGCCAGCTACCGCCAGAGGAGCATCAGGGGGGAAGGATGGGAGTGGGGAGAAGAGATCAGCACACGGCATCCCCTGGAGGGCAGAAAGCAGGGAGGGGGTTTATTATTACAACCAACGGCAGCGCTCAGAAGGCTACACACCAGAAGGCGCAGCAGGGCAGAGGTACATACCGGAGGGCAGACTGGCGCGCAGAGCGAGCAAGGCTGTTGGCGTAGGGTGCAGACAGGGTGCTGGGGTGCTGCAGATCCTCTATGGACCTGCTCCAGGATTTCAGCTTTTCCAGCGCTCCATCCTCACCACTTTCCAGGCCCTCAAAATCAAACCTGGAGGGCAGAGAGGGATCACACACCATACCTATGCCCACAGACACACAGACACCCCCCAGCCGTACACACACACAGAGACGTTCGAGAACAAAAGCTGCGTAGAGCGCTCAAGCTCTGGATTCACGGGGGCTCCTCCCAACAGGCCACAAGCCCAGCAGCTTGGCATGCGACAAGGCATAGGCTCAAATCTCCCCCTGCGTAAGCAGGATCTGAGCACAAAGAAAACCAGGTACAAGGCATATATATATACATACACGCAGGCAGGCAGACAGACAGGCAGATATGTTTTTTAAGGCTGGGCCTGCCCTATGACAAATTCCCAGGCTAGCATTGCATCAGATGTGTGCTCACAGCATACAGGCCAATCTGCACTGTGCTACAGGCTGGCTTTACATTAGACGTGAACCACCTGGCAGTCAGGTGTCTACATTAGAGCAGGTGCTGCACACACCAACTTGCTTCCTGGGAGCTACTAGAGCTGTGTCCACTGAATCCTGGAAGGAGTCACAGATAGCTCAGCTGGTAAAGCATGAGAACTCTTCATCTCAGGGTTGTGGTTTGGGCAAAAAGATTCCTGCATTGCAGGGAGTGGGACTAGATGACCCTCGCAGACCCCTCCATCTCTACAATACTATGATTAAGGAGAGACCTTCAGAGCTGGTTGCTGCCAAAGCAATTCCCTTGTGAAAAGGGGAACTGGACGCTCAGCAGGGCACTGACTCACAAGTCGCTCCCATACTGCTCTTTGCATCTCAGTGAAGAGTTTTAAAGCAACTACACTGACCTCCTGGTCCATTTAAAGATCCCAGTTTGAAATACTGGCCTTAACCTTTACAGCACAGGTGGGGACCTTATGGTTCAGGGGTCGAATGCGGTCCTCCAAATCTCTCTCTCCAGGTCATACACCTTCTCCAGCCATATGCTCCCTCTGTTTTGCACCCTCTTCTGGGTGTTTTTGATGGGCTAGGGGGGTGTGATGCCTCTAGCTTGCCTATATAGAGGCTAAAGCATGTGTGCAGAAACTAGCCTGCTGTACAGAGTCTCATTGCTCTGCTTACTTTTGCCTCTGGCCCCACCCCTGGCATGTGGCCCTCAAAAGGTTGCCCAGAAGGAAATGTGGCCCTTGGGCTGAAAGACGTTACCTGCCCTTGTTTTGCACCTCTAAATGGCTTGGGATCAAAGTGCCTTCAGGTGTATTTCTTTCCATGTGAGCCTGCCTCAAACTGTAAAAATCTTCCTCGGGGACACTAAGAAGGGGTGGCGTGGGGGCCAATGAGAGGGCCTTTTCAGCAGTGCCCTGACTTCAGTGCCAGCGTGACCCCAACCATCTGCCACCTGAACTTGCCCAGAGACACTGATGCAAATTTGTCTCGCTTCTTCTCGGAAAGGCACCTGAACTGAGGTTTTCATAATATTTGAATTAGTTTTAGCATAACCAGTTCATCACTGAAAGGCCAGATGATTAATCAACTAGCAAGCAGATTTATGCCCCTAATAAATACCCCAAGGTGATGACTATCACAAAAGTTGAAAAAGGGAAGCTGGGAAGCCATTGCAGCAGATGGTTGCCAGCTAAAGATGTTCCAGATGGAAAATGTTGAATTCAACAACATTATTCTGCCTGCCTGGGACTCTGAATGAGAATATGAATAGGCCCCAAGACTGATTAAAAAACAAAAAACCAGGTAGCTAATTATCCTTCTGGACTGATTTTGTCTACAAATGTGTTTCATAAGAACATAATAAGAGCTTTTTTTGGATCAGGCCAACGATCCATGTAGTCAAGCATCCTCTTCTAACACAGAGTCTATGGGAAGCCTGAAGGACTCTCCCCACTCGCAATGCCCAGCAACCTGCCTTCAAAGTCCCACTGCTTCCAACAGTGATACAAAGAGGCAGGAAGATTCAGGGGCACCTCAAAGGAAATGCAGACACTTACATCACCGCACACTGAGCAAAGGAGAGATAATCCACCAGCACATCCAGGCCTTTGTTTTCGTCATTGAGAAACTCGCGCACCCACCTGCAAAAGAAAAACCCAAAACGGGGCTTTATTACCCAAAGGCAGCTCACGTTGACTTGCAGAAGTTGACTTGTAATCCATTATCCATCATACCATCATGTGATTTTCACTTAAATAGTTGCACTAGCAAAGATTACGTTATTGCCATGAGATTCCCTCTTCCTTCTACAGTACCACCCCCAAATCTGCTTTGGAGGGTTGGGGAGGGGGAACGGATTTAGGGGACATGGAGGGGAGGGGGAGAGCATTCTCTGCTCAAGCAGAAATGATTGTGCTGATGGAACATTTTGGTTCATGCTACATTGAATATGACCCATTGATGGGTGGCTGAGGATGCTACTGTAGACACACTGACTAAGAAGTAATTGCCACTGAATGTGTATTCATTTTAAAGCTGTCTCTAGATCACCCTCCAGTAAACTGAAGAGGGCAGCGTACAAAGAAAATAAAACCATAAACATTATAAATATCACAATTAAAACACAGAATGAAGGACAGATCAAAATAGCAGTAACAAATCAGCTTGCAAATCACTACACCCAGTGCACACTGCCTTACTTAGCCCCAAAGTAAACTCAGAACAAATCTGAAGGAAGATAATAGAAGAAAGGGGAAACTGAAAAGGAAAAGAGTTGAAAGGATGTGGTGGTAAAGACGGTGCAGAAGTGGTGAGGGTGGTCCAGGAAGAAAGGCTTTATGGAAGAAGTGGTTTTGTTTTTATTGTTGTTTTTAAGAAGCAATCCAAAAAGGCAAGCTTGGAGCTGGATCAAGCTCATAAAGGCTAGAGACAGACAACACCTCCACCTCCAAAATAGTTTAAGATGGTGTTAAAGAAAGGTCTCTCTTTGTTGTGGATGCTTTCACCTGCTCTAATCAGGTTCTGCAGAAAGGGTGAGGGTTATGATGTTTCTAAAACCTGAACAAACCTGTTTGGCCAGATTTGGTAGAGTGGCAAAAGACAGACAGACAGACAGACAGACAGACAGAACATGATAGGATGCAAGCAATGTCTCTCCCAGACTACTGCCTGCCTCCAAGCCTTAAACACAGCTGAGGCTACGAGACACAAGACATCAACAGCTCCCTCACTCTGTATAACACAGATCAAGTTCAGCTCATTTACAGAATTGTGTTCATTCAGTCTGGGGGCCCTGTGCCTTTGCAGCAGGGACAGACTGGAGGGGGTTCAAAGGAGACAGATGAACAAAATTCAGAAGGAAGCCAGCCATGGCCCACCCAATGTGTGTTGTGGGGAGATTGCAGCATCCCCAGCTGCCAATAAATAAAGCAACTGGCAGGGCGTTATCTTTTGATGCTGGGCAGGGAGGGTTTCACTCAGAGCCTTGCAGTCCCTTTGACATTCGCTGGGGATGTCTCTCTCCACCCTTCTCACTGTGGTGCAAGTTGTGAAGGAACATGAAGGTACGAATATGATGCCAATCTGCATCAAGGGATCGGACTGAACCAGGTGGAGTATGAAATAAGGAATACAGTATATAAGTGCGTGTGTGGTTGTGTATCTGTGGCTTTGTTTCTCTCTGTGTGTAGGTGTGCCAACTCTGGAATATGAAGGAGGGTGCATCCATCTATTTGGAGGCTGGTTGTTCAGTGTATGTTACTTCCAGAAGTAGTCGTGGTTGAATGTGATTTCGTCCATCAATCATCTGGATACTGGAACTATGCATATGTTCATTCCCTCTCTTTCTCTCTCTCTTTCTCTGTGGGACAGGGGAGCAACACTCCCGCCCATTTCCTGCCTGTCTGAACTCCAGCCTCCACCCCTGTGTGTTTCCTGTCTGACTCCAGTGGCTGCTATTTTAGGGCCCTCAACACATTTGCTGGAGGTTAAAGGGCACAGAGGTGGGAGCAAAAGCTGCCCAAGGCAAATCCAATCCTAGCCACGCTCTAGTACAGGAAAGGAGATCGTGGGCGTATGCATAAAAGGAAACTGAGTTGGTGCGCATGCTTTTATGTGCTTATGAGCAGGCATGCCTGTATTCCCTGACCGTAGGTCCATGGGAGAGAACACGTTTTGCAGGGTGACGATCAAAAAGTTGAAAATCTCTCAGGAAAGACCTATCTCCCTAAGTTCTGGATTCCTATTGCCAGTAGATAAAGCTGCAGTAGATGGACCAAATGTCAAACAAGATAAGGAAGTTTCACATGTGCATATGCTCGGACAAATCTGTCTGCATGTCCCTGACTGCATCTGAGAGTGAAGACACAAGACTGTGCATGCATATCTACATGTACACGTGTGTGTGTGTGTGTGTGAGAGAGAGAGAGAGAGAGAGAGAGAATCACAGGCTTAAAAGGTAAAGGGACCCCTGACCATTAGGTCCAGTCGTGACCGACTCTGGGGTTGCGGCGCTCATCTCGCTTTATTGGCCAAGGGAGCCAGCGTACAGCTTCCAGGTCATGTGGCCAGCATGACTAAGCCGCTTCTGGCGAACCAGAGCAGCGCACGGAAACGCCGTTTACCTTCCCACCAGAGCGGTACCTATTTATCTACTTGCACTTTGACATGCTTTCAAACTGCTAGGTTGGCAGGAGCAGGGACCAAGCAACGGGAGCTCACCCCGTCGTGGGGATTTGAACCGCCGACCTTCTGATCGGCAAGTCCTAGGCTCTGTGGTTTAATCCACAGCGCCACCCATGTCCCTTAATCACAGGCTTAGAAAGGACCAAATGGCTAAACAGGAGTAGTGTTGAATGTACTGTTGAACCCACACAATCCAGTCTCCTCTGTGTTACATGGCGAGAAACAGGAGCAAAAGAGGCACCACGCCATGGCTGCCTGCAGGGAAAACATAGCTCCAGATGCCTCAAGCGAGTGACCCATGACTCTCTGATGTTTACATATGTCACTACTGCTCTAGAATATGCCCATACTGGGTTGCGCTTCTGGAACTGCCTCCCTCCCTCCAGAAGGATTACTGAGTTGAATAGGCAAGGCTGCGCTGGTTACGGGAAAGAAAAAGTAAGTTCCTGAAAAACAGAGGGACTTTTCTCAAGGGCAGGCGGACTGTTTGTAGCAGATTAGGGCTGTTTGCATGCAAGCACATTCCCCCCTCGGCATTTCAAAGATGAACACAGGGACTCCCTTGTGCGCTTTGCAACATTCCTATTCTCACCCCAAGGATCACGCTCCGAGCGCCTGCTCTTCTCCCTGTCGTCCCTCCCCAGTCCCAATCACACATTCCTAAAAAAAGGCTCTTCCCATCAAAAGTGCAATGCTGTCTCCAAACCCAGCCTGCTTTTCAGACCATATTCTTGTCATAGCTGTGTGCTTAAAACAACAACACGCCTCAATGTTGTGTACCAAGTTAGCTCACGTTCTGCTCCTTGAAAAGCTGAAACCAGCAGCTGTGCAGATTATGCAAATCAAGTTGCGGTATGCAAAACATATGCTCATTTTGCATAATTTATTCCACTTCAAGGGGAGGGACAAACAGATAGGCATGGCACTGAAGCTGGATGTCATGACGGCTGTCAATCCTCCGCAGCTACTCCAGCACTGTGACCATCATTCCTGTCGCCAGTTTGATTGGACATTTCCCACAAATTCTCAAGCCTTTTTTTGCAGGCTTAAGGAACGGCTCCTTCTTTGTTTTAAAGTAAGTGCAAAATTCTGTTGTAATGTGCAGCCAACACTGCTCACTGCTTTCTGCAATTTTGCATGTGGAATATAAGCTGGCTTCTTTATTCTGTTCCTCTTCAATAGCTGAATATCAGGAATAGTCCCAAAAAGAACTCCCATGTATGCTTGCACTGTTATAAAGCAAAAAGAGTTTTACACATACCTACTTTTAACAAAAGATGCATTCCTTTCTTACTGACTTGCAGGAGGCACTCTAATTTATTCCTTATGACTCTTATAAACAATTTCATACTTTTAGTTCCAGTCAGTGTTTATCTTTGTAATTTCCACAACAAACCCTTTGTGGTTCTAGTAGTAATTAGAATAAATTAGGTATACATGGTGCTTTGTTTAATCGTGCAAAGTGATCCACACACTCTACCACATTAATCTTTAAAACAGTCCTAAAAGGTAGGCCAGGACACAGGTGGCGCTGTGGTCTAAGCCACAGAGCCTAAGGCTTGCGAATCAAAAGGCTGGCAGTTCGAAACCCCGCAACGGGGTGAGCTCCCGTTGCTCAGTCCCTGCTCCTGCCAACCTAGCAGTTTGAAAGCACATCAAAGTGCAAGTAGATAAATAGGTACCACTCTGGCGGGAAGGTAAACGGCGTTTCCGTGCACTGCTCTGGTTTCACCAGAAAGCGGCTTAGTCATGCTGGCCACATGACCCAGAAGCTGTACGCCAGCTCCCTCGGCCAATAAAGCGAGATAAGTGCCGCAACCCCAGAGTGGTCCGCGACTGGACCTAACGGTCAGGGGTCCTTTACCTTTAAAAGGTAGACCAATATTACACACACGCTGCATTAGAGGCTCCTAACCTTAGCACCCTAGCATGATGCACAGGGAGTAGAGATAGTTGCTTGCCTAAGGCTAATATCCCTGCTCCTGCAATACTAAGAGTGTCTGAGCTGCCTTTATCTTAATGGGATAAAGGCAATTTATACAGAACAGAAAGCTAAGTTAATTGTAAATAATGTGATTACGGAAGAAATAGGGATAGCTAAAGGTACGAGACAAGGGTGTCCACTTTCACCATTGTTATTTATTGTGGTCCTGGAAGTTTTTTAAAAATCTATAAGGGAAAATGAAGCAATAAAAGGGGTTGCAATAGGCCGGAATGAATATAAGGTTAAAGCCTTTGCCGATGATCTGGTTTTAACGGTTGAAGAACCTTCGGAAAGTGCAAAAAATATACTTGCAGAGGTGGAAAGATTTGGTCAAGTGGCAGGGTTTATATTGAATAAGAAAAAGACTAAAATAATTGCTAAGAACATGGATCAAGATATGATAGGAAGAATGCAACAACAAATAGGTATAGAAGTGGTGAAGAAAGTGAAATATTTGGGTATTTGGATAACTCCCAAGAATATTGATTTGTATCAGAATAACTAAATGCCAGTGTGGAAGGCAATTAAGAAAGATCTGGAGGTGTGGGGACGAATGAAATTATCGTTATGGGGAAGGATCTCAACGATAAAGATGAGCGTACTGCCAAAGATGTTATTTCTGTTTCAGACAATTCCAATAATCAAGGGGATTGTGATTTTTAAAGAATGGCAAAGAGTAATTTCAAGGTATATCTAGCAGGGTAAGAAGCCAAGAATTAAATTTAAATTATTAACAGACGCTAAAGAAAGAGGAGGTTTCGCCCTGCCAGACTTGAAATTATATTATGAAGCATCATGTCTCTGTTGGTTAAAGGAATGGATAAAATTAGAAAATACAGAATTCTTAGATTTAGAAGGTTTTGATAACAGATTTAGTTGGCACGCATACTTATGGTCTGAAAAGAAGAAAATTCATAAAGGATTTGAGAACCACATCTTCCGAAGATTGTTGATAGAAATATGGGATAGGTATAAAAACCTTCTTGAACCAAAAACTCCGCACTGGTTATCTCCGTTAGAGGTTATGAGTGTTAAAAAAATCAATATGAAAAGGAACTGGATTACATATGGAAATTTGATTGTTAAAGAAGGGGGGAGATGGAAAATGAAGCCTTATGAAGAAGTAAAAGAATATGTATATGATTGGTTGCATTATTTTCAGATAAATGAAATGTTTAAAAAAGACTTTAAGGAATATGGTTTTGCAGAGAAAGATTCTAAATTCCAAACAGAAATATTAAATAATGAATATAAAATGTTATCTAAAATGTATAAAATACTCCTGGAATGGCACACAAAGGACGAAGAAGTTAAATCAGTTATGATACAATGGGCCAGAGATTTTGGATACAATATACAGTTCAATGATTGGTTAAAATTATGGAATGAAAATATTAAATTTACTGCATGTACTACGTTAAAGGAAAATGTTATGAAAATGATTTATAGATGGTATATTACACCTGTAAAACTTGCAAAAATGTATAAAACATGTAAGAAGTGTTGGAAATGCAAAGAAAAGGATGGTACATTTTATCACATGTGGTGGGAATGTAAGAAAGTGAAGAGCTTCTGGGAGTTGATCTATAATGAATTGAAAAAAATGTTGAAATATACATTTGTTAAGAAACCAGAGGCTTTTCTTTTAGGTATAATAGGAAACAAAATAAATAGAGAGGACTGTAAATTTTTCCAATATGCAGTAACAGCAGCAAGAATATTATTGGCCCAGAAATGGAAACAAGAACAATTACCAACATTAGAGGAGTGGAGAATGAAGCTGATGGACTATGCAGAACTTGATAAACTGAGAGGGAAGATTAGATATCTACGTGATCAAAAGTTCATTGAGGACTGGGGCAAGTTTGTTGATTATTTGGAATGTATAAGCGACGAGAGAATAACGCTAGTGGCATTTCAAGAAGCTCTGTAAAAGTTTGAGAAGTATTGTAAAAAAGAAAAACAAATGTGTAAAGATATGCTAAAAGGCAATAGCAGATTTAGGAAATGTGTATTTGAAAAAGTTAAATTTGGATGATTGTCAGAGAGGCTGGAGGAAGTCCAAAAGAGAAAATTTGTAAAAGTTGTAATGTGGTGTTATATGTATTATTTCTTTTGTTGGAAAATTAATAAAAAAAATTTAAAAAAAAAGAGTGTCTGAGCTGGCATTGATACAATAATGGTGCATTAGGGCTGGATTTATATTGGGCCTTCCAGACATCATCCTGCTTTATTAGTTGTTCTGTGGTACTTCCCCAATTGTATCATATTATTTCTCTCTGGAGGGGCACGCTTGTGCTATAGCGCGACAAAAGCACAACAAAAATAAACCAACAATTTGTGGTATAAAAGAACTGCAGGGTTTCAGCAGGAAGTCACGGGACATGTGGTGATTGGAAACAAGGTAGAATGTCCGCCCAAAACCTTTTGCAGGTGTGAAAGAGGGGTTCTTATATATAAGCACTCCAACAATATCATTCATAAGAATCAGCATAAATGCACAATAAAAAGGCTGTCTGGAGGGACGCTGAGCAAAGCTACTGTTCTAGAAAGATGTGAAAAGTGAACCCCGCGAAAATTCAGCACACATCCAGTTCCATTTCTTGGCCACACCCATTTGTGACAGAATATTGTGAGTTGGCTTTCATATAAATGGTTGGCCATTACCAATGTCTATGACTAAATATCAGTTGCTAATATTATGGGCTACATGGAAAAGGTTTAATTTGCAGATAATATTAGCAAATGACTTTTGCAGTAGGTTGGGGGAGGCAGAGTTGCACTTTTGCAGAACAAGTGACCTAGCCACATATTCGGGTGCACTTTACTGAACACGTTCCTTGTTCCTCCGCGTCAGTAGACTTTGGCCCCCTTTGCTCTCCGTCAACTGCCTGCTAAAATCTAGAAGATAATAGAGCCTGTGACCTTGTGCTGGATAGGTGCCTTTTTTAATGTCTGGGAGCAAGGCTTTGGAACAGATAACCTTCTTGAGGCCTCTTTTGGCCCTACAGTTGTATGATTCTCCACCACGAATCCGCAGACACCACCAGCCCCATTTCATGGAAAACCCTAATGACACCTCAAAATATTTCGCTCTCACTCAATCTCTCATCCCCAGCATTTAGCAGACCCCCCCTTCTTGGTTATTGACTCTCACACCCAAACTGCCGCTCTTTCATTGCCTAGACCAGTCTTGCTGACTAAGCAACCCCTCCCCGTGTCAGCTCCAGCCACCCTGAGGAAGTCCCGCCCGGCCGGCAGTGACCAGAAACTAAGGACAGGAACAGTTTGGCTTCCTGCTCTTGCCGGCGTTTCCCTTCCAGCTGGAGCCAGGACAGGTGGCGATAGCGGCGCATTTCCTAGCTCACAACAGAAGGCATGGGAACTTTTGGGAGGATAGGGGCCTCTCAGGCAGGCTAGAGCATTATCAGCAGGCCGAGGGGAAGCATTGAAGAAGAACGTCCTCATCTAACCCACCCTCCTTTTTTCTTTTATTGCTTTTCTTGGCCTGCCTGTCATATGGACCATCACCCAGGTGGACCGTTTTCTGCTTCGTTGGACTGATTCCTAGGACAGTTGGACATTAAGAGCCCAAACGGATCAGGTCAAAGGGCCAGTGAGGGAAGCATTCTGCTTCCTACAGCAGCCAACCAGCAGACATACTGAACCCTAAGCTATGTCAAGTTTAAGAGGCCCCATCGCATCACCAAAAGATGTCCCCACCTCTTTCTTAACTTCCATTTGCCTTTTTTTTTTTTTTAAGGTTTTGTAACAGAAGACAAAGAACACAACAGAAAGGACACTGAAAGCAGAAATGATAAAGGTTCATATTTGCATATATACCAATACATAGGTTAGGATGCAACGAAAAGCTAACACACTAATTAAAAGGTATATATAGTAAGAAGCCTATTAATTTTTTAACCACTTAGGTAAAACTTGAAATTAAGTTTTTCTAAAAAATGTCTTTGGAGGCCCTTTAAGAACCTGGGGCCCTAAGCTGTAGCTTACTTAGCTTACGCACTTCCGGGAATTTTACAAAAGAGGGTTTTTTGTCCAATGTTCCCAACCAGCTACTGGTATTGAGTGGCATATCTCCTCCTACCACCGATCTGGGGAGTTCCATATAACTATCATGACTAGTAGCCACCAAAAGATTCAACCTCTATGGATCTGTCTAATGCCCATTTTAAAGCTATCTAATCCGTATCACCCCACCTTGGGTAAATTCCAGAAATTAACTGATGTTGAGAAGATGCTAAAATTCCACACCTCTTCCTCAGCAGCTGCATTTTACCTGGGAATCCACGTATTAGCCAAAACCTATACAGCTTCTTGTATTAGAGAAACCATCATCATTATTTAACCCAAATTAAGAAGAAGGTGCTTATTCACACACACACACACACACACACACACACACACACAGAAAACAGAGAGAAAACCAAGTCAAGTTGGAAAACTGCGTCACTTTATTAACCCGTTTGCACACACAGTAAATCTCCTGCCCCCGGCTACACACAGCATGCATGATCCACTCAAAATTAAGCACTTTAAAATCCCATTGACTTCAGTGGGAGAAATCTGGGCGTGTGCTAAACATTGCCATTGGATCTCAAGGGGTTTAAAAATAGCTGGCTCATGCCCCACATAACTTGTGTGTCGATTGAAGCCTCTAGTTCTCACTGCTTAGTTCGCCTCCAACATGGATCTTGTTGCTCGGATTTCGGAAATGCCTCTAGGTCAATAAACAGCCAATAAACAAAGACACACATCCATGTAATGTTGGCAGGATCTGGTGACTGCCTTAAGGAAGAGAAGCCTTGAGCAGTCCTCAGAACACTGTGTGCCCCAAGGCTAAAGAAGGCTGCTGCAGAGCATGTTAGAGCAGCAATATCTCAGACCCAGACAGGGTCCACCAATGACTTACCCAATGTGGTTGGTCCTTAGAGAGATCTCCAGCTCCCTCAGCACTTTGGTGGATTCCTGCACCCTCCGACGGAACTTCTACAAGCATAAAGACCACACTTTACTGGCAGGATACAACCAATTTATCTTCCTCATCTACAATCAAGCCTGCATATGAGGGTAGGATCAACCATCGGGTTAAATGCATCCGTTATTTTCGTACCTCCTTCTCTATAACCAGTCCCTGATTATATTCTCCTATACCCCTTGTTCTTTATGCAAATAATACTACTTCTGCAAGAACTGGAGGGCCTGTGAGATTCCTTACTATGGCACAGACCAGGAGTAGCCATCTTGGCACCTTCCAGTTGTACCAGACTACAATTCCCATCACCCCTGACCAATGACCATGCTGGCTGTGGCTGATGGAAGTTTGAGTCCAATGACACCTGCAGGGCCACAGGTTCTCCACCTCTGCTAGAAAGCCTGGCCTCAGTGTTTGCTTTTCAGGATGAGCAACTTGTCTCATCGGAAAGGGCCTTGCCTGGCCAAGTGATAGCTATCTTGGCCTAGGATAGCTTTGTGTTCTGTTTTAAGGCCTCTATTTGAAGAAATCCTCAAACTGAAGGACCGCTTTGCCCTAGTCTAGTAGTGGTATTAACAAAGGGAGAGCAGCGGCCTTGGCGCCAACCAAGTAGCTGTGCTAGTGGGAGACAGCACATGGAGTCCTGCTAGCACTTCCCCCTCCATTTTGGCTCAGGGGTGTGTGTTTGGAGAATCCCCAGAGCCGTGGGCTGGGGAGGAGAAGGGAGGTTGTTCCTCTTGTGGCAACATGCCCTGAGTGGGCTGCCCTGGAGGGCATCACTGTCATATTGCATGGCCAATGCTTTGTTTGATGTTTCCAGTCTTGTAAACCATTTTAAGTAATCTGTGAATGGAACTTGTATACATTAAATATTCTGAGCGTCTTACCTTCCGGGTGACTCCTGGGTCAAGGAAGCTCTTCAGTTTCTGAATGTATGTGTGGGGTGGGTTCTTCACCTGAAATCGTTCCTGTTCCAGGTCAAGGGTGGGCGGGGAAGAGGAAGAAAGAAGAAAGAAGCAGAAGGCAGGAATAATGATTGTTAGGTCTTCAAAAGCACAGAGCCAAGCTTGGCCTAGGTCACCACAGGGGAAAGGTCCCCACTATTTATTTGTTAACACAGCAAGCCTCAGTGTTGCCCTGACTTGCACCAATGACAACGCTGTTTGGTGGCTTGCTCTTCCTGGGTAATCTGAATTCCAGATGCTCCTTTATGCCTGTATATCTAATAAGCTTGGAAGGAAAGCCATTTCCACTCTCTGCTCCACCCATATACAGTATTTTTCGCTCCATAGGGCACACTGGACCATAGGGCGCACCTAGTTTTTAGGGGGGGAAATAAAGAAAAAAAATTATTCCCCCCCCCCAGGCCCAAAGAGCAAAGAAGCCAAAACAACGAGATGGATCCCGCTCACTGACTTGGCTTCGTTTTTAGCCGCGGGGCTGGGGCGGGGGAAGCCCAAGCGTACCCCGACCCCAGCCCCCAGAACGGGTCCGGGAGCGGGGGCGAGGTTGCGAGCAACCTCTCCTTCGTTCCCGGAGCTTGCTGCTATCCGCAAGCCTTCTGAGCCCGGCAGGAACTCCCGCCGCACTCCAAAGGCTTGCGGTTAGCTTCCTGAAGCCTGGAGAGCGAGAGGGGTCAGTGCACACCAACCCCTCTTGCTCTCCAGGCTTCAGCGAAAGCCTGCATTCGCTCTATAGGACGCACACACATTTCCCCTTCATTTTTGGAGGGGGAAAAGTGCGTCCTATAGTGCGAAAAATATGGTACATTCTCTTCTGTGGCCTTTTGTCCTGCTCAAACGCTAGCAAAATCTGCACCTTTCCCCTTAGGATTGCAACCTTAGGCAAGCCCCACTGCACTCAAAGGAATTTACTTAACTTCTAAATAAGCATACACAGAACTGGGCTGTAAGAACCTATGGTCTCCCTCTCATGGTTTTGGACCGGTCTAAAGCCACATCTTCATCTGGGAACCCACAGGCGGAGAAAAACGTTATTCCATGATTCCCCAGTCACTGTCCAATGTGATTTATGGAACATAGGCTCTTGGTTTATTACTACAAATGCATCTCTGTAACCTGGATGATGAACCCACATATCTGTTAGGCCTCCCTTAAGGAGCAGGGGCACCTAACCTAATGCCCTCCATCAGTCTTGACCGCTGGCTATGCTGGCTGGGACCTGAGAGGACTTAAGAGGACAGCAACACACAGAGAGATACCTGTGCTGGCTGCTACTGTTGCAGCGGCACAAACAGCTGCTAATAGGATTTGTCAACTGACTAGGAAAGAATGACATGGACCACTCCTATGCCATTATCAGCACCTTGATCTGCAAGAACCTCCAAGTTGCTTATAACATAGGGATAAGGATTATCACTTGCTAATATCTTCAGATCAAGCTGATGTTAAATGTACAGGAACAGGATATGACTGAAAATAAATGGAGGGACAATTTCACCCCACTCTCTTCTCCTGAACCTAAATTTTGTGGGTTCCTTGATTAGACAGGGAGGAATCGTATCACAGTGTATTATGGGTAGCTGGGTGTGTCTATAGCTAGGGGTTTGTAGAATTTTCTGAGCTCAACAGGTGGGTGGCAGAATGCACAGGAGCCGAATGTTTTGGTCATGGTGCTGTGCAGATGCCCCGTGAAAAGTACATGAGCAAAACAGTTATGCTCCACAGTAAATGCCCGGCATGGAAGCAACCTCGAAATCAAATGAAAGAGCTTTTCCATTGCTTAGAAACTTTGGTAACTGTGCAGTATATAAATAGCTAAAATAATGTTATGGCCTGTAACAGGCCCACATGGAGGTCAGATGTTTACGTTTTCCCGTTAATCATGCGGGGAACAGGGATACCATTCTCATAACAACAAAGAATTAAGCAGTCAAGTAGGAAAAATGCATTATGATAAGGGGATGTGGCCTGCTCTTTTAAAGGGAGTCGAGGAACTGTAGCTCAAGGGGAGATGAAGTTGTTTCTGGCAGTGACCCTGTCTGAGTCATCAGCCTCTGCCATGATATGATTTGGAATCTCACCCCATCAACAACAACCTCAGGGCAGCCCCACCTTACCTGGTCGCAAATGAGGTCCCATTTCTTCTCGTTGTCATATTGTCGGAGGAGACGAGCCTTGTCAGGAGGGAGGTTCATGGAGCTCTAAGGAGAGGAGCAGAGAGACAGGTGGTGTGGATTGAGTTCTTGGACTGCTTCCATGGAATACATTCTGGGAAGCATGGAAGGACTTCCTCTTTCAAGAGAAAGTGTAGGCAAGACATGGGATTCTCAAGGAGCATATTGGTTACATTCAGCAATGTGCTGACTTGGGGATGATGGGTCAGTCACTGGTCTGGTCTGGTCAGGACAGCACAATAATCTACTGACTTGTCTAGTGTCCAGTATTTTAATCAAAAACATCCCAAACCCAGGAATAAAATTACTGAACTGAACCAATGGCCTTTAACCTTTTCAAGAAACAGCCCTCCTTTAATTTCAAAGGTGCAACATGGATCCACATTTACAATGCAATCTTGAGCTTGCCTACTCAGAAGGAGGTGACCTTGAGTTCAATGAGACTTTCTCTCAGGTTAGACTTTATAGCAAGGGATAGCTAACTAACTCCAGTTCAGTCAATTTGTCAAGAAAGAAAGAAAGAAAGAAAGAAAGAAAGAAAGAAAGAAAGAAAGAAAGAAAGATTTTCCCCAAAAGTAGACACAGTGCTGAGGTGGGCGCATCCCAGTCCACTGATGGGCATGCACACTGCCCTCTCTGCTTGATCAGCAAATCAACGCTCTGATTAATGGAGAGGGGCTGGCAACCCCACTCTGTGTGTTCTGTGCGGCCATCTCTGTACTGCCTGGGTGTGCATGCGAGAATGTGCATGAGAGGTGGCCACACCCACTAGTGGCACGCGGCCCTCGGAAGGTTAGCCAAGGCTGCAAAGGTTTCCTTTGTGTAGGGCTGCCATACATCTGGATTTCAAAGGTGGAATTGACATCCGGGGGGAATTTTTGAAATGCGGCACTTTGTTCTGGATCTTAAAAGGTAAAGGTAAAGGGACCCCTGACCATTAGGTCCAGTCGCGGACGACTCTGGGGTTGCGGCGCTCATCTCGCTTTACTGGCCGAGGGAGCTGGCGTTTGTCTGCAGACAGTTTTTCCAGGTCATGTGGCCAGCATGACTAAGCCACTTCTGGTGAACCAGAGCAGCGCACAGAAACGCCGTTTACCTTCCCGCCGGAGCAGCACCTATTTATCTACTTGCACTTTGACATGCTTTCGAACTGCTAGGTTGGCAGGAGCAGGGACCGAGCAACGGGAGCTCACCCTGTTGCGGGGAATTGAACCGCCGACCTTCTGAACGGCAAGTCCTAGGCTCTGTGGTTTAACCCACAGCACCACCCGCATCCCTCCTGGATCTTAGGCAAGTCAATAATAATAATAAAATATTATTTATTTTATTTTATTTAATTTATTGACCTGGCTCTTAGGCAAGTCAATAAAAAAACCACGGGTCTTTTTGGTGTTTTTGAAAGGAAAGGAACTCAACAACTTTTGGGATGTCCTGGTTTTTACTTTTTGAAATATGGCACCCCTACACTTGTGCCCAAAAGGTTACCCGCTCCTGTGAACAGGAATGCAGCAAAAATAAATACCGTATTTTTCGCACCATAGGACGCACCGGACAATAGGACGCACTTTGTTTTAGAGGGGGGAGAACAAGAAAAAAAAATCTCCCCCTCTCTGCCCAGCGCCCCTTCAGCGAAGTGGCAGGAGGCGCTGTGCAGAGAGGGGGAGAACTTTCCCCCTCTTGTTTTCCCGCTCTAAAACAAGGTGCCGTTTAAGGTGCGTTCAGGCGGCTGCCTTGGAAGCCAGGAGAGCGAGAGGGGTAGGGGTGCACTGACCCCTCGCGCGCTCCCGGCGTCAGGTTCCTTTCGACCTGCTCTTTGGGGCTGGCGGGGGGAAGCCCACCACCAGCCCCAAAGAGCAGTTCAGGGAGCAGCGGAAAGGCGCAGCGGAGAGGCTCCTGCCATAGCCATGCGTCACCTCTCCAGCCGGGAGAGGGTTGCGGGGCTATGGCTTCTTTAGCCCCGCGCGCGCTCTCCCGGCTGAAGAGGTGACGGGCGGCTATGGCAAGAGCCTCAATAGCCGCGCGTCACCTCTCCAGCCGGGAGAGGGTCGCGGGGCTATGGCGTCTTCGCTCCATAGGACGCACACACATTTTCCCTTCATTTTTGAAGGGAAAAAAGTGCGTCCTATAGAGCGAAAAATACGGTAAATCATGCTTTTATATCCTTTAGCCTACATGTGTCTTCCTCTCCTCCTCTCTGTCTCCCTGTCTTTATCCTTTCCTTTCTGCTTCCCTCTCTGGTGTAACACACCAGATGAAGACCAAGGTACTCAGCAACCCTATACAGAAATACAGCGATTTTTCTATGTCTCTCAGCTCTCGCTTTTCTCCATCCTTGATAACAGATGAAGCATGACTCCCCCTTGCCATAGGTACAGGCTGGTAGCCAGCAGAGTTACTCCTTGTAGTTAAATCTGAAAGCTGGGAGGGCTGACCCTTTCCAGGTCCTTGCCTCATTCGAGGTCCTTGCCTCTCCAACCCTGTACCAGCCAGTCTAGGAGTTTATAACGCTGCTCACTTTTTGGTAAAAGACTCAGGCATGCTCAATAGTATTTCCCTGTACTGCAGTAAGAAATTCAAGAGAGTAAGGAAAAAGAGAAGAGCCACCACGTCTCCTTCATACAAGGAGGAAATTAGGACATTTATTTATAGCTTTTTTGAAAGCATGTGTGCCACTTTTGGACTATAAAAGCAGTACAATGTGCCTGCAATATCTCCTCTACCAAGCCAAGGAAGTGTTCATTTGCAGGAAATTTAAGAAATCTCTAAAAATAAACCCAAACATGACTCACTCCAATACAATCATGAATGGGTTGTGGTGCCCTCAGCTACCAGAACAGCACTGTTCCAGAGCTTCACACTGAAAACTGGGAGCAGCTTCTGGGTATAATAAAGCCACGAAGAGCTAAAGGCTACAGCATTCCCCACTCTGCCCTTCAGGCAAGAAGACCTGGATTTGAAACCACATGAACTTCAATTTGGGTTCTACTGTGAGGAGGTAGGATGCTGTCAAAGCACTGCAAGGTAGCTGGGAAATAAGCATTTTGGGAAATAAGCATTTCCTGCATTGCTTCCTGGGCAGAGCTGTCACTCCAGTCCAGCAGGAGATTTCAATTATCAACCAAGACGTGTGGCTTTCAGCCCTTTTTGCCTGTGGTTCGTTGTCAACAATGGTCAAGGTGGAACCTGTTTGCTACAAGAAAGCTGCTAGCATGCTATGGATGAACTGGTGAACGAATGAATGAACATCGTTCAAGTCTCCTGTGAGCCCAAAATGCCATCTGCAGAGAAGGCCGCCTGTTACATCTCCAAATGATTCCCTTTTCTGGACTTGCTTCCTCCAAATTAGCCTCCACCATGAATAAGTCTGCTGGGTGTCACTGGATTCCAATGCAGAGGTGCAGTAGAATTGCCCACTTTCAGGGGAGGGTCTCCTTTGCATCTCTTCATGAGTCACTGCTCCAGACTCAAAACTGTTGTTAATGCAGAAACCCAAAGAATAAGTGGGTTATGTGCTCCTCAGTGGCTCCAGCCCCAAATGTCTCATGCATAGTTCTTGTTTCTGGGCATTAAAAAAATAAAATAAAAAATCAACTACTATCTAGTATTCTCCCCACCACCACCCATTAAGAGATCAAAACATCACATTGCCTTTTTAATTGAATGAACTATTCACATGGCATTTCTAATTCAGGCTTTCCCCCTGACCCATCTCCCTTGCCCTGTATGAAAAGGGAAAGGAGGAAAAGGAAAACTCTTGAACAACGTGTATGAGAATTGCCAAATGGAATATGCCAACAAAGGAGATCAGTGTATATGATGCTTTCAAGGGATGCCAGAAACCCACAGGCAGAGAACCGCCTGTCCCTGTCAATGCCTCACCTTAATCTATCCCTCATATTAAGAGACGGGTTTTGCCCAGTCCTGTTATGAGTTTGGTATAATGGTTTGGCAATCACCGGCTTCATTTTCTGTGGATATCTAATCAATCCCTTTTGGGGAAACTGCTAAATATTTCACCATGACTATTTCCTTGTGGCAGGCAGTTCCACAGTACAGCTTTCTGAAAACATCGCCTCTGGAGGCATTGTGCCTCAGCCTCCCCACTGGTAATCTAGAGGAAGATGAGAATTTGCTGATCTAAGTGGAGAAGGCTGTGAGTGTACACCAATAGATAATACGGGTTCGCTGCCAGTGCTGGTTTCCAGCCCCAGGAGAGTGCTTTAATGCAACAACAGAGAGGACGGGTAAAGAAAGGTCTCAGGTTACACAGGAAAATTAAATAAAATGAAAAGTTGCGTCATGTTATAATGCATTTAACAAACACAGTTCTTCAAAGCTTGGAACTTGTTCAACTGGGGCGGAGGAGAATATGCCCATCTGAAAATTCTTTCAACCCGCTTTGTAGCAGCCTGCTCTAATGTTCTCTTCGTACGGGAGAACATGAGCCAGTCGCACACAAACACTCATCCCCACAGTGCCATCATACAGACTAATCTTGTCCCAATCACACACTAATGAATACAGACATACATAAGTCTCTCTCACGCACGCGCGCAAACACACACACGCCCCATTGAGTTCACCACTGAGTGAGAGCCAACAACATAGAAGTCTAGAGGCTAGGTGGTTCCTGGGTCTGGGAAATGGGATATTTGGTTACCCTAGAGAGGGTTTCGCTCCCCGCAAAGGAGCAGGTCCATAGCAGTCAGCGGCTGCCAATATGCCACCAAGCCAGATTTAATGGGTTGCTTTTGACCTATGAAACCCTAAATAACTTGGGATCAGCTTGGCTGAAGGAGTACCATTCTGAATATCAGCTTGCCCCCTGCATTAAGACAGCCAGACAGGGCCTTTCTGGTCATATCGCAACCTGCAGAGATTCACCTAGTGGTGCCCAGAGGAAGGGCCTTTTCAGTGGTGGCGCCCTTTCTGTGGAACCAACTCCCATGTGAACTGAGGGAAGCAGCTACCTTAATGTAATTTTGGTCCTTGCTGAAAACACATTTGTTCTCTGATACCTTTGCTGGTTGTTTATACCACCTGGTTTCTTTTAACTACCTGCCATTGACTTAGCGTCTGCCGTTTTAGTCTGATTTTTGTCAATGGATTGCTCCTGGGTTTTACACATCTCCTTGTTATTAGGTATGAAAGGTGGCATAGAAAAAACAACACACCACTTATTCCTGTTCCCATTCTTGCACATCCCCATACGTTTTCTTGCACCATTCACAAACTTGCCCTTTAGACAATGAATGTGCACACATTTATTCCTTCCTACCATTCCTGCTTCCGCCCAGTCCAGGGTACCATCTATACACACACCCAGAACTGATTCATAACGGAGCCAGCTCTACTCAGGAAAGGCAGGCTACCTGCCAGACTGAAAAGCCCGCAGACTCTGACTCACTCGCTCTCTGACTCCTTGGAAATGCAAGGAGGACGGGAGTCTCAACAAAGTCACTTTTGTTCTAGCGGGGAAGGAATCAGTAGTGACGAGAGCAACCACGAGAAGGCAAAGGGCCCACATTGCATTCCTCCAAATTGCTCTCAACAAAGCCCCTTCGGCCTCTGAGGCTGCCAGCTATGGAAACCTTTCTTACTTCTCCCCATGCCGGTAACGGAGGAGGGACGGCTGTGCGTTGCAGGGGTCTCAACATCAAATGGGTTGCAGGGCCCAAATCCCCACCTAGCGGATGCCCAGGGACTATGCCCATTACTTTTTAAGAAATCATGCCAATTCCAAACCATCAAGGCTAACTTGGTCGAAGAATCAACTTTGAGGGGGGAAATAAGAGGCACACTCCTTCCTTTGCAGCTCTGGCATGCGTGCCATCTGGTCTTAATCATTTCTAGTACTCCACTATCCTGTTCCCAACCCACAACTGTCCTGCGCTGTGAATTTAGAGGGAATGGGGAGGAGAGGCCCAAGCAGCTGTGCCGGGTGCAGTAGCCGCCACTGGTGACTCAGTCCCTTGGCCCTACCCAAGGGATTTGCTTCCTAGGGCTCCAGAGGAATTTGCCAGGGGTGGCACAAGCCAGTTAGATGCCCTCAATGGATCCAATATGGCGCTTGCCACTCGTGGTACCAAAGACTGTGGGTTGTGGACAACAGGGTTGGGGAGCTACGCTTTCCCTGATGAAGAGTAATACTAGACGGCCACCAACTTGGTTGGTTTTACCTCCACTGTTGGTCAGAAGCACCCTAGTTCAGAAGCCAAAACCTGAAACCTAGGGGTGGTCCCTGGTGATGTCATGGGGGTGGACCCTGGAGACGGAGGTTAATTGGGAGAAGGGAGCAGGGGAGGGCAGGCCCCACTGCAACATTTTGTGGCAGCTCCCCCACTGACAGAAACTGAGGGTGGAATTCCTGCAGCCAAGTGCTACATTTTGTTTTATTTTATTACAAATATTTAATGAATTAATGAAGATTCAAACATATCAGAACACTAGTACTTTTGTTTCTGTAATTTCGCATTGATGTGTGATGCCCTGTCCCCCAGCAGTGAGTTCTTATGTCCCCTCACCACATAATCTTTTGGGCCACAGGCCCAACATTTGCAGGGGGGTTGTGTTTGGCCAAGAGATGGAGCCAGAGAGTTGCAATGTTGACGCCCTTTGAAAGATTTGTCCTTAGGGACCCTCCAGATGACCTCTATGTGGAGCTTTCATCCAGATTTGCTTTCACAAAGCCTATGCAGGGCTGAGTTTATATGCAATCTTTATTGAGAATTCGCTTTGATTTGTTTGCAGAGCAGTTACACTACAATGAGTTTTTCACCCGGATTATACATTTTCTCATTAGCTATTCATTCATTCAACATTTTTCAATGCACTGTCTCATCACTTTCCAGACTGCAAGAAGTCCAGGTTTTTGTTTGCTTATTTAAAGTGGATTGATTGATTGATTGATTGATTTAAAGAGCATGTTGATGCATAAACCTAAAGTTCTGGCATTGAACCGAATCACTCCCATAAAATACTGACAATCTGAAGACACCCTTAGTATAATGTGCTTCCGATTCTACTGAGCATGGTAAGACTTACTTACCCCATGTTGTAGTATAGTAATAATAATAATAATAATAATAATAATAATAATAATAATAAATTTTATTTATATCCCGCCCTCCCCAGCCGAAGCCGGGCTCAGGGCGGCTAACAACAATAAAACAGTACAAAAGCACAGCACAAACAACACTCTAAAACCATTCATTATAAAATTAATTCAAATCAAGCCACTGGCAACCATTGGGCCAGAGCTCCACGAAGATTGCCGAGGGAGGGAGTCAGGCTGTGCCCTGGCCAAAGGCCTGGTGGAACAGCTCTGTCTTGCAGGCCCTGCGGAAAGATGTCAAGTCCCGCAGGGCCCTAGTCTCTTGTGACAGAGTGTTCCACCAGATCAGAGCCACAGCCGAAAAAGCCCTGGCTCTAGTTGAGGCCAGCCTAACTTCTCTGTGGCCTGGGACCTTCAAGATGTTTTTATTTGAAGACCGTAAGTTTCTCTGTGGGGCATACCAGGAGAGGCGGTCCCGTAGGTACGAGGGTCCTAGGCCATATAGGGCTTTAAAGGTCAAAACCAGCACCTTAAACCTGATCCTGTACTCCACCGGGAGCCAGTGCAGCTGGTATAGCACCGGGTGAATGTGATCTTGCAGCAAAGACCCCGTAAGGAGTCTCGCCGCGGCATTCTGCACCCACTGGAGTTTCTGGGTCAGTCTCAAGGGCAGCCCCACGTAGAGCGAGTTACAATAATCCAGTCTGGAGGTGACCGTCGCGGGGATCACAGTGGCTAGGTCAGGGCGAGAGAGGTAAGGAGCCAACTGCTTAGCTTGGCGGAGATGGAAAAATGCCGCCTTTGTTATAGCTGCAATCTGCGCCTCCATGGAAAGGGAGGTGTCGAAGATTACACCCAAACTCTTAACGGACGGTGCTGGCACTAATTGCACCTCCGCAATTGCTTAAGAGGCGGACCCTCTCTCTCTCTGAAACACACACACAGAGAATGACAACTGGGACCAAAACACTGCAGGACTGAGTATTTCTCAACCCTCCCTTCCACCGTCAAGTCACTCAGCACTTTGTGCAGCCAGTGAGCATGCTCAGTCCTTAATAGTCCTCATTACAGGGTCTCCCCCAAAAGTGTTTTTGTACTTCTGCAAACCTTGGGGTTCCGCAAATCTGAGGTTTCCCCTCCTGTAGTTTGTGGATGGTGCCATTCTGGCTAAGGGTTAGCAGTCGGAGAATTAAGTTTGCTATTTGTAGATAGGCTGATTGTGGCCTATTGTACACAACTGTTGAAAGGATTCCTGAGACAACGTAAGTGAAACACACTGTACTGCTGGAGAAATGTTAAGAATTTCTTCTTCCTCTAGATTTTCAGCTGCATGCTGACTCTGGCTAAACATCTCCAGGAGTCCTGGTTAGAACCTGGCAGGCACGAGAAACCGAATATGACCTGTTGGCAATGAGAACGGAAAAGGAGCCTTCAAAGGGGGCCATCTGGTCCTGGACATACACTTGGGACAATCAGAAACAAAAGCCTGCCTGGCCCCCTCATGACCCTCCAAAGGCCACATTCATCCCATCCTGAGCAGCAGCTGAAGAGGCATCTGACCTCAACCCAGGAGGAACTCTTAAGTACTGAAGTCCTCACCCTGGGCCAGCAGGGGGATACTGTAGATAGTTATGCAAATGAAGGATTGAAAAGTGACATTCAGTGATTGGATAGTTTTGTATGCAAATGAAGGATTGAAAAGTGACGTTCAGTGATTGGATAGTTTTGTATGCAAATGAAGGATCGAAAAGTGACGTTCAGTGATTGGATAGTTTTAGAAAATGGCAACAGTTACATTGTTCTGGAGCTCTATATAAGCAGGCTGACTGAGCCCCTCAGCTTAGTTCTGTTCTGACATCTGAATAAAGAAGAGCTGTTTGAAGAATCGCTGTGTCGTCTGCTATGTTCGCCCACAACTTAACAGGAACGAAGGAAGCCTCTTCCTATCAGGTAAGGATGGAGGAGAAATTTAAAGCCAAATCTATCAAATACACGCCTTCTGAAACAATATGCAAACCAAAACACAGCCATCCTTTGACATTTGCAGTCATCCGAATTTTGTGGTTTCCTCCTCCAACAAAGAAATGCCATACTTTTAATGCACGTCTGAAGTGCATTCTGGCTAGCTCTGTCATGCACACCCGGTGGCTGCCATCTCCTCACACCTGGCCACGCTTAGAGGCACCTTAGCTTTACTCACGAAGTCGCTGTGGTGCTAAGAGGTAATTTCATTTATGCAAAGTCTCACTGCATCACAAAGACTTATGTTTCCTGTCTAAACCAACTTCCTGTGGTTCATCAACCGCAGACACAGAATGGTGCTGTCACTTATTTCCTGAACTGATAGAATTGGGGCTGGGAGGAGGAGCAAGGCATTCTGGGTAAGCATGCCAGATTTTTAGCTTAAAGAGTCTTTCTGCCTTGCCACCACATGAAATGGATGCCAGAGGCAGCACCTGCAGGCACCTGGGCGGGCTCCGGGTGGGTGGGTAGAATAGGTCCCCTTTTCAGATTGTGGAGATAACTTGGGCAAGCCAGATTGTGCTTCTTGGCTTTGATTCAGGAATGATAGTCAGCCAGCAAATCTCAGATGAAGTGTCCAGCCCTTGATAGGCTTGCAAAAATGACCCTATGAACTGGCAGCCTGTGTTAAGCACTGCTAGATCTTGGCCACATTCCTTTCTAGAAGGCCTCTTGTGAGAGAAACAGGTTGAAGTTCCCATGTTCTTGCCCTAAAGGAGAATCTAGTAGACCAGAAATAATGGTTCGAAGGCCTTCTTTGGAACTCCTGATTAACAATGGCGGGATGGAGTCATACTGTTATTCATTCTCTTGCTGTGTTCTAAAGTGGGCCTCATGTTGTGGGACACCTTTTGTGGCAATGGCAGGCACACACTCCCTGCCTCCCCATGTACGCACACACAATATCTCTTTGCTCAAAGCAGGAAATAAGCATTCAGACTGCACACCCTGTGAGACTCCTGCAAAGACCCTTATCAGCACTGGAGGCCTAAAGGGGGCAGTTGCTATGGCAACATGCCCTCAAGCCAAACTATGTTTGTTGCAAGGCTGGGGGGGCACCAAAACAAGGAATTTGGCACCCACACGGTGTCACGATTCTGGAACTGAGCTGGGTTCAACGGTTAACCTGGCCGTGGATTACCTGGGAGGCCATCTTCAACACATGTCAGACTACGTTCCCATCATGTAAAATGGAACAGAAATATCCTACCTCACAAGACCAGTGTGGTGAGAAATGAGATATGGTACGGTAAAGAAATCAAAATATGCAGGGCTAAGATCTAAATGTGAAACATAAACGGTACAGACCTATGCATTTATTTTTAGAAGGAAGCCCCACTGCGTTCAAAGGAAACTACTCCCAAATGAGTGTGTATAATATTGAAGTCTAAGATGCAAAAAAAGTCAAAAGTATAAACTGGAAAAATATATTATTTACTGCTGAATCGGGGCAACAGATGAAGCAATTCTATGCCAGGAGGAAATGGGAAAGAGATCTAGAAGGTAGGATCTAGAACATGAATGGAGATAGGTCTGGAATAAAGTCCAGACAAATACCATTAGCTCCAATCTCATAAAGCTTTTTCAAAGTTCAGTGCCCGTGATACTTGGATACTCATAGGCAGAAACATTTATACAATCAGATGTGGTGTATGATCCCTGTACGGTATTGGCAATGCTATGCTGACTTTATGCATACGCATTTTGGGAATGTGTTTTGGAAGCAGGCTATAGGATTCCCTGGATGAATGACTGCATGTTTTATTTCACACCCTTTGGTGCACAAATGATCTTGTCCAGTTATCTGAGGGGGAGAGCTGCTAATGTAATCTTGGAGTTGATTCTGAGCTTGCCAACTAGAGCAAAATCATGTATCAGCTGCAAGGCGGGGGGGGGGGGGAGAGGGAGAGTTCTCCAAACAGCGACCTTGCAAAGGGCTCAGAGAACATGTGGTCAAAAATAGTTAGATCTAAACTGGCACATATTATTTTTATTATTTGTTGGAATGAGGAATACAATTATAGCGTTAACCCATATGCTGTGTTTTCAATATTGCAATGAAGACTCGGACTGTTACATAACAAGAAAGTATTCTGAAACATAAGTAAGCAAGCAGTTGTTTACAAAAGGAGCAGAGGGCAGTGATAGGGGAGGAGGCGTATAACTGAGTAGGGAGCTATTGTGGGGGCCAAATAAGAAGCCTCGGGGCTTCAGACTGAGCCCCTGAGTCTTCCTACCGTAGGACACATGCACCCAAGCAACAGAGCCCACGTAGCTTTGCCCCATGTGCTTCCGAGGTCGTGTGAATCAGCCCTTAGCAGCGTGGGTGACACATTCTTCTGAATTGGCCTTGCACCCATCTCAGTCAGACTTTCTGCAAAAGCCCAGGCAGCTGATTACTACAATGCATGGAGCTTTTCCAAACAAAGTTAAGATCCAGCCACCATTGTCATTCTGGCGTGAACGGGAAATGGAACGTCATGCAGTCACCAAGTTCCTTCCCACCAGCATCTGAGATCTGCTCGAGTCTGCCTATCTTTTTTAGAATCAGCCAAAGAATAACAGCGGTTTAGGGCAAGGGTTGGCTGTATCCTTTAAAAAAGAAAAAAAGAGGCTCCATTGAAGAAGAAGAGGAAGAAGAAAAGCGAGTGTGGGCGAGAGGAAAAACAAAAACAGAACAGCAGATGGTGGTTTCTTTCCAGCATGGTTTTTTGTTTTGTTTTTTGTCGAGAAGTGGGGAGAGGGAATATTCCTGTTCAAGAGAGACAGAAACGACATTGTTACAAAACTCTGTTGCCCAGAGGTAACAAGATGACATTAGCTGATCAGCTGACGCTCTGGGATAAGGGACTGCTTTTTAAGGAAGGAAGGGTGGGCAAACATCTGTATTTTCAGTTGACACAAATGCCTGGCTGCCTGATGCAACTCTCAAACAAAAGGTAAAAATATTCTGAAGCATAATTGCCAAGCCCTGTCCCCACACCCTCTGGAGGCAAAGGAAGAGCAACATATGGGCAGATGAAAAGGGGTTTGGCCTTGCTAAAACACACACACACACACACACACACACACACAGGCATTTAACAAACCGGAACTGGTCCAATTTGGAGCATCTCCCAGGGGATAAAGGGACACACCCTGTGAAATATACTCAGAGTCGCAAAGTGATTTCATGCTCTTTATTCAGCTCATAGTGGTGAGGAGGAATGAATGAATGTCCCCTCAAAGTATCTGCTTTATATACATTATTTACACAATGGGCTGCACATGATTGGCTAATTCTGGAATTCTACTGTAAGCCAATCAGGTTGTGGATTCACTTATATCTGGAGCATGATTGGGTGGTTCCTGCCAACCAATCATACTGCTGCATTGTTCTAGGACCAATCAGACTGCTGCATTCTGAATCCTATTGTTCTAGGACCAATCAGACTGCTGCAGTTTGGATCCTATTCAACTCAGTACATAACACCCTGCATTAGAAAGCAGGAGGCCAGCAGAATGGGGGGTGGGAGGAAGGTGCAAAGGGGTCTCAAGCTGCTTTCCAGAGGCCAGATTCCAGTGGTCTCAGTGCAACTAATCTTGCCTAGAGTGTATTAAGTTGAGATGGACAAATCTGTCAATTTTAGTTTCTCATTTTTTCAGCCTATGGTGCGGTTCTCTCTATCAGCACATCAGGTTGCAATTTGAAAAGAAAAAGGAAGTCTGCATTAAAATTGGTCTCCTAATATATGCATTTCTGTAGTGTACACAATTTAGTATATGCATTTTTTGATTCATTTTGCACAATACATGTATTTTTGCAAGACATTTCCCATTATATAATCCCTTTTTTATACATTATTTTAACTAATATATGCATTCTTTGTGTGACCTTTCCCTAACAGGCTCTTTTTATTTTGGTACCCATTTTTTGAGGTTGGGAGATCTGTATCTTAGCCTTTCCCCATTACTTTTCTTTGTGTAATGCTTTTGCTCTCTCTGTGTGTGTGTAGTGTGAAAAATTTAAACATGTTCTCTCTACCATGAAGTGCTGCAGCCCAGGAAAGGGTTTGGCATTTTATCTGTTGTTTGTGTAGACCAGGCCTTAAGAGAGAAACAGAAGAAGGATTGCAATAGAGGCTGGAATGTCTGTATCTATGAAGAGTTAAACGTCCGGATCTGCATACTTTTCTGTGGTCCTTCAGACAGAATATTCAAGTGGCTTCCTATCCTAATACCAGTCCTGTATTGTAGTCATTTCCAGAGGAGTAGCCATTGCAGCAAAACAAGTCAAATAATTTTCACTTAAATTAAATTAAATTAAATTTAAATTAATGGAATCTTAGAAGGATGTTGGATAGAAACTAAGTGGTTTCCAGCTGTAATGCTTTAAGAGATATGAAAAAAGGTTTGCAAATGGGTAAAAGCTTAATGGTAAGGATTTGCTGAACTAACAAACTGAACTGGAATACAAAAAAGGGAGGTACGAGGAGGTCCGGAGAAATAAGTGTAAGGAAGATATGCTATGGAAAATTAATATGTTCTTAACTGTTTTTATTTTGTATGTTTCTTTTTATTTTTCATTTCTTTGTTATATCTTAATAAGGGTTTTTTATTTTTCTTGCTGTATTTTATATTTTCTTGTATTTTTACTTTTTGTTTTTGTGTAATTCTTGTATTTTTTGAAATTTTAATAAATATCATTTAAGAAAAAATTAATGGAGAGAAGTAAATCATGGTCATTAATTTCAGTGGGTCTACTCTTGCGTAAAGTCAGTTGACTGCAATACTATTACCCCTACATTGCAGCTTCTTTTATATCTGTGCCATTTTATTTCTTTGATTCCTATCCTACTTCATCTAAACACCTTGGAGCAGTTTACACAATATTTAAAACTGTACATTAAAATTTTAAGATTGCGGGCAAGTGAGAGCTGCAAATCCAAAGAAACTGAATTTTCCTAACACCTACACCATGTGCCTATGCTTGGTGATGACTGGCCAAACTCACGGTCCTTTCCTTTGTCCACATCCACAGGACAACTGAGTTACAACAGAGGTTTTTTTTGTAAAAAGGAGAAAGAAGGCATCTTGTTACAGTTCTTGGTCCTTGTAAGGTTCTTGCTCCATGTGGATTTCAATATGTAAGGAGCTCTAAGCTGGTTGCTCCAGCCAGCTGCATGGCTTTAAACAGCCTCTTTTGTTTCAGAGCAGAACAGAGTCTGAAACTAGTGTTTTTCTACACCAGTAGTTTAGAAACTTTTGCCTTTTGTAACTAAGGAACATTTTGACTGCCTGTGCATCTTATCTGACGCTGTATGGAAAAGCACATGAATCAGACCTTTAAAGTGTTTTGTAAGTAAACCATTTTATGACTTACCAAACGTATGGTCTAGCTCCACACTAGGAAAGTGGGATAGCTTGGATGGAGCTTTTAAAGGGGGACATTTTGGGACTCTCTGCAATGGCACATTTTTAAAAGGTTTACAGCCTACAGTATATCTTCACGCTTTCCTTTGCTGCGTGTTTTGTGATGTTAAATCTCTGCTGGGGTTCTCTGACCAAAGAGTACTTGCCCCAAACTTGGGTCTTGGCTTCCAGGATTCCAACAGTCGTCTGGTCAATGGATGGAACCAAGATGTTTCTCACCCAGAGATGCATTTTAAATAAAAGGACACATTCTACTCATGTAAAAACACGCTGATTCCTGGACCCTCCGTGGGCCAGACTGAGAAGGTGATTTGGACACATTTGGCCCCCGGGCCTTAGGTTGCCTACCCATGGTCTAAGGGAAACTGAAACTAAATGCTTCCAGAGTCCTCTTCTTAGTCAGGTGGGCAGAAGGGAAGGTGTGAGCCCTTGGCTTGTTGCAGCTTATACGTTATGGTTACCAGACATCCCTGTTTCCTGGGGACAGTCCCTAGATTAACAAATCTGTCCCCGGGCAAAATCTGTCCCCGGAATGCCCCCGGATTTCATTTAATGTTCCCGGATTTATATTTTAAGTGTTGTAGATTTATTAGTAGGCAATGAATGTTGCGTGATTGGTTCAACGGCACAAGACACATCATACGGGAACTTCCGGTGAGGCAAAATGGCGGATGCCACGGCAGCGAGCAGCTCCTGAAGCCAGCCAAAGCCAAGTGCGCTACCAGGCTGGCTCCGGGCTGCGGAGACTGCCGCTACCACCGCCACTACCGAGGGGGAACCAGGGATGCCCGGCACATCAGCCGGGGGAACCGCTGACACACACACCCATGACCCAAATCGAGCTGAGAGCGAGAGCGCCCGGCCAACCGGCCGACTGCCCAGCGGTGCTCCAGGGCCAGTAAAAACCCTGGAGCCGATGCAGGGAGAAGTAGGAGAGGAGAAGGAGAAGGAAGAGAGAGAAAGAGGAAGGAGAAAAAAGAGGGGAGCCCTGACCTTGCCGCACTGCTGAAGAGGAGAGGTAGGAGAGCACCAGGAGGGCAAGGACAGGTGGTCGAGCCCAGGCCAGACCCAAGCCTTCTCCACGGCGGCTAGCGCTCCAAGAGAGCAGGCCAGGGCCCAGGGGAAGGCCATGCGACAGAGACCACAGAAAAGAAGATATTACTTAATATATTTTTTTTAAAAAATAACTTTTTTTCCTCTTTTCAAAAAAAAAGGTGTACCCGGATTCTTTGAAAAAAATCTGGTAACCTTATTATACGTGTCATGATAAACCATGGTTTATTTGACAAAACAGGCAGGTTGAAAGTATTAAAGCAACAGCTCAGAAATAACCCTCCTCCCCATCTTCATTTGCTAGCTTTTAGCTGAGATGCCATCTGCATAATCCTTATCTGGGGGGCTGAATGCGCTCAGCTGAGTTCCGCAGTCTGCATGCATTGAAGTCTCTGGTCTACTCCGCGCTCCCTCCACCATTTCTCCATATGGATGACAGGGACAACTGTGGGAGCCAGGCAGGCCATGCTACCAAGTTGATTCCAGGGGCAGATGTCTCCATGTTACACAGCAACTCTCCCAACTCTCCTGTGCGCAATGCCAAACTATTAGGAAACACGTTCCCCGCCATGAACTTTGTAAGTCATCGTGTCCTTGTAAAGTGGCAAAGTCTGTTGCTGCTGGAAAGAGAAGGCAGAACAAGAAGGGAGAGAACAGGGAGACTTCAAGTGTGAATCTGTGTGTGCTGTCAAAGAGACTAAGTAAATAAGGTAAGTAAATGATCCCTGGATGACTAGTAACCCCTTCCAAGGCTCTTGGTCGACAAAGCTACCAGTCTCCCATGGGAGGCTCAAGAATGCTCTGTGTTTTTTGCTTTTCTAAAAACAAATTCTCTGCCAAAATCTGCACCTGGAATAAAGTCTGAAAATGTAATTTTCACTTAAATTCTTCTTGCAAGGAAAAGGATGAGGAGGGGCACAGGCTAGCTAACAGAACGTTTGCTCATTTTCCTGGTTGTGAAGGCTCTTTTAAGGTCTCAAGCCTGCTTCGCCAACCGCAAGGGCTAGAATCTTGGAGGAATGGAGGGCCTCTGGATTCTGGGGCAGATACCAAATTTTGCACACAGAGTATACCCAGCCCTGGGCCTGTATTCAGATCAGAATACAAACAAGAACAAGAAACCAGGAGGCAGGAGAAAACTACTCGCCACCCGCCTTTTGCACATGTGCTCAGGGCAAGCGCACAAAATCTCATCTGAAGCTCAACTCCTCCCCACCCAGCCCACCCCCACACACCCCACGTGTTGCTTGGCTTGAACTCTAGAGCTGTAACTTCACCTCCAAAAAGCCCAGACAATGAAAGAGCATGTTAACTCAAGCCAGCTGGACTGAGTGTCCCCCCACCATCCGCCTGCCACATACAACCTCATTTGTTTACCTCCTGTTCTCCTCCTTTTAGCTCTTCCTGAACTAGATCAGCTTTCAAGGAGCTAAAATTACACCCCATTCCCTCTTCTTCTTTTTTTTACTCCTCCCCCAGCCTTCCATGTGCACGTACGTGTGTGTGCGCGCACACTTTTAAAAGCTGATTTGGGCAGAGCCTTGGCGTTTTACCCCGCCCCCCATCCCATCAGGCAGAGGAAAGGAACCCATTCTTATCTCTCCTTCCAGATCTGCCAGCCTTGTAAACAACGCTTAGCTACCATTTCCAGTTTCTGTTAGGTTTTCCCTCTTCCTGGTCCGCCTGCCCCAGGCTACCTCTCATGCCAGGGGCTGAAATGAGAACAAGGTTTGCCTGTGGCACGTAAATAAACATGGAAACCCAAGAGAACGTCCTCGCTCTAGAGCAACAGTGTTCAAACTTTCTGCCTGCAGGGAGCACATTGCACATCGGATTGTCTGTTGAGGGACTCCTGCAACGTGGATCAGAGTCACGGCAGTGGGGACGGTGGGTTTAATGCTGTTTCCCCAATCCAAATCTCCCTCCCTCCTGGAGCTGCTGCTACTCACAGAAGGGGAAACATATGGACACAATATGGGGGTCTGTGCCTCTGAAGAATTTGTGCTGAGAAAAGGCTTAGAGATACACTTCCTTCTTTAACACAACATAACAACTAGGTTGGCTCTAGATGTCCACACATGTGCATCTAGGGTTGCCAAGACGCTCCAAAAGTTGTTGACTAGGGATGATGGGAGTTGCAGTTCAGCAACATCTGGAGGGACAAAGGTTCCACACACCTGGTGTAAAGGCAGAAAATGTACAAGTTGGAGTTCAACAGCAATGAAATGGAGAACTTCAATGGATGGGGAACTTCAGACTCGGGAGCCTATGTAGCCTTCTGTCTGTTCCTCAGGCCTCTCCTCAGGCCATGCCCTGTCTCTCAAGGTCCTTTACAGTGGTACCTCGGGTTACATACGCTTCAGGTTTCATACGCTTCAGTTTACAGACTCCGCTAACCCAGAAATATTACCTCGGTTTAAGAACTTTGCTTCAGGATGGGAACAGAAATCGTGCTCCAACGGCGCGGCGGCAGCAGGAGGCCCCATTAGCTAAAGTGGTGCTTCAGGTTAAGAACAGTTTCAGGTTAAGAACGGACCTCCGAAACAAATTAAGTACTTAACCCAAGGTACCACTGTATTTGATCTTAAATAAATGCAAAATAAGCACAGTGACTTACTGCGGAATAAGCTTGTGTAGCCAAGTGACATGAAATATTGTAGTAAGAAGTTCAAACCACCCCCACAGAGCTGCCAACTTTAATCTCAAAACACATCAGAAGCACTCCGCGTTAATTTCAGAGTGTCTGCTTCATTCTAACCCGGGGACACATTGCCTTAATACCTGTTGTTGTTGTTGTACTGCTGCCACTTAAGAAGAGCGCCTTCCCTGCCGAGTCCTTCCAGTGATATCAGGAGCTACGCTGTATTACCACACTCCTCTGTTGACAACACTACGGCATGGCGAGGGCCAAAACATCCAGGGTCTACACATGTATGCTGTGTACACACCGTGCATTGAAATCGCACACCCCTGAAATAATCCCAGGAACTGGGGTTTACCACTCACAGAGCTACAAAACACAACATTCTTAACAAACTACACTTCCCAGAATTCTTGCGGGACAGGATGTGCTTTAAATGCGTACACTGCTGTAATTTTGGATTCCTTCCAAGTCAATGGCTTCTTCATCTTTCACTCCTTCCTGAATACCATACCATGCAGCAGAAGGGCTCAAGCAGAGACACCACTTCCACAGACAATATCTGCGGTTGCCACCATCTCGTATAAAGTGGGGAAAACGGCTCATTTACACATGTTCGTTCATTTATAAAATAGCCCGTTGCCAAAAACTCAAGCAAAGGGAAAGGAAATAAACAGGAAACATATCTAGAGGTCAACATCTTGCTCAGGAACAAGGGAAAGAAGGCACCGATAGAGGAGCAAAAGGAGAAAGAGTCCCCCAAGGGGCATGAAATAATTTTATTCAGCTGAACATGTTGCAGTTAAAATCTTCCATCAGAGGCACTACAAAACATAGCACTTTGAGCTCTTTCTGCTCTGTGACTAAGTGATTTTTTGGCATTATATCTTTGTGCACATGAGAATTTCTCTCTCCTGTAGTTTGGACAACATGCTCAGACCCGGTTAAAACCAGTTGGCTGGCAACCACACCAGTACTAGCCATGAAAGGTTCTGCTTGTGACCAACTCTGGGGTTGCGGCGCTCATCTCGCTTTTATTGGCCGAGGGAGCCGGCGTACAGCTTCTGGGTCATGTGGCCAGCATGACTAAGCCACTTCTGGCGAACCAGAGCAGCGCACGGAAACGGCGTTTACCTTCCCGCTGGAGCGGTACCTATTTATCTACTTGCACTTTGCCGTGCTTTCGAACTGCTAGGTTGGCAGGAGCAGGGACTGAGCAACGGGAGCTCACCCCGTCACAGGGATTCGAACCGCTAACCTTCTGATCGGCAAGCCCTAGGCTCTGAGGTTTAACCCACAGCGCCACCAGCATCCCTCTTGTGGGCTATACTCAAGGTTAACTGAGCAAAAATGACTATATACACTCCAAAGCAGGTCCATCAGTTGCTTAAAGTGCATGAACTTCCAGGGGAATTCAAACAGCCATGCAGTCGTCTCCTCTTCCATTCCTCAATCACAACTTTTGCCCTATGTGGCCAGAGACATTTTATGAGTCCCTGGGAAGGAAGGTGATGGAGAACCTTTGTTGATTATTTATTAATCATCTAAAATTACTGGGCACCACAGAAAAAATAGCACTTCCAGGCCAACAGACTGACAATCTATAGTTGCAAGGCAAACTGCAGGATGAATAAGCTGATTGCTAAACGGAGAATAGTTACGCCTTCCCCAGCCTATCAGAATGGCTAGCTAGATCTGAATTTATGATCAATTCAGTGGCTGCCTGGAAAGGAGAATGATAAAAGGACAGAAACAGTGCTGGGTAAATATAATGCTTAATTTTTGCTAGGCTTTGCTTATAGTTGTTCCTGGAACCTTTCAAAGCCTATGTGCAGCTCTACATATGTAGTAAAAAAAAAAAGCAGGCGGTGGGATGAGTTAATTTGAGCATGTGCTAAATACATTTCCTTTGCCACTTAAAAACAGAATGAAATACCATCTCACATATACCCGGAAGAAGAACTTCTGGATCACATGGTATGATTCCCAGACCAATTTTGAGAATGAAAAACACTTGTTAACTCTGGAAAGACAAGTGGGGGCTGCAACGAAATGTTGTTGTGTGGAGTGCTCTTACTCAGCTTTCCAAGATAATCCATTCAATTCCAACTTGGTTTTCCATCTCTCTACCCCTGCATAACACGGTCAGCATTCTGTGGCCACTAAGCATTCTCAGTCCCTTTAGGTCTGTTTAGGATCCCCTTCAATTTAGGCTCCTCCCCCCCCTTTGTACTTCTGCAAACTGTGAGTTTCCACAAGCCCTTTATTGGTGGATGGTGTCACTGTGTCAGGCGATATAAGAACTAACACTCACATAATTAATTTCTCTATCCATGTTAGTTTGCTATGACTATACGCCTTGCCATCACCTCCAAGCTCTCCATACCAGGTTGTTGCTGTACTCAAGGGCGAGTACACTGTTCCCACTTCCTCCCACCTTTAAAACCCTTCCTTGCAGGCTTCTGCTGCCAGTGGCATTTAAATACCCAAAGGGACTGAACTGAGCAAAATGTACTGTCAGCTGAGACCTTAGGCCAGCCCGGCATCATGCGTCAGGCAACTCATACGATGGGGCTTTTCATGTTCAGACTTCTCTCCTTCAGGGAACCCTTTTCCACACTGGCTTGCCTGACCAGGAAGCCCTGCGCACTGCAGAGGATTCTGCGACAGGTTCTTGGGGCACAGAGAGCACACCCAACCTCTGACAGCAGGTTCCATAATCCCCAGCCACTTCTGCCAGCAGCCGTGTTGCGCCTTGCAGGGAAGCATCCATAATGGAGAGCAAGCTGTTTTCAAGTCTCACAAGGTGACCCTGAGTTCTTACGGGAAAGGGAGGCAGCCGGGGGGCGGGGAGGATCTATCTATTTTCTCCACACCCTGTCTAAGGTGCAACTACTGTCTATCTGCTTCCAGCAGGCAGGGCCACACAGAGCTAAATATAGGCCCCTCATAATTGAAAGCCCTGCCTTGCACAATGGTTACTTTCTGCCCTCGTAATAGAACAAGCTTTTTTTATTTTGGTAACAACTCAAGCCACAAATTGCCAGGTTGGAAGAAGCTGTAAAGCTTCAGCCAGGCCAGGTCTCCAGGCCCTTCCCTTCAGTGAGCTGGACATTAATAGGCAAGAAGCCTGGGAGGCAGGGAGAGAAAAATGCAGGGTTTATTAGGCCCAAAGCTTCTGATACCTTCTGGAGAGACACGTAAGGTAGGAAAGAGCCAGCCATTGTCCCTGCTGCGATTACCATATAATGCCAAAATGGGGCATCAGCCCACTGGCCCAACACACCAAACGAATTCTCAGTTCCTTGTGGGATTGCACGTATAAGTGTGTATGCATGTGTACATGCATGTGTACATGCATGTGTCCAGAATGCGGCAGCTAGACTGGTGACTGGGGGCGGCCGCCGAGACCACATAACACCGGTCTTGAGAGTCCTACATTGGTTCCCAGTACGTTTCCGAGCACAATTCAAAGTGTTGGTGTTGACCTTTAAAGCCCTAAACGGCCTCGGCCCAGTATACCTGAAGGAGCATCTCCACCCCCATCGTTCTGCCCGGACCCTGAGGTCCAGCGCCGAGGGCCTTCTGGCGGTTCCCTCACTGTGAGAAACAAAGATACAGGGAACCAGGCAGAGGGCCTTCTCGGTAGTGGCGCCCGCCCTGTGGAACACCCTCCCACCAGATGTCAAAGAGATAAACAACTACCTGACATTCAGAAGACATCTTAAGGCAGCCCTGTTCAGGGAAGTTTTTAATGTGTGACATTTTAGTGTATTTTTGGTCTCTGTGGAAGCTGCCCAGAGTGGCTGGGGAAATCCAGCCAGATGGGTGGGGTACAAATAAATTATTATTATTATTATTATTATTATTATTACATGCATGTGTATTTTTAAATGATACTTTCTGCCACTTTCCCACAGCTCAAGATGGCTTACAAAGATAGTTTCGCTCTCATTGTGACACTGCCCAGCATGCAGGCCTGGGACAGAGGTCAGAGGTAAGCCAGGAGTCGAGCCAGGGAGTCAGAGCCAAGGGACACACAGAAATGCTCCAGAGCCAGGAAGGCCATGTTGCTCAGGAAAAGCTCCAGGCCAAACAGGAAGCCATTTATATCCCTTCCTGTCCAGGAGGGCCCAAAGGACAGGATGGGTAGGTGATGGCCACTCCTGATCCCTGAGAACACATCACTGCCAGGTAAGATGTTCCAGGGTGCAGGCCTGTTACCTCACCACAAAGGGCAGCCACATGCACTGAAACAAAGGTTTCTGGTTCTAGAGTAGCCCCAACAACTACTGGCAGCAGGGCCTGGTACTGTTGCTCAATTACAGGAGTGCCGGTGTTTCCCAGTCTTGGGTCTCTAGATGACTGCAAGCCCCTTCATCCCCGGACAGCGTGGTCTTCAGTCAGGGATAATGGGAGCTGTAGTCCAACAGCATCCCAAGACTGGGAAAGGCTGATGTAGTCCACTGCCTTCAGGATCACCTATATGACTCTAGTAGCCATCGGCGTCCCAGAGCTACCTGCCAAAGGAAACTTCACTTAGATGAAACGTGCACAATGGGACTTGAGAACTAGCAGCCATAGTTCTACAACGGCTAGGGATTTGCAAAGGGAGAAGATGTCAAGGCAGAGCTCTCAAAGGTTGGATGGAGGAACGTGTTCCTGACATGACCTGTACAGTGTCTACTGAGGAACCGTAGAGTAAGACTTTGAGTAAAAGGAGTGAGCCCCTGCATACTGGTTGAAGAATTCACAATTCCTTGGTTAAAAAGGTGAGAAGGTTTAAAATGCTGAGCAGATTTGGGTTCACAATTATTTGCTTAAATTAGGTGGAGCACAGAATTTCTCTTTTCTTGGAGCTCAGTTAGAGACCTGCATTGGCTCCCAGTACGTTTCCGAGCACAATTCAAAGTGTTGGTGCTGAACTTTAAAGCCCTAAACAGCCTCGGCCCAGTATACCTGAAGGAGCATCTTCATCCCCATTGTTCAACCTGGACACTGAGGTCCAGCTCCAAGGGCCTTCTGGCGGTTCCCTCACTGCAAGAAGTGAGGTTACAGGGAACCAGGCAGAGGGCCTTCTCAGTAGTGGCGCCCGCCCTGTGGAACACATTCCCATCAGATGTCAAGGAAATAAACAACTATCCTATTTTTAAAAGACATCTGAAGGCAGCCCTGTTTAGGGAAGTTTTTAATGTTTAATGCTGTTTTGTGTTTTTAATATTTGATTGGGAGCTGCCCGGAGTGGCTGGGGAAACCCAGCCAGATGGGTGGCATATAAATAATAAATTATCATTATATATTATTATTATTATTATGGCTCTCTGTGTCTGTGCATGCAGGAGATGGTGGAGCCTGTGGCCCTCCAGATGTTGATGGACTTCACCTCCTATCAGCCCTAGCCAGCATGGCCAATTGTAAGGGATGATGGGAGTTGCAGTCCAACAATTTATAGAGGACCACATCATAGGAACGGCCTTGTTTCAAAGGCTCTGTATCTTGGGTGGAGAAAGGGTTTGTTTGTTTTTTCCTTCCTTTGATACAATGGGGTCTCATTTGCCCAGCGAGCAGGAGCACCACTCCAAAGTCCTCTTTAAAATCCACAGTGCATCCTGTGATGGGAGCTACCCAAAATATAAAGACACTCACCTTGACCTAGACTGTGTTTTATAGAGCAAGCCCATGAAAGGTGTTGAACACTGGTTTTATATGTTTGAGAAGGCGGCAGACACCAAGCTGGGCGGAATTTCCTCAGATCTGGAGGCTTCAAGCTCAGGTAGCAAGACACTGAGGTAATCCTGGGAAACGGTGATGAGAGTTTTGGAACCCCTGAGGCTAAGTGTCATTCGGCAGGTTAGAACAGAGCTCCCTTGACGGCTAGAGCATCAGACACGACGTTCCCCGACTGCCATGTTTTCTTGCGGCAACAAAAAAAGCGATGGCACCTGCTGCTATCAAGCATTCAGATGACAAGCAACTGCTCCAGACTTCCCTGTTCTGTGGCCTGACAGATGTTATGGACTTTGATTCCCATCATTCCTGGTCACCAGCCATGCTGGGAGTTGGGAGTTCCAACTACTTCTGAAGGGCACCAGGTTGGGGAAAGCTCTCATGTCTGGTTGCATTTGCTTCCAGGGATGGTATCCCAGGATGCATTGCTTCTGTGGGTGCTCACTAGTCCCAGGTTCACAGCATAACTTAGTTGTCAGAGGACTGGAAAATGGGCAGAAACTGCTCTTATCTATTACTATATTGCTCCTTATATTTTTAGATACAGGCACGTAATGGTACTAGCAGGGCCTTTTCAGTGGTGGTTCCCTGGTTGTGGAAGGCCCTTCCTAGCAAGGTGTGTCTTTCTCCATCATTATTCACTTCCAGGAGGAATTTGAAAACATTCCTATTTACCCAGGCATTTGGTGACTGAAGAATACCATTCCTAGCAATCCTATGATCCCTGAACGGAAGAATGTTTTTAGCTGCTTTTACATGTTTTTAATTGTAATTGCTTTTAGAATGTTTTGACTATTTAAACATATTTTTGCTTTGTTTTTAAACTGTGTATGTGTTTGCTGCTTGGGATTCTCTGGGGAGGAAGGGTGGAGAATAAATCAGTAAATAAATAAATACTCTGTACTAAGAATATAAATGTTCCCTACTAAGTAGTTTGAATTATGTACCAAGCTAGATTTTGAAGCCTGTAGGGGAAAATGGCCAACAACTGAGTGAATTTAGTTTAAACACGTCATTCATGTTTTGGATGAGCCAAAGGGAGGGTCAGAACTACGTCTATTGTAACCCACCCTTTCCTCTCCTACCTTGAGTTTTAAAAGCCATCACCTAAGACACTTTCAAGCCTATCTCTGCATCCTTAAGGGATAGAAACTGGCATCTAAAAAGACAACCACAAAGCACACAGCCCATATATATGCTCTGTGGGGTGATGGAGCTCAGATCAGGGAGCTCAGCCCCTGCATGTCACACTCTGCTGCAGGTGAGAGACTGTGGCACACCAGGTGGAAAGTGCAGTTCCTCCACAACCACCTCAGTTGACAAAGGCAAGAAGAAAAAAGAGGCAGAGGGGACATCAGAGTGACGCACTTGGAGGGTGGCAGCAGCAACTGTGGGGGCTGCGCTCACACCCCCTTTCCTGTGTGGCAAAGGAGAATGAACTCCAACTGCAGGAGGAAAGATTTAGCTCAAAAAATGTCAGCAGAAATTTTCCAACCATAATAATAGCCAAGCAATGGAACAAATTACCAAGGGAGCTTGTGGAGACCCAGTGATGGGAAACTCTGGAAAATAGTCACATCAGCTTCTGTCTGGAATGGTTTAACTGTTATTCATTCTGGTCAGGGGCAAAGGAGCGGGTTAGATCCATTCATTCATTCATCCCCCCCCCCCCCACCGATAGAGGCTTATTAGCTGTATTCTCTACTAAAGGGACTCAAAAGCATTCTAAACTAGAGTTCTAGAAACCTAATAAAATAATCACATCTTAAATTAAGGAGCAAGCCAAGAAAAGGAACCCAGCGCTAGACCTCTCCTGGTTCCTACTCACCAGGAGTAGGAGGCGCTCCCTTAGATATTTAGGACACAGGGCTTTGAGTGATGCAAACTCTTCCCATATTTGCCTCCCCAGAATTCAGATCTTCTGTGGAGGCCTTCTTAAGAGTAGTCCCATCTGACTGAGATTTCAGGGAGCGGTGCCTGGAGTCCTAGCTGGCTCTCTCCCAGAGCCACAGACCCAAGGCAGACTCCTCAGCACCCCCACCAAACCCCTCAGCTAGCTGCACATCAGTTAACTCAGAAGAGGGAGCTGCACAGAAGTGCTTGCCTGGATCAGGGCCTGGCAGAGAGCCAGGAAGGGGAGGAGCCTGCAGCACCTCAGAAGTAAGCTTTTGGTCTACATCAGGGGTAGGCAAACTAAAGCTCAGGGGCCAGATGCGGCCCAATCGCCTTCTCAATCTGGCCCACAGATGGTCTGGGAATCAGCGTGTTTTTACATGAGTAGAATGTGTGCTTTTATTTAATATGCATTTCTGGGTTATTTGTGGGGCCTGCCTGGTGTTTTTACATGAGTAGAATGTGTGCTTTTATTTAAAACGCATTTCTGGGTTATCTGTGGGGCATAGGAATTTGTTCATTATTATTTTTCCCCTCAAAATATAGTCCGGCCCACCACAAGGTCTGAGGGACAGTGGACCAGCCCCCTGCTGAAAAGGTTTGCTGACCCCTGGTCTACATCACTGATGAAACAACAGCTCCAAGCGCAGGCCTGAGTGGAGGGAACCCGACATATTTAAAAGCACCTAGGCAAGGCCAGGTACATTCTGCAGTGGAAGTTGCAGCAGCAAAATTCCTTTTGCACAGAGACAAGCTGGATTCCCATCAGCTGTACAGATGAGGCACATGAATGCATGCTCTTGATATTTCATAAGATTCTGCTTCTGCTATCTAAGCGGCAGGGCACAGAGATGTACCAAGCACAGGAGCTCCACCTCTACCCATTTCAAACACTGTACCCGCCTCCCACTGCCTCTGAAATTGCACCATTTGTCACCTTTCAAACCTCTTCGTGTCATTAAGGGCTGGGAAGGTGAAGAAGAAGAGAAGAAGAGTTTGGATTTGATATCCCGCTTTATCACTACCCTAAGGAGTCTCAAAGTGGCTAACAATCTCCTTTTCCCTTCCTCCCCCACAACAAACACTCTGTGAGGGGAGTGGGGCTGAGAGACTTAAGAGAAGTGTGACTAGACCAAGGTCACCCAGCAGCTGCATGTGGAGGAGCGGGGAAGCGAACCCGGTTCCCCAGGTTACAAGTCCACCGCTCTTAACCACTACACCACACTGGAAACAAGGTGGGCTTGTTTCCCCACCTCAGCCAGCCCTCAAAGAAAGTGGAAAGTCTCTAAACTCAGTATGCAGTTCCAGTTCCTGCACCTACACGGAATAATCACAGAATAGAATAAACATAGACAGGAGGGTTCATATCTACATAGTAAGAGCACAGAATCAAGGCACCCATAAGCCTCTACATCTGCAAGACTAGCATAAGGGACATACCTGCATATAGACCAGAGTGGAACTGTGCTGCAACTCTGATGTCCAATCTTCTCCTTTTTAAAAACACCAACAACTGTGCTTTGTGTGTGGTTGCTCTATAAAAAAAGCCAACACACGAGCTCCTCCTTGCATGCCAGAGGCTCTGCGTGATCAGGGCACCCACACAGCAAGGGGTCCTAATCACGTGGAGGCCCTGCATGTCAGGAGAAGCCCATGTGTTGGCCTATCTCTACAGACAAATGTGTGCAATGCATGGTGGTTAGGAAAGGCAGGTGAAATGTCAGGTATGGGGGTCAAAGTACAGCCCCACTTTGGTCTGTCTGTGGGTGTGCCTTGCTTAGGGGTGGAGGAAGAATTTGATTCGGTTCACATTTAAAGACGAATCTACCCCATTCACACTTTCCAAAACCGTACACAAAACAAAACAGCACTGACCTTCAAAATTCACACCTCTCTGAATTTTGCAAAACTAGGGTAACTATATTAGTAGGGGGAGGGGTGCACTGCATTGGGGGAAATCACTTTGCAATAATGTGTATGTTAAGGAAAATTGCAAGCGTCTATATATGCAGAGAAATTAAAGATGCTGATAAATTTTCAAAGGGACTTTTTTCTTTAAAAAGAAAATTTCAGACTGATGTGGAAAAGAGGAGAACTGAACTTAAGATTGGGAAAATGAGAAACTGAGAGACACCAAAACTGACAGAGTCTGCCCATCCCACGTGTAAGCAGCCATGGATCAGGCTGAAGTTGAGCCCTAATGTTGCCTCAACAAATATTAGCTGCCTCCTAAAGCTCTTCTCCAAGGGCTAGAAGGGTTGTAGCTGATTCAAGTGTTCGGATAGGTTTACTGTGATGCTGGCAAGGATTGGCTGTTATGTGCTCACATGTGGAACTACTGGAGCTAAGACAGGGTGGGGAACCTGTAACCCTCCAGGCATTCTTCAGCTCCCATCACCCCCAGCCAACATAGCCAGTGGCCAACGATGATGCGAGCTGTGGGGCAACAGCATTTGGAGGGCCACAGGTCCAACCTCCCTGACAAAATAAGGGCTGGTTTGGCTAGCTAAGCACTCTTCCATTAACAGCTCAGATGGCGAAGGAATAGGAGCAGTATCTAGAAAAGCAGACAGAAGATGTGTCTGGAGAGGCATGTGAGTGTTGGTTGGAAGGGGTGCAGAACAGAGTAGAAGATTCAGGGCTGTGGATCAGCCACTCCCCAACTCAACTAAGAACCACTGCTGTGGGATTTTTAAGAAAGTTGTTGCCACAGGGCAGTTTGATAGCCACAAGCAAGAAAGCACAGAACTAATGGCCACGATTGCCAAAAGCGCAACCTCCTTGTTGAAAGGCAGTATGCTCACGGTGGACTAACAAAGCCCAGTGACTGAGGTGTCCATATATAGCATTCCTGGATTGCAACCCAGCAATTCTTCCATTTGCTTTTAAGTGGGTCCAAGACACAACACAGGGTGACTGTGGCTTTTCCTACCCTTTCTTTCCCGGAATATTTGCCCACATAGATGTCCTCTCCCTGGCTAGCTTGTTGTGTGATATATCCATAGCAGGTCCCAAAATACAGTAGCAGATGGAAAATGTAAAGGGGGGAACTTGAGTTGCAACTGAGCAGCCCTAACCAGATGCAAAAGAAGGCTGCAGATACCTATTCCTTTAACATAGCAATGAGGAACCTGTAGTCCTCCAGATGTTGCTGGTGGGCTCAAACTCCCGTCAACCCTAGCCAGTGCTGAGGGCCCACCACTTTCCCCCTCCCTGCTTTAATAGATATATAGAAGAGGGGATTTCAGCAGAGACACATCTGCATGTGTAGCTGCACCTGCAGAGAGAAAAAACCCTCTTCTTCACCATTGTTAAAGGCATGGGATGCTATCCTCCTTTGCATCTGGTCACCTCCCTAGGGGATTAACAGCAGGGCTAGACGGGGTTATGATCCTTTGCTTGTGAACTTCCCACTGGTATCTGACTAGCTACTGTTTGAAAAAAACATTTGCTAGTGATCTGTTCTGGGCAGACCATCAGTCAGATCCCAGCACAACAATTCTTGTATTCCAAAAATCATCAGATAATCCCTGAGACTACACCCTCATCATCTCACCCTGAGTCACAAAGCTTTGTTTGCCCGTGGTTTCAGAATGATCTAAAAAGGTGGAGAGGGGGGATTGCAGCCCTCCATACAAGGCTGGATTCCAGCTCCCATCATTTCTGACCATTGGCCTTGCTGTAGATCTGTGAGACCAGTCCAGCAACGTTTCTGGAGGACCACCCCTCTTTGAGAACATCAGCCATGAGCAGAGATCTCCTTTCCCACTTTAGCAGCCTAACCTGAAACACACCTTTGAAGGTGTGAGACCCACTGAGTGTAACAGGACTGGCTTTCTTCTAGCATGTATGCCTAGGTCTGCAACTATCCCTGCAGCTGATACTGCCAGAAGCGTCTCATGCATTAGCCCATGCGCCTGTGTTTCCGGCCTTTGTGGTCCTGTTCCGCTCACACCACACAAGTCGGCATTTCCTTTGCTTTAAAAACACATGCACACATAAAAGCTGTTCTCCCCACCCCCAGCAATTTGAATAGAAGGCAGGCTGCAAATATGATATCGAGAATTTGAAAGCCCAGGGGTTCAGGCATGCACCAGAAATGCCAGTTTTAACTGCTCTTTTACGTTCTGGCCCTTAATGGCAAAAGGTTCCCCCATATTCCAGAACATCACGGCAATCAGCATCCCTTATTTCAAGTGCAACGCTGCCAAAAGAGTATTTTTAGATTGGTGGATACGGCATTGTGGTCATCTGTTGAAAACTGGGAAAAAAGGGAAGCACACAGTCAAGAAAGGCTCTGAAGAGCTGCTTCAGACATGGACAATTTTGTTTGGGTGTACACCCAACATAACGTGGGAATGTGATGAAACAGTATGTGTGCCATTATTGGTATACTTGTCAGGCACATGCACTCCTGTTGCACTCCTGTCTTGCCAGCTGTGTGGTTTTGAATGAATGAAGGTGCCTTAAACCAAGTTCCGTTGCAGCCCAGGACTGTCTCATTTGAGTAACAGTGGTTCTCAAAGGTCTTGTGCAGCTGGCAATCCCAGGTCTGCTACCCAAGATCCTTTAGCTGGAGATACCAGAGATTGAGTCTGCGCCTGAGGTATACAAAGCACACATTCCATCAGTGACCAATGGCCCCTTCCCTTTGGAGGGCCACTGTCGGAGTAAGCAAATGAGTGTGCCCAAAAGTTATAGGGGGCATCTTGGCTCCATCACAGGCTAAAGGTGATCTCAGAGCAGCCCCACTGAAATCAATGGACTTAAGTTCATTTATTTCAGCAGGTGAATTCTATGTAAGACTAACATTTTGTGCGCAAGCCTAAGAAAATAGTTTGTGGGGGGCTGTTTTGGTGCATGGGGAAAGCATTAAGAGTGCACACACTGCTTCTCCACTCAGAATCATCCCCTCCCCAAGCTGGTTTTCATTTAAAGCAACAACAATAAACACTGCACAATTTTGCACATCATGTGTAGGGTTAGCTCCTTAAAAAACAGGGCCGCACTAAATCTGCCTGCGTTTAGTTATGGCAACGAAGTTTTTTCTTTCATAAATCACCGGCAAGCAAAAGCTGGCCTTTGGGATTTCCAGGAAAACGGAAAGCAAATCTTTTCTCCAGTGCAGATGTTATGCTGTGAAGCAAAGGCTTCCTGGCTATTTCCTCCTGTCCATACATCCTAAACTACCTCCTGCTTGCTCCCCATACCCTTTTGCCATCAAATCCAGGTTTTGCAGTTTGTTCAAAGTTAAAACACAGAATGTCCTCTCTTATGATCCAGAGTCTATGGACCCCTCCATGTGGGGATAAATTTCGGGAAAATGGAAGATGTGATTCACAGAGAAGCCACTCGCCTCCCTCTGGCAAGTGCATCCCCCATAAACAGGAAACACATAACCAAGATGCTTAGGGCCAATGGGTGCCTTTTGCCCTTCAAACATACTTCTTTTTCAGTGATCCCTCGTAGCCGAGTAAGATTGTCTTCCATGAAAACCGTCTTAACAGTGAATCTGTATGTTTGAATTGGGCGGAATTCAAACATACTAATGCAGATCCAGCCCTAGGGAGGGAGGGAAGGATCTGTCAATTTTGATTTCTCCCAGTTTCTCATTTCCCACATTTCTGCATCAGTTTACAATTAAGTCCTCTCCAAAATTTGCCAACATTTTAGCATGCTTCCCCCAATACATACATTTCTGTATGCAAGTTTGCCTAAAACACACATTTCACATAACAGTAATGCATGTTTGTATGTTATTTCCACATAGATGCAGTTTATATATGCAGTTTCCCCTAATACACACATTTTTGTACACTTCTTTTGTTTGGCAAACTACACTGAAATGTTCAGAAAAGTGCAAGTTTAAAGAGAAAGCTGCATTTCAGATTACATATTAAAATATGAACCAAATGGAATTTCTCTTCCACGGCCCTAGCTTCCAACATGAATTAATCCACTTATTTGGAGCCTCTTTTTAAAAACCTCATCTCCAAAATTTGCAATGATTGCCAAGGTTAGCCAGGGGTTGTCAATGTGGTGCCCTCCAGATGTTGTTGGACTCCAACTGCGTGGTCAATGGTCAGGGATGATGGGAGTTGTAGTCCAGCAACATTTGGAAGGCATGACATTAGCTACCCCTGCTGTAAGCTATGCAGTCATTAGATGATTCTTCCACTATATTCTTACTCCACCCATCCCTCTTAATGCACATCATGGGATAATTGTCAACTTAATCACACCATCTTGTGTTGTCTGCCCTCCGAGCCACCCCCTGCAACCTGCAAAATGCAATCATTCTGTTTTGCACGTGGTGCAAAGTTGTGGAAGAACTGAATGCCAGCATTGACCGGTAACTAAGCCTGGGTATCAACACACCATGGGCTCTGCAAGAGGGTAATTATCAGTGATGGCATCTGTGTGGTGAGTGTGATCATCAACAGTGTTGAATTAAAGGACAAACGTAAGCCCCATGCAAAATCATTATTTGCATTTGTTCTGGTCTTGATTCTTCCCTTCCTGGCTATATTCCCAAAAGCTCACAGATGGGGCTGCAAAATAGCTTTCTCCAGTCCTGCTAACTTCATACCACAATATAGATATTGAATGTATAGTCTGTCAATGTGCACATGGTTCTCCAGTAGTCTCCCATTCAAGCCCTGACAATGCCCAAACCACCTTAGATTGAGTAAGGTTGACACATCATGTGCCACATGCGTGAATCTACCACTGTTGGAACTCCAGATGCACCATACAAATACCATCTCAAACAATGACTTTGCTATAGGGCCCACAGTTGCTATGGCCTTGCACAGTCATTCTCCTCTAAGATTCCTAGTACAGTGGTACCTCGGTTTAAGAACAGTCCAGTTTAAGAACGATTTGGTTTACAAACTCAGCAAAACTGGAAATAGTGCCCCAGTTTGAGAACTTTACTTCAGTCTAAGAACAAAATCCAAACGGTGGAAGGGCACTGGCGGAGAGAGGCCTCATTAGGGAAAGCGTGCCTCGGTTTAAGAACAGTTTTGGTTTAAGCACGGGCTTCCGGAACAGATTAAGTTCGTAAACCGAGGTACCACTGCACTTAAATTGTCTTGTTGAGCTCTGCCTTTAGCAGTAGCTTCATCCGCAACAACAGAACCTATGAAATAGCCTTATACAGTGGTACCTCGGGTTACATACGCTTCAGGTTACAGACTCCACTAACCCAGAAATAGTACCTCAGGTTAAGAACTTTGCTTTAGAATGAGAACAGAAATCACGCAGCGATGCAGCAGCAGCGGGAGGCCCCATTAGCTAAAGTGGTGGTTCAGGTTAAGAACAGTTTCAGGTTAAGAACGAACCTCCGGAACGAATTAAGTACGTAACCAGAGGTACCACTGTATTGCATCAGAAACAGGAGAAGCCGGCTTAGTCCATCTTGCTCAGCATCCTCTAGACCAGGGCAGCCCAACTTTTCAGATCAAGCGGGCCACAAGAGCACTTTGACATGGAACCTGTGGGCTGCGCACTGTCTTGTTGCATGTAAGGGGGGAAGCAAAGCCAAAATCTGATGCTCCCTCCCCTCCCCAACATTGCCTTCCGAAAGCCAGCTAAGCGAGGCTCTGGGCTTTGGGAAGGAGGCACGAAGCCCTGGCAGGGTGCTATAGCACTTCAACCTCCTTCCCAAAGCTGGGAAAGCACTAACTAGGCTTCGGAAAGGAGGTGGGAGGACTCAAGGACCCTGTCAGAGTCCCCACGCTTCCTTCCCGAAGTCCAGCCAGTGTGGTGTAGTGGTTAAGAGCAGTGGACTCGTAATCTGGTGAACCAGGTTCGCTTCCCCACTCTTCCACATGGAGCTGCTAGGTGACCTTGGGCTAGTCACACTTCTCTGAAGTCTCTCAGCCCCACTCACCTCACAGAGTGTTTGTTGTGGGGGAGGAAGGGAAAGGAGAATGTTAGCCGATTTGAGACTCCTTAAGGGGAGTGAAAGGCAAGATATCAAGTCCAAACTCTTCTTCTTCCAGCAACCATTAGCCAGCACAGCTGGACCAGAATTGGTGTTGTAGGCTCAAACTGTCTTGGATTTTGATGTTTGGTGGCATCAGAAGAATTTCGATTTTCTTTGATACTAAGTTTCTAGTCCTGCGGCTTCAAAACATGACACAACCAATGTCTGGTGTAACATAAGGGCCAGGAAGTGGAGTTTCAGGATCCGTTCTGCTCCCCACCCTCCCCCTCTCTCAGCTATGGGCATCCTACAAATGCATGGGACATTTGTAGATGTTGGTATTTTGACACAGAATTCTATGTCCCATTAATCTCAGCTTTCCTTTTTTTGGGGGGAAAAGAAGCAAGCTTCTGTTCCTCAAGACTGCAAAAACTAGGCTGGAATGTGCCTGGTGAAATCTAAGGAGCCATGGAGAGAACTAAGTGGACTTTCATATGGCGGAGATGTGAAGTTTCAGAGGCACGTGCAATTCCTTATCCCTTCTTTAGCCAGTGGAAGAAAAAAAGTTGTAAAATAAGCAAACATACGCAAACTTGCATGACTGAGAGGTTCTTGATGCAGAACTCTTCATTTTTTTTAGCAGCCGAGAACATACACAGTCTTGCCAAAGACTGTTACTTATTGGCCAAAACCTATGGCATCCAAGGGCTGAATCTCCATAACCCTCTAATTTCCCAGTAATTGCCAAATAAAAGCACCTCCATATTCCTTCAAAATGCATCTTGGAAACAGTAAATATAGTTACAGGGAACGAGGTAGAGGGTCTTCTTGGTAGTAACGCCAGCCCTGTGGAACACCCTCCCATCAGAAGTCAAGGAAATAAACAACTATTTAACTTTTAGAAGACATTTGAAGATAGCCCTGTATCAGGTGGTTTTTAATGTTGGATGTTTTATTGTGTTTTTAATATTCTGCCGGTAGCCGCCCAGAGTAGCTGGGGCAACCCAGTCAGATGGGAGGCATCTAAATGTTGTTGTTGTGGTGATGATGATGGTGATGATGATGATGATGTTGCTGTTGTTGTTCTTAAAAGGCCTACAGATAAACTGCATTTGCATAATCTCTCACATTATATGAATGTTTAGAAAACATGGACTGCCTGTTAAAATGACATTTTGGCTTGCTAAACTAAGGTGTCTGATTAGGACAATGAGAATAGTATCTAATTCTGCATACCGATGTGAGTCTTAGATGGTGTATGGGTTAAAGAAATGAAAGGCCAGCTATATTGTGGTTCCAAATAAAAGTCCGCATGTCTTTTTATTCCACTTTTTTGGGGGGGGGGCAAAGCATTTGTGCCATTAAACAGCTGCATGGTAAGGATTATTTATGCGTTTTGTTTATTGATCGCTTTCCACAAGACATATCCAAGCAACTTACAAAAACAAAATTCAAATACACAATACAAAAAAGATTTCTCAAAGCCAGTATAAAAGTCTAAGGTGATCAAACTCTTAAATCCCCCTTCTGCCCCCCCCCAAGTGCTTGACCACCAAAGAATCACCCAGGAAAAGTACCATCAACTGCTGTAGAAAGATATAAAAAATCCACAGATTTTTATCCCCACACCTTCAAACACTAGGGAAGATGCTGTACCTGTTGGATGTCTGACTGCTGAAGCTACAGTAGCCCTGCCAGAAACAAGTGGCAATGCTAAAAGACAGCCTGGGAATGGGAGCCAGGATTTTGCTCTACATTCCCCTAAGCTCTAAAACATAGTACTGGGAGGAGGCAACGCAACCTCACAATTTATTACAAGGCAAAACTTGGGCAAGTTTATATTTTTTTTAATTCCACAAACTCATACCCTATCCTCCAATGCAAGTATTTCCAGCATGGCTAACAACTAACAGACAATAGAAGCATGATAGCAGCTTTACTTTTCAAACAGTGTTCAGAAAAGAACAAGCAACAATTAGGCTGTACTGCTTTTTAAACATCAGGGTTCTTCCCCACCACCCTCCCCATTGTTCGAAACATTTTCGCCAAAGATCCAAGCAGAGGAGCCAAAGCATTGCAAGCCTGGAATTAGTTGCAGCTGCTTTCTAATTATTCCTCAATTGCTATTTTTCAAGCGTTAATTACACCCTCACAACATGTTGGTGGCAGATTGAAGCATTCAACGACGGGACGCCCGAGGGGGCCTTCATTTGTAAAAGCTGCAGCCAAGCTTCTTAGCTCCCATCCTCCCACACTGGAACTCACAGGATCCTCTCCTGCAAGCCCCTGATTTAGATACAGAATTCTTGCCCTGCTTCATTTCTTGCCTGTGACCAGCTTCATCCTAAGCCCAGGCAGCCATTTTGCCTGCTCCAGGATAGGCTGTGGTTGCTAAGCAACCACAAGGTAGTCTCCCCAGCATCCTCCAGGCAGGGTATCCGCATGGCTAGAGCAGAGTGCCAGTAAACCCACCTCCCCACTTCAGCCTAACCCACAGCGCTGTCCTCTCAGGGGCAGGGCTCCCTGGCTCGTCCCCCACCCCTTACCCTAGCAAAGGCTCCCATCTTTTGTGGAATAAAGTTTCCGAAAGTAAGCCCTCCCCCTCAATGAGATGCTGTTTCCAGGGAAGTGATGCAATGTGACTGCAATCCGTAATGAGGCCTAAGCGTTTGGGTCTCCGTTGAGACTTGGCAACCCACCCAACTGGGCAGCTCTTCCAAACCGGTCCCCTCGTTGGACGACTCCGCTTGCTTTGCGGGGAGTCTATCTGGGTTGCTTGGGAGGCTGCGGTCTGCTATTTCCCCTCAACGTCAGTTTCCGTTCCCCCTCTGACTAGGAAGGAATTCCAGTCCCCCCTGCCAGAATAAAGCCCTGGGTGTTTCTTCCAGATGGGACGCTGCGAAGATGTACGAGCTTCTCTCTCCTGCTGGAAGAATGCCAAGAGGAAACCGATAGCTATTTCCACCCTTTTTCTACCCAGCGTTGTACGGAATTAACTGCACGGGGAGGGATGCCATATGCTTCTATTACGCCATCCCCTTAGTAATTGTGTCTATGGCTGTGTGGGAAATTCAGTCCCCTGCCAGAGACAGCTCCCTTTGAAATCCCAAACCGGAAGTCCAAATTCTGAAACACAACCCAGCCAGGCAGCTGGATTCCATTGAATAAGGTTTCTCCTTGGGTTCTTTTCCTTTAATAATAATATTTTTTTGTATTTTTAAAAATGAAGCCGAGAGAGAAAAAGCGAGGAAGTAGGAGAACAGAGACAGATCTTGCATACTGTGCTGTAAGCTTTGAGAGTTAAAGTTGCAGCCTCTATTTTGCATGGGTTGGGGTTTTTTTGCTCCTCTGTGGAAAAGACCGGCCACTGTTTTAGCTTTTATAGTTGCTAAAATGAACTTTACAAACTATAGCTACTCAAAGCCTTAATCTAAAGTGTAGAAAAGTATCAATCACCTCATTCCATTTTAATTTGAGCCTTTGGAGATTTCAACTTTGCCTAAATGTGATCTGGCACTTTCTCATAATTCTACCCACATACCCTTTCAAAGGAGACATACACTCAAAAAATGTTCTTGCACCCAGGGTCAGCCAAGGGGTTTTGGTGCTGGACGGGTTAAAGTCAAATGGCACTCCACATCCTTCACTGAGTTCCGGAGAATACAATTCCTGGGAAATTCTGTATGAGCCTTGCTAAAATGCAGACCTGTTCTTTTAAAAGGGACCTGTAAAGATCTTCCCAGTGGATTATAGCCCATGGGTCAGATCTGTCTTCCTTCTAGCAAGCCATCTCCCCTTGCCCCAGGATAAGGACACTCCCCCCCCCCCCCAGAGTTCTGTATTGAGAATAATGCTTTTTGTTTTCTTCCAAAATGTCCCCAAGTTAGGGTTGTGCATTGTTGCAGTCATCTTTGCTGACAATACCAAATTATTCATGGTGGGGAAAATTAAAAGGGATGACAAAGAGATCCAAAAGGTTCACACCAAACTGAATGAATTGGTAATAAAATGCCAAATGTGGTTTAAGGTGTGGCAAAGAATACCAACTTCTCAAATACAATCATAGGACCTGAACTGACAGGGAATGACTTTGAAATACATAATTAATTATTAAATAATAATTAATTATTAAATAATAATTAAGTTAAGTACTTAATTCGTTCCGGAAGTCCGTTCTTAACCTGAAACTGTTCTTAACCTGAAGCACCACTTTAGCTAATGGGGCCTCCTGCCGCCAGAGCACGATTTCTGTTCTCATCCTGAAGCAAAGTTCTTAACCCGAGATACTATTTCTGGGTTAGCAGTGTCTGTAACCTGAAGCATCTGTAACCCGAGGTACCACTGTAATAATAATAGATGTCTTCTAAAAGTTTGGTAGTTATTTTTCTCTTTGACATCTGGTGGGAGGGCGTTCCACAGGGCGGGTGCCACTACCAAGAAGCCCTTCACCCTGGTTCCCTGTAACTTGGCTTCTCGCAGCAAGGAAACCACCAGAAGGCCCTCGGCACTGGACCTCAATGTCCGGGCATAACGATGGAGGTGGAGACGCTCCTTCAGGTATACTGGACTGAGGCCGTTTAGGGCTTTAAAGGTCAGCACCAAGACTTTGAATTGTGCTCGGAAACGTACTGGGAGTCACTGTAGGTCTTTCAAGACCGGTGTTATATGAAAGGGATATTGGAGGTCAACCCAGTGTACAGCGGCTGGGGGTGGGGAGCGAATCCCATGCTTTGAATCTACAGTCTGACCACACTTGGAATAGGTATAGTTTTGATTGCCACACCTTTTGGGAGGGGTGTGCGTGAGAGAGAAATATTGTAGAGCTGCAAAAGGTACAGAAAAGGGCAGCCCAAACGATTAGGGGGCTACAGCAACAGTCTGAGAGCAAAGGTTTGGAGCTATGGGGACAGTGGACAGAGTGAATATTTATCCCTGCCACCCAATGAAACTGAATAGTGGGACATTTAGGACAGACAAAAGGAAGTACTTTTCCACACAGCGGGCACCTTGGCTGTGGAATTTGCTGCCATGAGATGTGATGGAGTGTTTCCACCCCCGTCATTCAGCCTGGTCACTGAGGTCCAGCTCCAAGGGCCTTCTGGCCGTTTCCTCACCACGAAAAGTGAGGTTAGTGGGAACTAGGCAGAGGGCCTTCTTGGTAGCGGCATCTGCCCTGTGGAACGCTCTCCCATCAGATGACTAACAACTACACAACTTTTAGAAGACATCTGAAGACAACCCTGTATCAGTAAGATGTTCATGTTTGGTGCATGCTGTGTTTTATCCTATTGAATGCTGCCCAGAGTGGCTAGGGCAGCCCAGTCAGATGGATGGGGTATAAATAAAATAATTATTAAGGCTTTAAAAGGGAACTGGACACATTCTTAAACCGTGTTCAGGCACCGGCCTGAATATGTGAAGGGTTAAACCGGGGGTAGAGGTCACAAGCTATGTCACAACATCCCGAGGTGCAAGATCATTAGTCAAAGGTCAGGAAGCCTTTTAAAAAAACACCTGTTTGTGCACACTTGTAAACTGCCCTCACAATCAAAAACCCTGAGAAGCCAGAGTTCCTGTTTGAGGAGAGGTTTCTAACTACATTCAGGGTGCGGGGGAAGCCTCCAGACCTTCATGGTAATCGCACAAAGATATAAGAAGCAGCCAGTTTGCCCAAGGATGTTGGAGGCAGGGCATGTGTGTGCATGAGAGGATAAAGTTATTCATGGCCGCTACTCATGGATACAGACTACCTTCCAGGATCCAAGGCCTCCGAATACTAATTGCTGGGAAACAATGTTGGGAGGGCTATTGGTTCTCACAGGCACCTGGTTGTGCTGGGACGCGGGTGGCGCTGTGGGTTAAACCACAGAGCCTAGGGCTTGCCGATCAGAAGGTCGGCCGTTCGATTCCCCGCAACACAGTGAGCTCCCGTTGCTCGGTCCCTGCTCCTGCCAACCTAGCAGTTCGAAAGCACGGCAAAGTGCAAGTAGATAAATAGGTACCACTCCGGCGGGAAGGTAAACGGCGTTTCCGTGCGCTGCTCTGGTTCGCCAGAAGCGGCATAGTCATGCTGGCCACATGACCCGGAAGCTGTACGCCGGCTCCCTCGGCCAATAAAGTGAGATGAGCGTCGCAACCCCAGAGCTGGCCACGACTGGACCTAACGGTCAGGGGACCCTTTACCTTTATCTTACCTGGTTGTGCCACTGCAGGAAAAAGGCTCTGGGTTAGACAGGTCTTTGCTGAGTTACAAAGGAAGGAAACAATTGAGACTACACTCTGCAAACCCACCTGCCAAAGTGGCCCATGGGAGCAGCTGAGGGAGCTCAGGATCCAACCCGCTGGCAAGATGTTATCCCCAAACCTACACTAGCCCCTATTCTCACTAAGATGGCAAATCTTTGCCTGTGGTATACTATTTCTCGGTATAGGTGGAGGTGCTCCTCCGTCCAAAAATCCTCTCCAGCTAGAAAAGCACCATCTCCGGGAGAAAGGTTCTCGATGGGAGGGAACTTTGATGCCACAGTAAAACCAATCCTTAGTTGCAGTTCAGATTCACTACTTGAGGCAGGGCCTTCAGCATCCCTCATGATTTTGGCTGTCTGCAACAGCCTAAAATTACACAACTAAATTATTAAAAATCTCTTATCTATCGATCGTCTATATATCTATAACTCAGTTTTGAGAGGCGTGTTTAAAGCTTTGGGAACTAAAAATGTTTTAAAGATGATAAGGTGTTTGCAGGCCTCACTGGGTAAAGAAATTTCATAGGTCCAGCAAAATACACTCCCGGCCCCCACAAATGTCACCGCTTGTTGAATGACATTTAAAAAGATGGCTTTCCCAGCCCATTTCAAAGGGCAGGAGAGCTTGTACAGGGAAGGTTTTCTCCCAAAGGAAGGGTTGGGCCCAGGCCTTTCACGACTCTAAAGGTCAGTTCCAGAATCTTAAACTGTACTCAAGAAAGTAAACGGCAGACAATACAATTCACAAACAATATTATGATAACCCTCCCAGTGATGTGGCGCTTTAAATTGGCTTATAATGAAGGAATCTGCAATTGGAAGGACAATTCAGGCTTCATAATGGGTACCAGCTGGTCCCTTCAGCTGCCCACAGGAGGCAGGCGAAATGGGTGGGGAGACTGGTGGGGGTTGTTCAAGGAGGCCAGCTGGCAATCCACTTCAAAATAGGGCTGGGGAGATGTTGCTGGACTTTCAGATGGTGTTGGACTACCACTCCCATCATTCTTAACCATTGGCTATGCTGGCTAGGGCTGATGGGAGATGAAGTGCAGCCAGCCATGTCTGGCGGGCCACAGCTTCCGCATCCTTTTTAAGGAACTGAAAGAGCGGGTTGACTCCCCAGTCCTTATTCCCACCTCCAAAGCTATCCAGTTCAAAGCACAATATTGGCCAGGTCTCATAACACAGAATAATTCAAAATACAATTTAAAAATCTGGTTTTTAATTTGCGATTTGACCTCAAAATTCAAGATGCGATTCTCAGGTTGTTTTCAACAGAATGTTTCCCAGTTGGTTAAATACATGGGTGAAATCATATGGAAGTCACAAGTAGATTTTCAAGCATTTTCAATGATCCCTTGGGAATCTTCCCTTCCTTCTTTTAACTTGCATCACCACCAATCACAAGTTGTGCTTCTCTCAAACATCACAGCACCTCAACCTGCTAGTGTAACCTGCTGGTCTACCCAAGATGGTGTCACAGGCCTGACTTACACATAGCTGTTGACAGTCTGTCAAGTGTGTAACTTTGGGCATTATCTTCCCACCTCTCTCACCAGTTTCCTCTCCCACCTCTCCGGACTACACTGAAATCAGGTAGACATATAATTGATATCCAGTGCTTGGAAGGAGGAGGGCAACAAAGGAGGTGGACATGTCTGAGGCTATCACACCCCCTCCTGTCCTGAAGCCCTCCCTGTGCCACATTACATCATGATCTAGCACAGCATTGTGCACATGGGGGAGGGGCGTGTTTCTGTCTTCCATCTCAACCTATACTGCAGGGGCAAGGTAGCACATCTGGGATGGAAGTCAACCACATTTTTACTCAGAACAAACCAAATGACATTATGAGCATGACTAAGTTAGGTCCATTAATTCCAGTGGGTCTACTAGGAGTAAAACCTAGTTAAATGCTACCCCCATGGTCCTTCTGTCCCTCATCTAGGGCAGCTTACTACCACCATAGGGACGCGGGTGGCGCTGTGGGTTAAACCACACAGCCTAGGACTTGCTGATCAGAAGGTCAGCGGTTCCAATCCCCACGACGGGGTGAGCTCCCATTGCTCGGTCCCTGCTTCTGCCAACCTAGCAGTTCGAAAGCACGTCAAAGTGCAAGTAGATAAATAGGTACCGCTCCGGCGGGAAGGTAAACGGTGTTTCCGTGCGCTGCTCTGGTTCTCCAGAAGCGGCTTAGTCATGCTGGCCACATGACCCGGAAGCTGTATGCTGGCTCCCTCGGCCAGTAAAGCGAGATGAGTGCTGCAACCCCAGAGTCATCCGCGACTGGACCTAACGGTCAGGGGCCCCTTTACCTTTACCACCATATACTTCACTTGAGCGGAGCGTACAACCATTTGCCCTACATTACGGAATTAGAGACGAGACACCATGTTATGGACTGCAGGGAATATTACAGAACCTCTGTGGAAGCGAACAGGAGAGCAGATGCGATCACTGCTTTTCCATAACTTCAAAGTTCTGACCCGTCGATAGGAGCAATAAGAACTGGGGAACTGGATGCAGTGTCTATGCCAGGACTGGTGCACCAAAACTGGAATGGACAGCGGACCAACTACATTGCACCTAGATTGGAGAGTGGATCCATCTGATTTATCACTAGCTGCTTCAGCACTGTAGCACAATGGGAAAGTTTTATTGTTGGCCGATACAGACTCAGTTGGGCTCTCAAATTACACTACAGATAGAGCTCTGATATGTGCCCTCCTCTGCAACCGCGTACATAGCATAATGCTTAATCCTGCCCCAGGGAAGGCAAAAAAAAGTACTATACATCTGCTTAAATCATAAATCACCAGTATCAGAATGATGAATGCCTCTGTGAATATACAGGAACATAACATGGATTTCTTCTTCTTCATGCCTTTGGCTATTAAGATTGATACTTTCATGAATGCAGACTGTTCCACCTTTGCCCAGGGCTACGAATAGTCCGCACATTCATACTCAAAATACAAAAAATAAATAAATCCTACAATTTTGCATCTACTGAATTCAAATTCTGCATGAATAAATTATGTAACCAATATAATTTACACAAAGGTGCATAACTTTCACCTATTTTGCATAACTGCAATGTTTACTGTTTTATATATTCTGATTTGATAGTCATGGGAATTGAAAGAACTATACCAGACATGAGTTCTAACCCCACAGCCACTGGAAATCTTGTTTAGCCCAGTCCCATGACTAGCACATCACACTGTTTTTTGAAATTTCAGAAAGCACAGCTCACATGCTTCCAAGAACATATTCAAAACAATGAGAGCTAGAAACTTGCTCTCTTTTAAAGAAAGAAATGAAAACTCTGGCTTAAAAAGATCTTAATGCAAAAAGCTACTGCTATTCAAAGCAGACAATATTAGACTGGCTGGATCAATGATCTGCCTCAGTATAAGCTCCTTACGTTCAATGTATTACCAACAACCCTGTATCATGTGGATTTTGAAACACAACCCCTTTTCCTACAAATCAGAGTGAAAATGGAACTATTCAAACAGCTGCATGACCACTGTAGGGAGAATGGACAGAGGAGGGAACTATGTGTCACATGCTGTCAGCTTCCTGTCACTCTGACATCGCTGGAGTGGAATTTTGAAAAAAACAAACATACTTTCCACAATCAAGAAGGAAAAAATCCCCCAGAAATCCCCAAGCATTCTCTACACAACCAGAATCTCTAACGGCTCAGCCACAGTCTCTGAATCTCAAGAGTCACATCCGATGTGTCAGAATCTTTTTATGAAAAGTCAGGAAGCAGAGAATCTCCTTGGAAAAGCCAGGGAAGGAAAGGCAATTTTACTTTGCAAAGAGAAAGATGACCACAGAAGTGTCCCTTTGTTGCCAAGAAACCCTTGGGGCCGTCCACTGGGATGTTCCATATGAGTAAATGGGCGGCACGAACTCTGGTTCTCAAAATGGCCAAATTTCCACTGCATAAGGAGCAATCACAAAGCCACTCTCTACTCTTCTGCTTTAATTCTTTCGGAATGAATTCCTCCCTATCAGTTCTGCCATCACAGCAATTAACACAGATCAACCCATTACCCAATCATTACACCGCACTTTGGGATAACTTCCCCAAACATAAAATATGTACAAACAGGAGCGTGGTCACAGTCCTGCGTTGATTTGGTTTCAACCTCCAGAAGCCTCTACTCAAAATTCTAATGCATGAAGATCACAACCACCAGTCTTCCAAAAGGCAAAACTTATACAGACAAAGACACAAATAAGAATACTTTAAGAGGTGAATACATCCCTTGAATTCACAGAAGTCACCCATTCACAAAGCTTGGCCTGGCACACTAAGCTTAGGCCTCCTGCATAAAAATGGAACATTTCCCCACTCAAAGCCCTTTTCAGCAGGTGTGGACAATTTATGGCTCTCCAGATTTGTTAGATTACCACATAATCGCTGACCATGCAGGGTTGGAGCTGATGGGAGTTAAGAGTCCCAAGAGCATCTGGAGGGCTAAACAGGTCAGCCACTCTGCTCCAACGGGCGAGGGCATATTCTACAGATCTCACAAGAAGGTTCACAACAAGGAGCACCATCCAGACCCTGCTTAGGAAGACCGTATTCTCTGCTCCTCTTTTCCTGATCCCTCTTCTTCTTCTTCCTTTCTTCCTGGGCAAAGCTTGGGCCACTAGCAGCTATCCAATCAGAGACTAATTCCTTTCACCCACAAGTTAAGAGTAGCCTTTTCTGTGGACACAGTGGAGACGCAAGAAGGTAGTCTCATAACTTTCCAGACCAGGTCCGCTTCCTTCCTTCTTCCAAGGACAAGAGTTTAAATCCCCACCAAACCCACCACCTACATGCCCTCGGCAGGATGCATGACAACAGTGTACAGTGATGCTGAGGGGCACCTGGGGTATTCCACATTCCTGCCAGTACCACTCCTCACAAAACTGGTTCACAACGCAAGCAAACAAGGCCTCTCGGTTGATAAAGGGATCATCCACAGGGTCCCGTAAGGAGAAACTGGATTGAGAGGGACTGGATATCAGAGGCCAACCAAGGAAAGATAAATGGTTCCAAGGAAAAGAATGGCAAGCGCAGCTCCATTAGGGTAGCTGAGGGTAGCAAGGTGATGCTACGGTTCAAGGCAGAAGGATCCTAATGCATGGGAGCAGGAATCCAGTCTTGGTGGGGGGTTTGAAAATTTCGAAGGAATTGGGGGATATAGATGCTTGAAACGCAGCTGCAAAGGAATTGGAAAGAGCTAACCCACTGGAACAAAAATGGGACCTCAGATTGTGGGGTGGAGTGATCAAAGTGTGGAAGAGGTCAAGGCAGATGGGCAAAAGGATCTGGGGAAGAAGGCACTTCAACTGGGGATCAGGCATGCTATGGGTCAGAATGTGGAGATGGAGAAAAGCTGTGGAAGAGGACTGAGGATCACTGGACCCTGGATTCCTGGCCCATTGCGATGGGCCAAGATAACACTGAAGTTCCCAGTGTGAGCTGACTGCCCTACAAGGGAGATCCACTCAGAATGGTGCCACAAAAGGGGGAGGAATCTGTCAGAATCATGGGTTAATAGACGCTAAGAAGATAGGTAAGATTTATAAAGCTGAGACCAGTTGAGGGATCTAGCGAAAACGAACGGAGAGCGGGGTGAAAGAGAGATGGAAAGAACTTCTGGGAACTCTTGTGGTGAAGAAGAAGGGGAGCTACCGGAACATCTCAGCAACCGCGAGTAATCTGTCCTGCGGAGGAATCGCCCAGAGAGCCCCGGTCAGGCAAGAGCCCAGGGTGGGAGATCTGCAGAACCCAGCAAGGGGAGATTCTGGATGCAACCACCAGGGCTGCAAACCCCGCGGAAGGTGGGGGGGGGGTGAGAGATCGAGAGAATGGTGTCCCATATCTGAGGGGGCCAGGAAAAGTGTCTGGAAAAGTTGGAGAGGGAGGAGAAACTGTTCCTATCGAGAGGGCGGGTAGGAATCCCTCCCGCAGCGAGGATGGACTAGGGAGATTTTTCAATCGAGGAGAGCCTTGCAACGGAATCCACCCGCAGCAGCGTCGAGAAGGGGATGCGAGGGATCAACGAGGGGATCGGAGCGGGAGAGGGGGTGGGGTAAGGAAGAGGGATCTCTCACCAGCACCATCGCGAATCTCTCCTCCAGCTCCCCCTGGTCCGGCATGGGCACTTTCCCCGGCGGGGGCGGCAGCAGCCCGGAGCCCCCGCCCGGCTCCCCGCTCTCGGCGTTCCCCATCCCCGGCGGCTCCCGGGGAGGCGGGGACGGCAGAGCCCTCCTTGGGTGCCCGTCGAGAGTACGGAGCCGCCGTGGCCAGGCGGCGGCGGCTGCCTCCCACCAGTCCCTCCCTCGCTGCCCGGCCGGGGACGGGACGCGGCCGTCGGCGCCGCCCCCGGCACCGCCCGCCTGCAGACATCGCCCGCCCAGCGGACGGCGAGCGACGGCGGCGCCTGCCTTCCTCCCCGCCTGCGCCTCCCGCGTGCGGGCCGCGACACGCGCAAGCCCGCTCGTGGGGACGGAGCAGCCGAGTAAACATCTCCCCTAATGGTGTGCCCCCACCCCTTGTTCTCAAGGCCCAGCCCTGTGCACGCGCGCTTGGGAAGAAGCCCCCGTTTTCTCCGCGGGGCTAAGAAATGCAAGCCCTGGAAAGCAAAACACGCAACGCTGAACAATAAGTTGCAAGATCGTGCGCGCGCGCGTTTTAAACTCGGCCCAAAGAGTTCACTGCTGTGTTTTAAATTCAGAAAGCAAAGCGTGGCTCCTTGAGAATCTCAGGCAATGCATATGAGAACACACTTTTTTGCTAGAGAGCAGAAAGATCAAACCAAGTTCCGCCGTGTTTACTCGGGAGTAAGACTCTTTGAATCCATCGGGGCTTTTCTTACGCCCAAGTAAGTGCGCACGTAAAATTGCAGCATTTTTTTGCAGGAAAAGTTGAGTTCTCTCTTCCCCGCCCCGATCACCCGGGATCTTACGCGCTCTCCACCCGCCTCCCCTAAAGTTCGTGCGCACGCCGTGGAGACACAAAGGGAGCCGTTACTCAGCCCTGCCCATCCCACTTCGAGACATCCGGCGCTACTTGCAGGGAAAGCAGCGGCTGCCCCCGCCTGGTCGAGCCCAGGATCGCCATAGACCTCGGATCGGCCATTTTTGGGGGATCGCTTTGTCCAGGTTCGCTTCGAAGAAGCCGTGGAGAGTGCAAGCCTGGAAGCCGCGCTCCTTGGCGCGTAAAACAACCCGGTCCCTCCAAAAGGCATAAATCATCCAGTTTAATGGGGTGCAATTGTAAATTGTCCTGCCGGCGTGTTTTAAAGGGCGCGCAGTCTCGAGTGCCTGTAACCGTGACGGAGAAGTGTTTAGCGAAGCACACGTGTCGACAGAGATGCCCGCGCCCTGAGCAGCAGCCCCGGCCCCTCCCCGTTCTAACCATGCACAGGGCGGGAACCAGGCTGCTGTGGCAGTCTCCGCTCGTGGCCGACACGTGTCCTCCCGTGTCTGTTAGAACGTGTGCAGAGCCTGAGTTCTGGCGGAGACAGCTCGTCGAGCCTAGAACTCCATGCGCTTAAGGGGCCTGGAAGAGCACAGCTACAGAACAGCAATAGTCGCTGCATTTAATGAATAGGTCGGGGGAGGGTAATACCCACTGGTGGTCACTTTCTGACGTGCATCCAGAATAGAGGACAGAAGGATACAATTTGCTCTGCCTCCATTCTACATGTCAGAGGGGTTCAGCAAATGATTTTTCGCTCTATAAGACGCACCAGACCACAAGACGCACCTAGTTTTTGGAGGAGGAAAACAAGAAAAAAAATACTCTGAATCTCAGAAGCCAGAACAGCAAGAGGGATCCCTGCACAGTGAAAGCAGCGATCCCTCTTGCTGTTCTGGCTTCTGGGATAGCTGCGCAGCCTGCATTCGCTCCATAAGACGCACACACATTTCCCTTTACTTTTTAGGAGGAAAAAAGTGAGTCTTATAGAGCAAAAAATACGGTACTTCCTCAACAATCTGGTTTCAAGAAAGGCCTGGTCATTCTCCAGGCAGCCAGCCACACTTTTTTTCCCCCTGGCAAGGCCATTGCAGGAGCTGTTGTGCCTTTCGCTGGAAACTGGTGAGAGCAGCTTTCCCAACATGGTACACTGATGGGAGGAAAACTCACACATTTCTACCTGTTATGCAGCTGTTAAAGGTACAGGAGAAATTAACACTCCTGAGAGTCTCAAGTCTCTAAGCATTCAAAGTGGCCTTTAGCTTTTCCTGCTTAGCAACTAAGGTTGTCATTATTATTATTATTATTATTATTTTATCACTGCCTGCTCCAGTGTCTTTAACACCCGCTTGATCTTGCAGTCGTTGGCAGGTAATGCTGCTTAACTCTGTACCATGAAAAGTTTCACCCCTGATTCTGCAAATTAAGCTGAATTTAAAAGCATAGGAGCAGGTTGAACCATTTCCCCCCTGCTCAGTTGGCAAGCTTTTCACCACTGGCCAGGGAATGCAGCTTCCTCCTTTAGTTTAATTCTTGTTCTGACCATCTATGCCCCAAAAAGAGTTTTCTGTGTAACTCAGACGCTTACATGTCTCAACACTGCAAACTGAGTAGGAGGCTGACACTTTTGCTAAAATTAAGTCCTGGGTTCTGCATATGCGTAACAACAATGCAAAAAGACCCTTTCTCAGGAGAGCTAGTGTTTCCTGTCTTTCCCTCCACTGCAGCCTAATGGAACTGGATCCATACACTGCATATATATGCTTGTTTATAACCCTGTTGGCATTTGTGGATAGCTGAGAGAGGAAGATCAACAGTCCATAAAACAGCCTCTGGCTATACAGACAATGTCCCCTTCTCCCACAAGATGTTGGGTGGGGTCCCAATTCTATCCGGCTGCAGCAGAGGGAGAGATGGAAAGAAGCAGGGCCATTTTATTGGCTTTGCTGAAAAACTAGCTGCCTTTGCCTCTTCCTCACCTTGCAGTGAGAGCACATTCTACATAATTCTTGCTCGTTTGATGTGCCCAGCCTTTCTTCATTTGCTTTGGGGAAATCCCTCATACACAAACTCCACAAGCTTTGCAGAGCAGGTAGTGGTTGCCTAAGAACACAATGGTGGATGCTCAAGGCTGGACTTATCCCTTGCACAGTGCAAGTGCAGCGGGAGCCACATGTTCAGCGGGGTTGACAATGGTGGAAATCTATAAAGCATGATGGGGAAACACATCTTAGTAAATGTGTTAAGTTGTGGGGGAACATATCAGATGACACAGCGATTCTTCAAACAGCTCTTGTTTATTCAGAGGCCAGAACTGAACTGAACTGAACTGAAGGGTTCAGCCAGCCTGCTTATATAGAGCTCCACTAAAACGCAACAGTAACCATTTTCTGTAACTATCCAATCGCTGAACGTCACTTTCGATCCCTTATTTGCATATGTGGACCTGAACTATCTACAGTATCCCCCGGCTGGCCCAGGGTGAGAACTTCAGTACATAACAAAATGCAAATTTGTGCACAAAAAGCACCCCAAATGTTTTATTTGCCTGAGAAAGAAAATAAAAATGGCACTCCCCACCAGGGCTCCAAATCCAGGATGGTGGGGCAAGGGGTGCAGATGGGCTGTAGCCCATTTTTTATATGCCCACTTTGGGTACTTTTGTTTTAAGTTGGCATTATTTGACAAAAGCTGGAATATATCTAAGGTTATGGCGTGTGAATTTCATTTTAAACATTATTTATTTAAAAACATTTATATACTGTGGTTAGCAACACTTAAAGGTCCAGTCCCCTCATAATTTGAGTACTGACAACCCCCCACATGCACACGCATTAAGCTGAAGAACAGTCTACTGAGATGTTTCCCAAAGGAAGCATATTGTGGATTGTGTCTCCATCAGCCAGGCCGGTCTGTCTCCCACTCTGCCATCCTTCATGGCGCCCAAAATTGGCCACCTCAACTTAAGGGTAGGAATGCACACCTGCACATTCAACAGACATTCACTGTGGAGCTACTATTGGCTGTGGCTTCATGGTGCATGCCTGCAGTGCGCTTGCAAATACCAGGGTACATGCAGCAAGTACATGAGCAGGGTACATGAGCTAGGTCCCTGGGACCAGGCTGAAGTGGAATGATGAGCATTCACATTTATTTATCCAATGGATACCCTATTATTCTGGCTGTAAGCAAATGTTACTTTAAAAAAAATATGTAGGCAAACATTTGATCCATAAATCAGCTAAACTGCAGTACTTGTATGGTCCAGCCCATGGGCAGGTAAACTAAGGCCTGGGGCCCGGATCCGAAATCGCCTTCTAAATCTGGCCTGCAGACGGTCCGGGAATCAGCATGTTTTTACATGAGTAGAATGTGTCCTTTTATTTAAAATGTATCTCTGGGTTATTTGTGGGGCCTGCCTGGTGTTTTTACATGAGTAGAATGTGTCCTTTTATTTAAAATGCATCTCTGGGCTATTTGTGGGGCATAGGAATTCGTTCATTCCCTCCCCAAAAAATATAGTCCGGCCCCCCACAAGGTCTGAGGAACATTAGACTGGCCCTCTGCTGAAAAAGTTTGCTGACCTCTGGTCCAGCCCTAGCCATATTTACTTGGAAATGACATTTGACTGTGTCTGACGGGACTTACATACTCATAAATATTCTTAGGACTGCAGTTGGATAATCCAGATTTTGAGCTAAATTGTTTAGTTTAGGCTTGGACTGAAATCCTATTGGAAGCAAGCCCCACTGAACACAAAGAGACTTACTTCTGGCTTTATAGGCTTCAGAGACTGTACAGACATGCTTGATGAACAATACAGTTTAGCTGGGGTAGAGGATAATTTGAGTTTCAGTTCTGTGGCAGTCACCAAAAACACATTGGTGTGTATGTTTACCATTTTAACATATGGACTCATTTAAACATATGGACTAGTAACTTTGATTGGCCAGCAAAAACAATATAAAAGATGAGAATGCAAAGTACAAAATAAAACAAAACCAATAACCCACCCTTTGGACGTTTTATTGTATATCTATCTGACACCATTAAATATGCATATGACAGCTGATACAATTGTTGTTGTCTAGTCGTTTAGTCGTGTCCGACTCTTCGTGACCCCATGGACCAGAGCATGCCAGGCACTCCTGTCTTCCACTGCCTCCCGCAGTTTGGTCAAACTCATGCTGGTAGCTTCACGAGCACTGTCCAACCATCTCGTCCTCTGTCCTCCCCTTCTCCTTGTGCCCTCCATCTTTCCCAACATCAGGGTCTTTTCCAGGGAGTCTTCTCTTCTCATGACCTAGGTGGCCAAAGTATTGGAGCCTCAGCTTCAGGATCTGTCCTTCCAGTGAGCACTCAGGGCTGATTTCCTTCAGAATGGAGAGGTTTGTTCTTCTTGCGGTCCATGGGACTCTCAAGAGTCTCCTCCTGCACCAGAATTCAAAAGCATCAATTCTTCGGCAATCAGCCTTCTTTATGGTCCAGCTCTCACTTCCATACATCGCTACTGGGAAAACCATAGCTTTAACTGTACAGACCTTTGTCGGCAAGGTGATGTCTCTGCTTTTTAAGATGCTGTCCAGGTTTGTCATTGCTTTTCTCCCAAGAAGCAGGCGTCTTTTAATTTCGTGGCTGCTGTCACCATCTGCAGTGATCGATACTATTGTAGTTTCATATATAAAACCGTATTTTTTGAGGATGATTCCAATTTATAACCTTTTGAACAAGGGCTGCCATTGGACTCATTGCTGTGTCCCCCTTGCCTTCAATAACCAGCCTGCAGTGCGGCGTGGGATCAGGTGACATTCGGCAATGCCAAGGGTTGCAGCAAGGAGGTGCGCATCTTCCCGCCTAGCGGGGCTCCCGGCCTGGAACTGCAGAAAGGCACCGGCGACCTCAGGTGCAGTGAGGCGGATTGGCCGGTAGATGGCACTCCATGCCATTGGATGCGCCGGGACGCCGTACGCACAGCCAGAATCAGCCTCGCCGCTAGAGGCGCTGCGCAGCCCGCCCTGTGCTGCTCTCCTCGCGCTCCCGCCACGAGGGGGCCGCGTGCCACTTCTGGGGAAAGGGGAGACGACCGAGCTGTCGCAATCGGGCCGCAACCTACCAAGGGCGCTGCCTATTGGCCCGACGCTGGAAAGCCAACGGACGTCGCCCCTCAGCGCTGCTTCTGATTTGTTGCCCCTCCGCCCCATCCCCCACCCCGAGATGGACCAATGGCAGCTGCCTGGGCGCGGCCGCGCAACCAATGAAAAGGAAAAGGTGTCAGCAGCCGGCCAATCGAAACCGAGGTACGCAGAGCGTTTGGTTAAATACCAATGCGAGGCCGGGGCGGGACTTCTGGGGGCGACAGAGCCAATGGCGCGGCGGCGGAGCGGGGAGGAAGGAGGACGTAAGCGGGAGGGGGCGGAGGCGTCCGAGGGGAGAGACACGTACGGCTCGCCAAGGAGCGGCAGCAGCTGTCGTCGCCGAGGCAAGAGGATCCTCCGCGGGAGGTAAGGGCCGCCGCCGCCGCGCCTCCCTGGGGCCTACTTCCGGTCCCGACCACCCTCGGCCTGCGCGGTCTCCGAAGCCTCCCCTCCCCTCCTTTGAGGGGCCTTTTCGGAAGTGGCCCTCGCGCTCTGGAACCTCCCCTCCGCCCCTTTGTGTCGGGCTCCGCGGAGGGAGGGAGGGATCCCCTCCGCCTGGTTCTGCCTCTCGGATTGGTCAGTCTCTTCGGCGGGGGGGGGTGAGAGAGAGCTGACGTCATAGGGATCCCCCACCCCTCTCTTCCCCCCCCCGCCCCACCCCCATATCACGGTGGGTCGAACCTCCTTCGATTGCCCGGAGGAGGAATGGCGGGTTGTTCCCGAAGATTGGATCCCGGGCTCCAGGGTCCCGTGGAGTCGACTCTTCCCACGTTAGCTTGTCCCGTGTCTACAGCGTTGGGTTTGTCGCTCGTAGCTTTTAGCCAGATTACTGTGTTGTTAACTATTAAATAGTCTTTGCAAAGCGCGTAAAGGAAGCTTGAGTTTTGCTCCGCTCGCCTGTGAGGGCAGCCCCTGCTAGTGGTAAATAATAGATAACGATGCAAAGCTTAGGGGGTAATGAAACCATTGCGGAGCAACGGAGTTTGAAAACAGGCCTTGTTTAATCTGATTTTGTTTCATTTTGACTGATCTGTTCTGTAATCCTTGCGTTTTTGCATACGTGCAAAGAGATAAATGGGGAATGGGGGGGGGAGTGGCATGTGTATTGCTGCTTGTTTTGGCAAGAGTAGGGAGTTTTTTGCTGAGGGGTGGGAAGGTGGGGCGTTAGTGCTCTCAGCTGTCCAGAACTATTTGGTTTGAGTCAGGGTTAAGCTTAGAGTTGGCCTCTGTTGTCTCTGCTGCTGCTGCTGCTGCTGTCGTCTGTCTTTGTATTTGAGCATCGAAAGGACTGGAAGGCAGCCCATAGAACATTCCTCTTCTGTAGTCATGGTAGATAACTATTTCCTACCACACTGGCCTCCCATCTGCTTCAGCTTCCTCACCATAACTCTCACCTGTGCTTTCAACATATTTCATAGAATTGTGGAGTTGGAAGGGACCCTGAGGGTCATCTAGTCCAACCCTCCAAATGCAGGAATCTTAACTAAAGCATCCATGACAGATGGCCATCTAATCTCTGCTAAGCAGATGGAGAGTCTGCCACCTCTCTTGGGAGTTTGTTCCACTGTCAAACAGCTCTTACTGTTAGAAAGTTCTTTAGTCAGAATCTCCTTTCTTGTAGCTTGAATCCATTTGTTCAGGTCCAAGCCTCCAGAGCAAAAAACAACTTTGCTCACTCAATGTGACAACCCTCTAGATATTTGAAGATGACTATCTTCAGATGTCAAAAACTCGAGGCATGGAACCTGCACCCAGAAAAGATGCAATAAAACTTGCTGGTATATTGGACTACTTGATTGTGGAATAGTCTCTGAACTTGCTGTTGGATATTTATTTGGTGAAGTGTTTTCTTTCTTGCAGATTATAACTTTTAAATGTCATGCTCTGGGTTAGCTGTGTGGAACATGGCTTACTGGTCAGAGGTGATGAGTTGTAGTCCAACAACACCTGGAGGGCTGCTTGGTGTTCCCCTCTGCTCTGGAGCATTAGTAGTGAGGAATCCCCTCTATTGTACTGTTTGGGCCCTGGAATGTGGGTTCATTCTCAAAACCAAGTCTTGGATCATGTGAAAGAACTACAAGGCATGTGCAGATAGCCTTTCCCTCCATCCTGAGCACCACCAGCTTTGTGTAGTCATGTCCAGACTAAGGAGCAGGACTCCAGAGCAAATATATTTGCGTATCCCAGGCAGATTTGAGCCAAATCATCTATATCTAGAAATCAGATACCTCAGCCAGGGATAATTTCACCTCACCCCAGTGCAAGTTTGTTTACTTAGAAAATTCTGTTCCTGTGGTTGTTACAGATCAAAGGATCCACACCCATTGACGTGTTAGGTGATTTGGTTCAATGGCATGGTGCTTTTTGTGCAAATAGCTGCAACTTCGAACACATAGTGTTGACGTAGTTCTTGAATTCCAGCTGCTTAATGACTTGTATGCTCTCATAACTGACTGGTGTTTGGTGCCCTTGGAGATTAATATGAGAACTGGACATTAAAATCTGCCCCATCTACATCCTGTTAATATTGCATCTTGGGCCTGCTGGAGTAGGGGGCATCTGGTGCTCGAACCAAATGCCTCTCCTGAGCTTGGGATAGTTGGAGTATGGAACCTGTTGCTTGAGCAGAAGCCTGACGGATGCTCCACAGTAGAGAACTTCAAAGCTGATTGGCTGGCTTTCTGATGTCACAGTGCTCACGTGATGTTATGGGTCATTGTGTGACATTATTTTTTTCTCTCTCCTGCCATTTGGCTGTAAGGATCATCCTGCCCATTATTTGGGGCTCTAAAGGGGAGGCTTGCTTACCCCTTGCCTCCATCCTTTTCCCCTTCCTTTCTTTTGCAGCTAGTAAGTTACTGTGTCAGGGTACTGGTGGGTGAAATGTGATGGTCTCCTTAGAGCTGTCCCTCTAAGGCAGCCCTCAGTGGTTAAAGGTTATAGCTATGACTAAGTGTTATCTGGTTAGTTATTGATAAACGATCATGGGTTCTTTATTTCCTCATAAGCAGGTTCATTATTTAACTTGGATTACACAAGCACTTCCAAAGTTTGCTTTCTCTTCTGGGATTTCGTTTTCACTTGTAATTCTATTTTGGTTGTGCTAACATAGAATCAAGTTACAGCAAGGGTTTACTTTTGGATGATAGTTTCCTCTTAAGGGCTCAATCAAGCCAAGTAATTTTTGTAAACATTGGGCTACTGTGGACAGAGCTAGGTTTTGACATGAGAAATGGAGAGTTTAATCTCCCCCACCCCACCCCACAAAAGCTCGCCTGAGGTTTTTGATCAGTTTTAACTGAATCAGGAGGATGAACATGGATTTGAAAAGCATTTACCGCAGGTGTGGTGGCTTGTTTCCCTATAAACTCTTACAATATGCAAGCCTGTGTATTTCACCTGAAGTTTCCATGGATATTAGGCTTGACCATTTGACATTGTTTTGCAATTACTGTACTACCCCTGGTGGTTGTACAGAGAAGAAATGTGGGAGGGTTTTTTTTAGGTACTGCTGAGTTGTAGAAAGTGCAGGGGACGTGTCGGACTTTGTCCCGCCAGCCCACTGTTGTCTGCAGTGACTGCAACTCTCGGGGGGCTTTTCCCCATCACCTGCTGCTACCTTCTTTTTTAAACTGGAGATACCAGAGAGTGAACCTGGGAGTTGATGCACATAGAGCCATGTGGTCTTGCTGCTGCAATTCCTCCCCCAAAGGCTACTTCTTGGGTTACCATGATCAAATACACCTGCCCTTTTGCTTAGAGCTAAGATTGAGGAAAGTTGAGTAATTTAAAAGAGACCCTTTGTATTTAGCTAGTTTAGCAAAGACCACAGCTACTTGATAAGTCATCTTAAGAATCACTTTATACAACAACAATGCTGTTCAGTGTTTTTAAGGACTCAGCGTTATCTAATTCTGTGATCCAGTTCTGTGACTTTTCTCTGTCAACAGTTGGCCTATTCTCCTCCTAAGCACCTTCTATAAAAGAGAGACACTTGATAGCTGTATGGAGAGTGATTTACCAGTGACCTGAAGTTCCCAATCTTCACCTTGGCTAAGGGTGCTGTAGCGGCAGCATTGCTTTGAACAATCTAGTCTCCTGGAAGCTCAGGAAGACTATTGTTTCAGCGTACTTTCAAACAATGCCTACAATCTCATAGTCTAAGATCAAATGCAAGTTTAGACTGTGGCACTCAGCTGGTTGAGAACCTTACTCACTTATGCTCTAGGTTGAAGCATCCATCTTATTTTTATTACAACTAGATAGGTTGCTTGCAGTGTTAGAAACTCAGATATATAAGCTAGGTGCCAATGGCAACTTAAACCAAAGTTAGTCTCCAAAACGGAATGCCTAGTTCGCCATTTTTGGGCCAGAGGGCTCAAAAGTAGTATTTTTCAGTACAACTTGGTTCCTGAAATTCATTCTGATCGTGCAGATAAAATATAATGAATAGAATTATACAGGATGTGTCACTAGTATGTGAAACAGTCAAGATCCATGGATTCCCATGGATGTACCTCCATCAGTGATGGCCAAACTTGGCCCTCCAGCTGTTTTGGGACTACAGTTCCCATCATCCCTGACCACTGGTCCTGTTAGCTAGGATGATGGACGCTGTAGTCCCAAAACAGCTAGAGGGCCAAGTTTGGCCATCACTGCTCCAGATGGTGGTGTCAGGCACTATCATGGCACCTGGGCATCTTTACTTGTTCACAAGTGGCCAATAGCCAGTGAAATATGTGCCTAGCAAATTTTGAACACTGGTTGCTTGTTGGAGGATTACTGTTATTAAGTTAGGCCATCCTATCAGCAGGGGAAATGTCTGTTTACTTAATTAATAGAGCAGGGGTAGGCAACCTAAGGCCTGTGGGCCGGATGTGGCTCAATCGCCTTCTCAATCCAGCCCACGGATGGTCCGGGAATCAGCTTCTTTTTACATGAGTAGAATGTGTGCTTTTATTAAAAATGCATCTCTGGGTTATTTGTGGGGCATAGGAATTTGTTCATTTTTTCCCTTCAAAATATAGGCTGGCCCACCACATGGTCTGAGGGACGGTGGACCAGCCTGGGAAAAACAAAGGAATTTGTGGCTTCTGCTACTAAAATATAGATACTTTTTTTACCAAAAAGCAGTAGTCTTCAACCTTTTCAGACCCAGGACCCACCTTTAACCCAAACATGCATGTGGGTACCATTTCTTAATCTTTTATCATGGAATTATTGTAATGTTCCTGTTGCAACCCACTTTGGATCAGACAGAGTATGGGGGTCCTGATCCACCTGTTGAAGACCAGTGATCTAAAGCAACCTGATGTGTTGGAAGGAGTTTTAAGTTGCAAAGAGTTAATAGATAATATTTTAAAATAATTGTGGTTATAAATGCGGTATGTTTTACATGTTCTTAGATTTTGTTTTAGGACTGGCAGCTGGAAATGGACTCCGGTCTGGAAAATTTAGTTCCAGTTGGTTTCTAGGTTCAGTTTTACCGAAGAACCAACGTTTAGTTGTAGAGAAAGGTCCCAGATTCAGCTCCCAGTATCTCCATGTTTTTTAAGTGATTATTTATAGCAGGGCTTCCTGAGGTCCTGGAGAGTTGTTGCCGGATGGAGTAAATGGAACGGATTTAGAGCCACGAATGGGCTGACCTTGTTATACGGCAGCTTTATGTGTTTGTTATGGCCAGAGAGTTGTAATAAAGATAGGAATTTCTTCCAGCTATTCCTTAAAGTGGCCTGTGGATCAGCACAGTGACTGATAGGCACCTTACAGATGCTTTGCAAAACTCCAAAAGGGACTATTGTTGGGAGGCATTTTGCCTTTCCAATCACCTCTCAGCCTGGCATGTTTTCACTTTAACATCCATTTCCAGAGGCATCAAGTCTTGAGTGAGAAGCAGGGAGGACTTGCTAATTTCGCTTTGACTTTCTGGATCACTGGTTCATGTTGTGAATCCTACGTTGGTCTGGCATCTACAATAAAGCTCACTCGTTTCACAAATCCACTTCCTGCTGCCTCCCTCACCCCCTGCCACCCTCATTTTATGGAGGAGGCAAACCTCACGTGTTAAATCTTATTTAGCATCTTCGGTCTGGTTTGGCTTCTGTCTTGAATAGCTCTTAATATCTGGGAGGAGTTTGTGGATGGCATGTGACTCTCTCTCATGTTTGCTCCACCACAGGGTGACCCATTTTGGTGCCCCAATATTGACTCACATGAGAACTTCTTTTCACTTGAATTATCTGTTGCATTTCTTTCTTTCTTTTCTAGCAAGCTTTACCAAAAATAAGTTTGTACCTTAAGATGGCCATTGTTCAGGGTCTCACGAGCATAATTTCGCCTTCTGCATCTGCAGACCTCTGAGAACTGAAAACTCTTTAGATGTAGAGCAAATCAAAGCTGGAAGAGGGTTACGGTAGTACCTCTGATTACGTACTTAATTCGTTTCAGAGGTCTCAACAACTTTGGTTGGCCCTCACGCATGTTCACTTCATCAAATCTGGCCCTCTTTGAAAAAAGTTTGGGCACCCCTGGTGTATATGACTTCTTGAGGCAATGGGATCACCCTGCTTTCTTGAAACTGGGAGCCTTTAGCTTTTCTGCTGGCAGCATTTGACTTTCTCTGTTCCAGGGTATGGCTAAAATGATCCTTGCTCAGCAGTGTCTTGAAATGGCATGAACTCTGTAGCTGGGATCTTGCAATCTGTTTTCCAAGGGAGATGAACCAAGTCTTACACTCCCAGGTCTGAGATTTCAAGGCAGGGCTACTTCATTCCTGAACATGAGCACATGTGCTCTCCTACTCACATCCAATCTGCATCCTACAAAGTGCAGTCAAGCTGGCCAACTACCCTGCTCCTAGATAAGAATTGTCTAATGTGAGCCTCTGTTGAAGCAACAGGAGGCTAAATTACATTTTTTTAAAGCAGTCACAACCTGGCTCTGGCAAATCACAATTCTAGGAATTCAGTTTAATGTTTTATTTGTCAAATGGGACGAGGGGAGGGAAGTGACTTTAAATTCAGATGTTCCAGGCTTATACAAAAGCATCTGGATTATAGGCAGCCCAGCATCAAGCTAGAGTGCAGCAGAACATAGTTATTTCTAAAAGTGAAAATACAGAAAAAAGAATATTGCGTGGTTTGACTAGATTCATGGCTGCACTGTGGCAATATGTGAGATACGTAAGGAACCTTTGGATATGGTGTCTTAATGACAGAACAAACCAACCAATAGTATGTTGATCTTTGGGGTTGGTTGCAGTATTGGTGCCATTAAAAATTCCTCCAATTCATGGATTTTCATTCTCAAATCACAGAGAAAAGGACCCACAATTGCCTGTATTATTCTAGAACACCTCATGCCGGGGTTTTCTGTGGCTATTGTGAAGCCTTCTCAAACTGATGGTCTGCCTTGGACTTAATAGCTCTGTTCCAAATTCTATAAAACTGCTCACAGAGGGGCAAATACACTAGTCCATGTTTACAGCAGTTAATAAATGTGTAATTGGTTAGCCAGTTGCTCCTTCTGCTGTTTTACTCTTCATAAAATGATGAAAAATTTCCAGAAATTTTGAAACCACTGAAGAAAAATAGTGAGGAAGATTTATTTATTTATTGCAGGCAAGGACATTTTGGGGGAAATAGGAAAATATGCACTAATCATTTTTAGTGCTATTTACAAATTGAGCGTCACTTTAGGAAAGTAAAATGTATTAACTTGGTTTGCCATAGAATGATCATGTTTGGTATGTTAAATAAATTTACTTCTTTTTACAAAAATTATATTTTGTTACAAATAGAGCTACAAGCCAGTTATATGGTGCAGGCAGAATAAAACTAGAAGAAACCATAAACCATTATAGTTGAGCAAAGAAAATTATTATGTTTTCTGAAAGTTGTTAAATCTCCTTCAGCCCTCCACAGTGTCAAGCAGACATAAATCACTCAATTCCATAAAAGAAAAAGACTGGGGGAGAACCCAAGACTCAGTGAAATGATATGAAATTAAATCAGTCTCATTTTCTTAGCTATCAATTTCCGCATCTTCATAGTAAAGGTAAAGGGACCCCTGACCATTAGGTCCAGTCGTGGCTGACTCTGGGGTTGCGGCGCTCATCTCGCTTTATTGGCCGAGGGAGTCGGCATACAGCTTCCGGGTCATGTGGCCAGCATGACTAAGCCGCTTCTGGTGAACCAGAGCAGCACACGGAAACGCCGTTTACCTTCCCGCCGGAGCGGTTCCTATTTATCTACTTGCACTTTGATGTGCTTTTGAACTGCTAGGTTGGCAGGAGCAGGGACCGAGGAACGGGAGCTCACCCCGTCGCGGGGATTGGAACTGCCGACCTTCTGATCGGCAAGTCCTAGGCTCTGTGGTTTAAGCCACAGCGCCACCCGCGTCCCTTTTCTGCATCTTCATATCTGTCGTCAATTGATGACAGATTTGAGACCTACTCATGTGGTCTTCAGAAGGTTCCATGGTCAGGGATTATGGGAGTTGAGCAACATCTGGAGGGCCACAGTTTCCCCATCCTTGGCACAGAGTGCTTGAAACTGGAGAGAACTCACTTTTCTGGTGCAGGGAAAATGCCTTTGGCACTCCTTGTCATTACACTGCTATTTTTCCATTTACCTCTCAGCTTGCCTGCAGCAGGTTGGCCTTGCACACAGCAGCAGTACAGATGAAGAGGTCTGCTAAGAGCCATGGGGTGTGCGTGCGTGCACATGTTCCTTGTGTGTGCTGTCACTCTTTTACTTTCCAATGCTAGTGACAGCAACTTCACCGAAGCCTCTGATTATAACGTAATGACAAACTCAGGGGCGATTGTTTTAGGGTCCCGGGCTTCAGCCATTGGCCACATGTGCAGGTAACACTAAGCCAAACTATTATTTAACACAAATGTGCAAACATGCTGGCTTCTTAGGAGGAAATCACAGCCACTTTAATCTTCCCTAGTCCTTTTAGTTTAGCATGGCAACCCATCCAAGGTTTGGCTTAACATGTTGTCTGAACCTGGACTTGTGGTTAAGCTCTCCTTCTTAATCGTGCTCTTTAGGCAATGGTTTGTTCTTGGCTACAATTTGTAGCTAAGGAGACAACTTAAGCACAAGGACTGAGGGAGGGACAAAGTGAGAGCGAGCTTCTCCCAAGGGGCCAGCACATTCACATGATCGTGGTAAACTGTAGCTTGGTTTACTTCAGGGCCTTGCTATCATGACGCTGCAAATGTGCTTGAGTTGTGCAGAAAGGATCCTCTTCGCTTGAGAGGAGTGATAATGGGCTACAAGCTGGATCCCTTAGATTTTTCTGCCTGGGGTTGGGATCTGTCAGCCCTAAGTGTTGGCTGGGACCAGGAAGATCAGTCTTCCAACCTCTGCACAAAGAAAGCTAGGTGGCGTTGGAAGTTTCTTGGCATAACCTACTTCACAGGTTACTGTGAGAATAAAAGGAAGTGGCCCCATAGGCATCATCCTGAACACTTGGAAGGAATGATCAGATTAGATCTGCTTTTTAAAAAAGTAGGAGACAGATACTTGACAGGCATTTTCCATCTCTGCCAAAGGAGGAAGTGCCATCATGTCACCCCATGCCATAGGTGTACAATTACTGCAGTATTTGCATTTCCTTAATGCTAGCTCTCCTTGCTAGACAATCCAGGCCTACTTTTGTAAGCTTGCCCAAGAGCCTTCTCCTCTCTGTCAAAAGGGTAAGGAATTAGTTGCTGAACTGGTTTTCATATGTCAATTGCATCAGTTGCTAGAGGCTACATCAGGTATCATGATAATTTCGGGGGGGGGGATTGCACAAGCGGACAGGGGCAGTCATATCACACTTGTGGTGCTCTCCTGGGCAGGTAAAATACCTGTACATGTTGGTGCATAACACAACAAAGGGGAGGGATCCCACCTTGAGCAACAGGGAGCAATGCATTTGTTTCCCGGTTGCTCTCTGGCTATGGCAGCTACATGGCTTGTAACTCCTCCCCATCTCTGCCTGGGGAGGTCATTAGGAATGCTAATGCAAGTGTTTTCCAGCTGCCAAGCTGTGAAGCAAAGTTCCCCAGTGAGGCCAATTCCCCCACTCCCTGAGAACTTGCAGTTAGCCTTGCAACAGCCTGCAATAATTGCACCATAGATACCAAGAGGACTTGGAGCCAGTGAAACAGTTGAAGCCTCTAGATTGTCCAGACTACAACGAAGGGGATCAGCTTGCAGGCAGGCAGTGTGTGGGGCTGGGCTTGGCGAGTCTAAAGTAAGCATCCTCTTCTTTGTTCCTTAGCACGGTGGGGTGGGACAAATAACCTTCTTCTTGAGCCTTTGTTTGTGGCTAGTCCCAAGTCTTCTCCTCCCTCCCTCTCGCTGCATATTTGGAAATCTGCGTTCTTGGTTGAGATTTAGATAGAATCTGCCCTGAAGGGGAGGCTGGATAGAAGATGCATGTGCGTTTTCTTGAAGTAGGGAGAGCTGTTTGAAGGTTCTGCATTCCAGGAGTAACATCTTGCTTGACCTTCCATAGGGGGGTCTTTGACTTCTCTCTCTTGGCCCCTGACAAAGTAGGCTCAAAGTTAGTAAGATAGTTGCAGTATATCTCTATTAGAAACCCTGTATCCTAGTTAACCTGTTTGAAGTTGAACAGAGACTAGGAGCTCTGAAGGAGTACTGGTGTTCCTAGACTACTACAGTGGTACCTCGGGTTAAGTACTTAATTCGTTCTGGAGGTCCGTTCTTAACCTGAAACTGTTCTTAACCTGAAGCACCACTTTAGCTAAAGGGGCCTCCCGCTGCCACTACGCCGCCAGAGCACGATTTCTGTTCTCATCCTGAAGCAAAGTTCTTAACCCGAGGTACTATTTCTGGGTTAGCGGAGTCTGTAACCTGAAGCGTAGCATATGTAACCCAAAGTACCACTGTACTAGAAAGCAGGTGTGTGTGGGGGGGAATCGCTTCTGGAGCAGCTCTATGGGCTGAATAATATTGCTTAAAGTATTTTGAGCAGCCATATAGGAAGAACTTGAGTTTTGTCGCTAAAAGGGGCAGGTGTTTCCAGGTGTTCATGGATCACATTGGTCATTCCTGGGAAAGAACTGTACTGTCTTTCTCCACCCCCACCTCTCTGATGTGGCCTTCTTCATCTTTTTCTGCAGATTGAGTATTTTGACACCAAGAGTTGCGTCAGTCTACCAGCTAGCACAATGGATGTCTTCAACAGGAACATAAATGTTGATGCCCTCTTCAAATTCTCCCACATGTGAGTATACCCTTGGCCTGTGTTTTACTGCAGGCTGCAGTTTTGCAGGAGGTTGTTTTTATTTGTCATTTTTGGTGCATGAAAACAGCGAGGTAATCTTGTGATTGGTCCCTTATTGTGGATGGCGAATGGGGATGAGGGAGCCAGAAATAGGGTTTTACTGCTTCCTGTGGCCCTGGGTGCAAGACTGTATACGTGTTGGGCTCAGAATATTCCACTTGAGCAAAAACTTCCACTTCAATAAAAACTAAATTCTGCAGCTGGTGGAAGTTAAGCAAATGCATGTTTCTTAACTTGCCTGCTTGTGTAATCTGTTCTGCTTCTGTCAGTTATGGGATAGACAAAGAACTTTTCTTGCATGTTCAGCCAACCTTCTCCTGCTTCCCCCATCACAGCCTTTTGAGACTACTACAAATATTGACTCGCACTCTAGACCTTGAGGCTGAAGTGTGTGTGTGTGTGTGTGTTTTGTTTTGTTTTGTTCTGTTTTTCTAAAGGGCTTGTTGAGTATAAATTCATCTTTTAAGGTTCTCAGGATTTACTGTTTGGTGTTTCTTACCAAATTTTGTGCAAGCATTTCCCCACTTATATGTGAGTCGGTAGAGGCCAAGGCTGGAAAAGCATTTACATGGTTTAGTGCCAGCACCCATTTTTTAGGAGCACCTGCTGTGCAGTACAAAGTAGGTGCTGCAAACCAGCACCGAACTTGTCAGGGATTTTCCTAGTTTTGTCAACAGCTCTAGCTCCTCTCTTAGCCAATCTGAGAATATCTAATACCATCTCCCTGGGGAAAGTGGTGTCCCAGCTCCAGAAGCTGTGAGTCAAATGCCTTTAAATTGGGGGGGTGGATTGTCAACCCATGGGTCAGATGCAGCTGCTGTACACTCCCCACCTGGCTTGCAGTGCCCTTTCCTCACCCCACTGCAATTAGGCGGCTTGAAAGAAAGTCTTCTGTTGCCTTTAGTATAAGGCTTTTGTCAAGCCTATGTGCAGTGGAGGAGGCGTGTCTTTACGGGAGTTCCAGCTGGGGAGTGTTTAAACCCACACAAAAAATGCCCCTCCCCACCGTTAGTCTTGCGGGGTAAAGCCTTATTGTTGCAGCAAGGAAACCCACCTTCCACTCACTGCAGTCTTCAGGAAGATTGCCCCCTCGGCCAGTTAGACTTGGAAAAAAGCTAACATGCTTTTTCGAGTTACAGGTAGGTAGCCGTGTTGGTCTGCCGTAGTCGAAACAAAATAAAAAAAATTCCTTCCGGTAGCACCTTAGAGACCAACTAAGTTTGTTATTGGTATGAGTTTTCGTGTGTGTGCATGCACATGAAAGCTCATACCAATAACAAACTTAGTTGGTCTCTAAGATGCTTTTTCAAGCCTAACTTGGTTCGGGGACTGTGCGTAGTGGTGCTGACTAGGCATAACGTTTGTGGGTGAATGGCTGCACTCACTTGGTCTTGGCAAGGCCCACTGTAGGCATGTGCCCCCCTCAGGTTGGAAAGGCTAAATAAGTTCCCCCACCTCCGTTCCTCAGGTGCTCTGTGGTGGATCCAGTGTTGTTTGTTTAGTTTGCTAAGTGCCCCGGAGCTGGCAAACAGCCAGCCAAGGAGCAGCTGTGCTTCTAGGTGCTTTGAGATGCAACGACACTGACTGACTGTTTCTTCCCTTTGCCCTCTGCAGCTCCGCATCAACCCAGCAGCACCTGAAGAAGGTCTATGCTAGCTTTGCGCTATGCATGTTCCTGGCAGCGGCTGGTGCCTACATCAATGTGGTGACTCAGCTGGTGCAGGTAAGTGTGCTCTGGCGCTGATGTGTGTACGGGCTGTGAGGTCACCTTGACTGTTGGGGACTGGTGCTTGCAGGATGGCTTCAGGGAACGGAGCCCAGCCACAGCCTTCAGAAATGAACGGCACAGGATCCTGTTGGGTATGGTTTTCTGGGCCATATCTTGATAGAGCAGTCCTTCGTCTGCTTTCCTAGCAGTCTGTCGCACTATGTTCGCTGATTTCTTAGGACTTACTCCTGATGAAGCATGTTCAGGACTGCAGCCCAACAGTGGTAGCTGGGAACCCAGTGGTGTAGTAACGGAGCCATTTCAGACTGGGGGGGGGCGGCGGGAATGATGTGCCAGCTAGTTCAATCTGTTTTTAAATTATTGGATAGATTACATTTGAATAACATTAAAACCCAAACTCATGAAGCATCTTGGTGTCTCGTACTCATTGGCCAGAACAGTGGAAAATGAAAGAATCATTTCCAAGAGTGCAGTTGGGTAGAATGCTGCTTCCCATGTTTTTTTCTTAAGTCTGCAGTGAAAGAAGTTAAAGTCAAAGGAAATCTGAGTGAGCTGAAAAGCCTGCAAAGGGGCCTAGAGTATCTTTGAGGAAGTCAGGTTATCTATGGCTGTCACCCTGTCTAGACTATAGAATGCACTGGATCATTCAAACGAAACCACCTGAGCTCCGTGGGGTAGATTTCTGCCACTTCTGTTCCTGCGCAATGCCTTTCCCAACCTCTGCTCTGTGCTCAGCCTGTACTAACTTCCACCCTTCCCACTTTCTCTTGCAGTTTGGAATGCTGACTGGCCTGGGAGCACTGGGTCTTATGATCTGGCTGATGGCTACACCCCACAACCAGGGAACCGAACAGAAACGGCTGAGCATGCTGGCAGGCTTTGCCTTCCTCACTGGTACGTGATGCTGGAAGAGTCAGCTGGAGTTACACTTCATTAACTGCTTTTGGTGTTCATATACTACTTTTTAGCAAAAGGTTCGAGGACCGGTCAGAGCAGTGTAAAAAATACAATATAAAAATCTTTTAAAAAGATTTAAAAAGACATGGGTCTTCTGTAAGTGAAATATACAATTCATGTACTGATGCATCCAAGCCCTTCTGGCAGAGCAGCAAAGATGCCTGCAGTTGTTATTCAGATGTGTGCCTGCAGCAGCTGCCTAAGATCACCCCACAGGGGAGTGGCTCTTGCATGACATGGGTGTATGAGTGTGCGTGGGCCAAGAGGGAGGCCAAAATAATCCAGCCAACTCTGATCGGCACAGGAGTGGTTGCCACACAATGATTTGCCCCATATAGAACTACTTTGAAGATTAGGGCCCCTTAGTTGCTGTCTAAATACTGAGATTTTCAAAACTGTTTCTACGTGGCATTTTGTACTTGGGTTTCAGTTTAGGGTCAGGTGGGGGGAAACAAGACAACCTGTATGTTTGTTCTGAAGGGTGCACAATACACACAGGGTAACCATTTTGGCTTTCTTCGAAATACATGGTGAATGGACAAGAATTCCGTTCTCTCTCCTGCCTCTTGGCTGAATTTGTACCCTTTGTCCTTCCAGGAGTCAACCTTGGACCTCTGCTGGAGATGTGCATTGCCATCAACCCAAGGTAAAAGGAAAATGCCACTCTGTTGCCCCTTTCCCTCACCACACCTGACATACACACTTCAAGGGTCAAATTCAAATGAGTTGGTGGACCAGATTCCTTTCCCACTGATTCCAGTGGACGCACGCATGACCCTCCCCCCAGCACAAAAAAGACCCCTGACCAGTTCTTTTTGAACTTAAATCAAACAATAACTTTAATTGGAAGAGCAAAAAGATTTCCTCCCGCCCTATACCTCTAAGCATACTTCCTGTTCATAACACAATATTTTTGATATGGATTGTGATTCCAAAAGTCATGCCTTTTCATCTAAGCCATCTCCTTGCAGCCCACCACTTGCCCAAATCTCTCTCCTGCCCCACAAATACATCTAAGCAAAATGCCATCTTTGCTCTACAAAGAACATCCACTTCAAAGTCCTGAATGAGGTTCATTAACTTGCATGGAGCATGAGATGAACCTGTGGGTCTCACTGGGGCTGCTAAAGGGCATTTTACAGTGTCCCCGTGGCTTAGATTTGTCCATTCTGGTGCAGGCATCAACTATTGCTTTTTCCTCTCCCGATAGCATCATCCCAACAGCTTTCATGGGGACAGCAGTGATCTTCAGCTGCTTTTCGCTGAGCGCCCTCTATGCCAAGCGCCGTGCCTACCTGTACCTAGGAGGTAAGATTGCCAGGTGGTCATCATCTCCCCTCCCCCTCCCACCTTAGAAAGAACCCTTCTAGTAACCTTGCAGTGCCCACCACAGCTCTGCTTTCATTTTTCAGGTGTCCTGTTCTCCGGCCTGTTCCTGATGCTGTTCTTCTCCCTGATCAACATTTTTGTGGGCTCGACTTGGCTCTTCACGGTGAGTGCCTTTATGCCCTTGGGCTCTGTTGGCTTACAGAAGGCCTGCAAGGTTGGCTGCCTGTGATAGCAGCAGCATCTCATTCCAGCAAAGCTGCCTTTTTCAGCATGGAGCTGGCAGCAAACCTGCCCTGGAATAGCCCCCTGTAGTGACTGCCAAGAGGTGCTCAGCTTCCCCTTTGTTTTGGCTTCACTGAAATAAAGGCCGGCCAATGTGCACTCCTGCACTTTAATAATTATCATCATCATTTTTTAAAAACAACAACCCAGGATAACCCAAATTCCATGATTTGTATAAACTATAGAAACCTTACAGAATTCTACTCTTGGTAGTCTTGGGAAGAGGCAAAGACCTATACAGTGGTACCTCGGGTTAAGAACTTAATTCATTCTGGAGGTCCGTTCTAAGCTGAAACTCTTCTTAACCTGAGGTACCACTTTAGCTAATGGGGCCTCACGCTGCCGGAGCACAATTTCTGTTCTCATCCTGAAGCAAAGTTCTTAACCCGAGGTACTATTTCTGGGTTAGCGGAGTCTGTAACCTGAAGCGTTTGTAACCCAAGGTACCACTGTATATGAACTTGAAGCACCACCTTCAGATCAATACAAATCATATTCATACTCCTTAGACCTCTGAGATCAAATACATATCTGCAGCCAGAAGGGCTGGGAAGTTGGGTTTAAAAAAAAAATAAAAATCTAAGTGCACTCCTTACGATTTTTGGGGTTCTGAATGAGGTGGCCCCTCATTTTGCAGTCTTTCCTCATTGTGCCATGATTATGCAGGAAACACAGCCCTGAATAATTTAAAGCAGTATGATTTCTGGGATTTAGGAATGTATATCTTTAGCAGGTGGGTAGGGCCAATCCGAGGAATCTGATTTAGCTGCCCTTGGCCTGATGCATGTTCTTCCTCCTCCAGGCTAACCTCTACATTGGGCTTATGGTGATGTGTGGCTTTGTGTTATTCGACACTCAGCTCATCATTGAGAAGGCCGAGAATGGAGATAAGGACTACATCTGGTGAGTACATGGGGTGTGGAAATGGTAGCTGCTGGGTGTCCAGTGGTGGGGTGGGGGGTAGGAGTTAAGAAGAAGGCAAGGTGGACCAGACAGAGTAGAGGAACAGAGGAGTAAAGATCTGGGAGTTGCGGCAACGGGATAGGGGAAAGGTGCAACAGCAGCCTTTTATTGTTGGATGCAATATGAAAAAGGCAAATATCCTTTGTTCTGGATGGCCACAGAGCTGGGCAAACTGGAAATGGGCTTGAATTTCCAGGAAGAGAGGCTTAAAATGCTTCCTAGCTAAATGAACCTGAATTTAACTAGGGAGCAATGTACCAAATGGGGAAGGAAGCCTGGGGGTGGCAGATGGTGTCTCTAGCATCAGCCACTTACATAGGTTGTGCTGTTTAGAGGAAGTAGCGTCCAGTAGGAATTCTGGCCTAATACTTCAACTCCTTCTTTCTCTCCCTGCCCAGGCATTGTGTGGATCTCTTCTTGGATTTTGTCAACATTTTCCGGGAGCTTATGGTCATCTTGGGCATGAGCGAGGTGAGCATCGCCTCATGGTGGCAGGGATCATCATTTATTCACAACACACCTTGTATGTCCTAGATTAGGGGTGGCAGACCAACGGCTTGTAGGCTGGATCAGGTCTGCCAAGACATTTTAAATGGGCTACCAGCCCAGGGTTGAGATGGGCAGGAAGGGTCCCTGTTTTTTGCTGTTCAGGCATGGAAATTCTCCTTCCCAGCACAGCACAGGGATTGGTATGGTGAGCGCCTTCGTGTCTCTTTGAGCACAGTGCCTCTGTGCGAGAGCAAATGTCCCGTGGCAACTTTGGCCACGGCTGACATGTGGCCCTTGGAGGGTTGCTCAACCTTGAATGTGGCCCTTGGCCGAGAACGGTTTAGCATCGCTCACCCCACTCTATGCAGATAGGCAGGGAGGGGGGAGCTTGCTGAAAGCAGACCGATTGGAGGCGCAGTGCCAGATTTGCTCTCATCGAAGAGCCTCCGCTGGTCACGCTCCAGAACGCCAAGCTGGTTTTGTTCCCAGGGTCCAGGGCACTGATGTGGTTTTGTCCCTTTCTTTCAGAACAAGAAGAAGAAAGAGAAGTGAAGGGACAGCGGGTGCCTGTGTGAGGCTTCCTTTCTCTTGCCCTTCCCCCCTTTTGTCTCTTTCTCTTGTTTCCTTCCAATCTGACCTGCATTAAAGGTGTCCCTCTGTTTGTTCCGTGTGAATGAGAAGCATCTGTGACACTTTCATACTTTGTGGAAATTGGGTTGTTGTTGGGGTTTTTTCTCGAGGTTTTGGAGCCTTTTGAAAAAGCTGACTGGCTGATCCTAATCCTGGAGTCTGGCTTTGCTCCACTTCCGTACATAACGTACACAAACACCCAAAAGCTCCCCCCCCCCTCAAATCCATCAGGCCCTACTATTAGTCAGGCCTAGCATATTGGCAGTGATCCCACAAGTTTTCTTTCTTGGTAGCCCATGCTCCCTCCTCCTCTTCACTGACCTTTCTTCCACCACAACCGGCACACGCCTTGATGCCCTGGGAGCATTTCTGCTGTCATTTAAAATTCTTCAGGTACGGTGCCCACACTTGCCTGAGAACAAACTGAACCAGTCTCCGCGGCTCTTCCTGGATTGGCGTTGCTCAAGCAGCTACTCACAAGGGTGTGTTAGGATGCAAAGCAAACTCTAGCTCTCCCTTTTGTTGTGGACGGTGCCTGGGAGATGGCCAGGACCAGCGCTTAACTGATCCAGCTTCTTCTCTCACTCCGCCCTAAATCCCACTTAGTTCTGCTGCTGGGTAGCAAAAACTAGCTGATTTGTGTAAGTGAGAAATCCTAGCCTGGAACTCCCATTCTTTGGGTTTTTAGCAACTGCCAACACAGTCCTTTTGAGCTAGGTGATTGCCGTCTTTTCTTTTGCCTTGGCATCCCAAAGTGTGTGGGTTTTGCTGAGCAGGAAAAGCCCCTTGCTCTAGTTTGCTTGCTGGAATTGGGGACAGAGCAGCCAAGGACAGCTATGCCTAAGAAAAGGAAGCAGCATCAAATGTGTGTAGCTGTCTATTTCCTTTGAGCATTTGGGCACAAGGCCCTGCAGGTCAAAAGTCTGGAGGAGGGGCCACAGTGGACTGCTATGCAATGGTGGGGGAGGTCAATTTGGTAATCGTGCTGCCCCTGCATGCTGGGACAGGGTGGCATCCGTGCACTTAACATTGGAGCTTACAAGCTCATTAAGGAGCCTTTTTAAAAAGCTTCCCTTCCAGCAAATGAGATAATGTTTATCTTGCCCTTTTGGCACCTGAAGCCAGACTCCAACTCTGCTTGCTTTGGATAAAGGATTTGCCTTCCCTCTCCCCTCCCCCTCCCCCTTCTTTTCTGGAACCAGTGCCAAGAACTAAACTTCAGCAGATCTACTTTATAGAGACCTTGTCTAACAGGTTTTAATATAGTAATGACTAAACTCTGTCGCTCATTGGAGGGCCGGCTCTGGCTGCATTCTTTCGACTCCTACTGTGAAGAGACAGGGTTTTTAAAGAAACAAACAAAGGTGTTTTGATTCAACTATGAAATTTACATTGTCTTGCTTTGTACGGGAAAAATATTAAAATAAAAATCCTCAAACTTTAACCTACCTCTACTTCTTCATTTTGCATTTGAGGCTGTTGGACCTCCTTTGGCTTTTAATGGCCTGTGAATTATAGAAATGGCTTTCAAACTTTGTTTGCTCAGGAAGCTTTCATCTCCTCTCCATGTGGTCGTCTGTGGAATCCCTCTGCACCTTCATATTCCAGGCTGGGTTCTAGGGTAGAAGGGTGGCCTTGCTTGAAGCCCTGGCAAGACAGTTGGTGCCTTACCGCTGCCTTGAAGCTATATGTGGCTGGATAAGATCAGGTATGGGGACGCGGGTGGCGCTGTGGTCTAAACCACTGATCCTCTTGGGCTTGCTGATCAGAAGGTTGTTGTTTTGAATCCCCGCGATGGGATGAGCTCCCAATGCTCGGTCCCTGCTCCTGCCAACCTAGCATTTCGAAAGCACGCCAAAAAGTGCAAGTAGATAAATAGGTACTGCTCCGGCGGGAAGGTACATGCCATTTCCATGCGCTGCTCTGGTGTCGGTGCTCCGTTGCGCCAGAAGCGGCTTAGTCATGCTGGCCACATGACTCGGAAAAACTGTCTGCGGAGCAGACAAATGCTGCCTCCCTCGGCCTGTAAAGTGAGGTGAGCGCCGCAACCCCAGAGTCATTTGCGACTGGACTTAAGATCAGGTATATAGGGGTCAGCTGGTCCCCCAGGAAGCTTGTTCATTGCTAACTTTCTGGAGGAGGATCACCACCTACAAGTGTCCAGGGATCCTTCGGCTTTGCCCATACAAAGACGTCTGCAAATGTGACATGAGGGCTGACAACATCAACCCTGCCAGACAACCACAGTGCCTAGAGACATACAGTCAGGTGATGTATCCCTAGCAGTGACCAGAGGAGGAATGATCGCTGGGAGGAGTGCAGAAAGAAGAAACACCTTGGGTGCATCTGCATCAGCACAGCCAGATGCCTTCATCTGCCTCAGCTGCAACAAAACAGCTCTTCTGCCTTGGTCATTACAGCCATAGCAAGAGCTGCAACCTTCCAACACCTTGACTTTGCCCCCAAAGGCTCACCCCTCCATTGTCTCCCGAAACAGATGGATGCCAGTCCAATTGCCCTATTTCAGGAGAGGAAGGCACAGATCTATAATTGGGGGTGTTGGAGAGTATCTTCTAAGGTCTCTTAAATGTAAAAATAGGAGGTGGTGGGATATGCATTATTCTGTCCCCAGCTGGGGGGAAAAGCAGTTTGGCATCTTTAACTGAGCTCAGTTGTCAGATAACATACAACATTAGCCATATAGCTCCTTAACCAAAATAAGCTGAAGTTCCAACAGTTGCTGTGCTGCACAGGACTAACTGGCTGTGTACAAGTTGCAGGATGAGATCTATGCAGGCAGCAGGCAACATGGGGGCAGCAGGGGCCACAGGCTGGTGGTAAATGGGGCCAGAGGCAAAACTGGGTGAAGCAATAACTGAAGAGGAATGTACATTGAGGCTACATTCCAGCCACCCAAAAAAGATGCACACTCACCTGCCTATCATTATGTTGCTTCAGGCAAGCAAGAGGCATTACCACAGTTCAATAACACCTTCCAGTCAAACATAAAGCCCTTGAAAGGCTGACTGGAGCAGGGCACTCCAGCCCATGGAGTCCCAAGGGCCACGTTGAGGGGCTGAGTTTCCCACCCCTATACTAAGGCTAAGACAGGGAACCTCCCCCTGCCTCTCAAAAATGTGGCTTCATTGGCGTTCCCTATGACTCATGTTTCTTGCAACTCCAAACCTTTGGCCTATTAACCTTTCCCCATCTACTTTTTATTTGGCAACGCAGGTCATCAACACAGCTTGTACTTCATGTATATTTCCCTGCTGTTCTCCCCTATACTGATTCCCAAAGCGACAAGTCTACATCACATAATGGTGGCTGTAGGCCGCCAGCTTTGCTTTCCATACCCCACCTTGTGCTTTTATCATTTGTGATAGCGCAAGGATGATGCCTCTATTAGTTACAAGGCATCACAGATGTCCCGGTCAGTGGTAGTTATCATTGAAGGAGAGGGTAATGCTAGTCGAAGCAGTTGGGTCTTTGCTGAGCTCAGATCTGAACTTTAGTCTATACCAAGACCTCAAAAATAGAGGTATAGAGTGGGGACATCATCAACACTACGCTAAACCGTGGTTCGACAAGGACTTCATCGGCGCAAAAAAAGCTCTCATAAACTCATGTCTCCAATGCAACTCGAACTGCTACATTGGACCTCCTCCATCATAAAAGGCACTACAAGCAGTTGTTGGCTTAGAACAGGCACCCCCAACCTCTGGCTCTCCAGATGTTGTGGCCTACAAATCCCATGATCCCTAGCTAACAGGGCAAGTGGTCAGGCATGATGGGAATTGTAGTCCAAAACATCTGGAGGGCCGAAGGTTGGGGATGCCTGGATTAGAAGAAAAAGGAAGCAGCAAGAAATGACTGGACACGGGTTATCCAGGCAGCTAAATACAATAATCCCGCTCTCTTCTGGAATACCATAAGACTCTCCCAAACTAACAGACTGCCAATGATGGAATGTCATAGCCCAGCAAGAATCTGGGAGACATGTTTTCAGGAACTTTACAAGGCCAGTCATGGTGAGAGAGGCCAAATCCCTCGAAATATAGTGAACCACCCAAAGTGGGACAGAGATTGAGAGCCTGGTAGCTCAACTGAAACAGGAATACCTGCAGAGGCCACCCAAAACAATCTGGATTTCTGGGCCTCTTCACCTGTATTGATACCTATGGATGTATTCCCAAAGACTGGGGACTCTCAATCATCATTCCAATATACATTCCCGCCAACTATAGACCAATCCGTCTCCTTAACATAATAAGTAAACTGTATGCAAGACACCTGCAACTGAAATTCCAAAATTGACTGGAACTAGAAAATATACTTCCAGAGGAACAAGTGGGATTCAGAGAAGGCCACTTGATTAGCGACCGATGCTTAGTTCTTCAACATCTAATAGAGAAGTACTCATCTAGTGACACCGTCTCCCCCTATGTGGACTTTATAGACTTCAGAGCAGCCTTCGACTCTATATCTATAATAAAGCTATGGGAAAAATTGGAGACCTGCACAGACATTTGCTATACTTAATAGACACCCTAAATGAAGGGACCTCGCTAAAAGTTCGATGTACCCCTCAGGGCCATCTATGCAATACAAATGAAATAGAGAAAGGTGTCAAGCAAGGGTTCATATGGGCCCCATTCTTATTCAATTTCTATATAAATGATATGGTACCCCACCTCCTCAACATGAACTTCCACCCCCCAAAATTGGCAGGAAAGCACATCCCAGTGCTTCTTTATGCAGATGACGCAGCAATCCTCTCAATTACACCTATAGGCCTTAAAAGAGCCATGCAAACACTGGCAGTATACTGCAAGGAGAGCAAACTAAAACTCAATTACCAGAAAACCAAAATTATGGCTTTTGTCAAAAGGCCCAAACCTCGTTCATGGTACACTGATGGC